TTTTTTTTAATTGAGGTAAAATTCACATAATATAAAGTTAGCCATTTAAAGTGAAAAATTCAGTGATGTTTAGTGCGTTCACAATGTTGTACAACCACCATCTCTACTAAGTTCTAAAACATTTCCAACAAAAAAGAAAGAAAGATGGATTAAAAAGAAGTTACTATGGAAATTAAAAAAGGATTTTGAACTGGATGTTACTGAAAATATGATATGGGATGTATGGGATATAGCTCAAGCTTTGCTATGAAGATATTATACATTACTTTTGGCAATATAAATTGAACACATTCATAGAAAAACACAATTTACCAAACCAACACAACAAGAAACAGAATAGTTCTATACTATTAAATAAATTAAATTTGAAATTAAAAACCTGCCCACAAAGAAATCCCTAGGCTTAGATGATTTCACTGAATTGTTCCAAAGTTTGAAAAAAAGAATACCAATTTTAGAAAATCTTTTCCAGTGAATAGAAAAAGAAAACACTTTCAACTCAATTTATGAGGCCAGCATAATCTTGATGTCCAATTTGACAAGAATGATTCCATCATAATTATAGACCAATCTCTCTCATAAATATAAGAATCCTAATAAGAATATTAGCAAACTTAATATGACAGTTATTTTTTTTAATTAGGAATGTAAGGTTGCTTTCATATTTGAAAAACCTATCAATGTGAGGACTTCTTTTTTTTTAAAAAAAGATTTTATTTATTTATTTGAGAGAAAGAGAATGAGAGAGAGAGAGCACATGAGAGGGGGGAGGGTCAGAGGGAGAAGCAGACTCCCCGCCGATCAGGGAGCCCGATGCGGGACTCGATCCAGGGACTCCAGGATCATGACCTGAGCCGAAGGCAGTCGCCCAACCGACTGAGCCACCCAGGCGCCCCAAGGACTTCTGCTTCTGCTCATGAAATAGTAACTCATCAACTCACTATAATCAACAGGAAAACTGGAAAAAATATAGGAAGCAACTATTTTCAGATAGTAAACAACAGGCAGCATAGTCTGTGATCCCCCAGAGGAAGGAACAAAACAAGGTAAGCCCGGTGACTGCCCTGGCCTTTTGCCCAGAGGCAATTTCCAAACAGCAGTACAGTGAAGAAGAACCTAAGTAGAAACCTCGCAGCCCCAGCCCTAGCCCCTCGCAGCCCCTAAATTCTCCTAGCAGAATTTAGGAGCTAGAAACCTGGGCAGGCTGAGCTGGCTAGAATTTGTGGGGCGGAGTACACGAGAAAAGAAGAGTTATGCATACAAAGAACTGGAGAACTCTGAAGAGGGGTCCCCTCAAGTCTACACATGCACAGGGTCGAACTCTAGGAGGTCAAGTGAAGAATGACTAACTGCCTGCAAGCTGTAAGCTAAACAATTTCCAGAGCTCGCACAAGCCTAAGAAATGTTTAAACTTCTACCAGCCCGAGTACGATACCTCACTGAACACCTGGGGCAGTGACTGCAGGAAGGGTCACAACTGACTGAACTAAATGAACCCTAGAGTTAAAGGTACTCAATACCAGTGCAACAAAGCTTAAACACAAACACCAAAAAGACTGACCACACAATCCACAACCGCATATCAAAGCAAATTTCACCACTTTTTAAAGGAAGACAGCAAGGGGTGTCTGGGTGGCTCAGTTGGTTAAGCAACCTTGACTCTTGGTTTCAGCTCAGGTCATGATCTTCAGCTCTTGATCTTCAGCTTCAAGCCCTGCAGTGGGCTCTGTACTCAGCGCAGAGTCTCCTTGAGATTCTCTTCCTCTCCCTCCCTCTTGGACCCTGCCTCTAGTTGTGCACACATGTGCACTGTCTGTCTCTAAAATAAATAAAATCTTAAAAAAAATAAAGAATAAAATTTAAATATTCAGCAACACAGCATTTGTAATTTCCAGGATCCAATAAAAATTACTAAACATGTAAAGCATAGTAATTTTGGCCCATAACCAGAAGGAAAAAACAATCAATAGAAAGCACATCGATGCAATTCACCACATTAATAAAGGAGAAAAGCTTATAATCATCTTGATGAATACAGAAAAAAATGTTAAAATTCAACATTCATTCATGTTGGAAAAAAACCCACTTGGCATACTAGAATAGAAGGAAACTCTTAAACTCTGATACAGAGCATCACAAATCCTATAGCAAACACTGACTAGTGAAATATTGAAAGCCTGGCCCCTAAGATTGGGAAGAAACAAAGATACTCATTCTGATGGCCTCTACTCAGGAGGCCCTCAATAGGTTAATATGGCAGAAAAGGGAAATAAAAGGCATATAATTAAAAAGGAAATAAAAACTATTAAGGCTATAAATAGAAATCAAAGTACTGTCATTCACAGATGACAAAATTATGTGTGTAAAAAATCCAAAAGAAACTACAGTCAAACTATAAGAAATAGTAGGTGAATTCATCAGTATTAGTATGTACCAGGTCAACGTACAAAAATATATTGTATTTCTATATACCAGTAACAAAAAATTACAAAATGTAATAAAATGTAATAAAAAAGTACCATTTACAATAGCATAAAAAAATAAAATACCTAGGAATAAATTTAATGAAAGATGGCCAAGACCTTTGTATAGAAAACTACAAAACATTACCAAGATTAAAAGGCCTAAGTAGCGACGCCTGGGTGGCTGAGTTGGTTAAACATCTGCTTTCGGCTCAGGTCATGATCTCAGGGTCCTGGAATCAAGTCCCTCATTGGGCTCCTTGCTCAGCAGGGAGCCTGCATCTCCCTCCCCCTGCTTGTACATGTGCTCTCTCTCTGACAAATAAATAAAATCTTAAAAAAAAAAAAAAGGCCTAGGTAAATGGAAAGAGGTGCCATGTTCCTAGATTGTAAAGATGTCCATTTCCCCCAAATTGAATTATAGATTCAATGCCATGCCAGTAGAAATCCCATCAAGTTTTTTCTTTTTTTTTGGTAGACTTTTCAAGGTGATTCTGAAATTTATACACAAAGACTAAGGCAATAAATATCTTGAAGAAGAATATAGCTAAAGCATATACACAACCAAATATCAAAATTTATTAGTGACAGTAATTAAAGCAGTGAAATGTTGACACAAGAAAACTATACAAATGAAACAAGTTCAGAAATAGACTCACACATAAACTATCACTTGATTTATGACAAAGGTGACATTATAGGGAAAAGATGGTCTTCTAATAGTGCCCAATCTCGATCCCTACCTCACATCATACAGAGAAATCTTTTTTAAGATTTTATTTATTTGAGAGAGAGAGAGAGAGCACAAGCAGGGGGAGGGTCAGAGGGAGAGGCAGACTTCCCACTGAGCAGGAAGTCTGCTGCAGGACTCAATCCTGGGACTCCAGGATCATGACCTGAGCAGAAGGCAGATGTTTAACATACTGAGCCCCATAGAGAGAAATCTATTTGAGAGGGCAGACACAAAAAAAGCACATTCTGTATGATTCCATTTCTATAGAGCTCAAAACCCAAACTAATCATGCTCAGTGACCTTTTCTTAGGAGGCTCACATGAAAGAATGTCATGGTACATTGATCAAACTTTTATTCATTTGCATTTTCAGGACGTTGCTAATACCATATGACACTCAACAAATTACACTACAATGTGACATTTTGTACAAATCACTTCACCTCTAGTTTCTTCTTCACCTGTGTTACTTCAGCCTCTGGTTAATTAGAAAAAAAAAAAAAATTAAGAGTTTGTGTGTGTGTGTGTGTAGGGGAGGAAAAACTTTACCTCTACCTTTTTAGGGTTGGTGACTGGGGCCTGTGAGTTAAATGGACAAAAGACAGGTTAACAGGAGAAGCATACAAATTTAATTGATATTTTAAACTTTACTTCCATGGGGGGTACATGAAAAAGTAAAAACCCAAAAGAAGTTGTTAGGCTTAGAGGCTTATATACTGTTTTAACAAAGAGTGATAAATTGTGAACCAAATAGGCAAACAAAAAGGGGGCTTGGGCTTTTAGAGGTGGCAAATTGGGGGAAAGTAAATATATGGGCAAACTAATGGAGAATAAGGGTTATTTTAGTAAGGTTTATTTGTGCAGACTCATCTCAGTGCCATCTGTTTCTAGTAATAAGCGTTATTTTCCTCTTCCTAGTACAGAAGAGAGGAGACACCTTTACAAATGAAAATTGGTCACTTTTACAAAGGGACATTGATGCCCTGATTTTTGGCAGAAGCAAAGGTGAGTTATTCCTACATCTGCTGCTTCTCAGTTGCCTTTAGGTCAAAATAATCCTTATGCCAAAGTGGCATATTTTGGCGTGGTATATTATAATGCCCTTAGTTTTCTAAGGGGAAATCAAAGTTCAAGTACTCCAGTAAAGATATTGATTCCCAAACTACTGTGTTCTGCAGTTAGTTCCCTAATGTGTCTTTTAAAAAAGTTCTATGGTCAAATAAGTTTGGGAAATGCTGGGTTAAACAAAGTTAGATGTGATTTTTTTTCCAGCAAGCGTTCTCAGAACCTTTAATTAACTAACAATGCAATGTGATTCTGCAAAAAAAGGTAATAATTCATTGTGTCTCCGAGCTTATTAGACCATGGAGCATGTTTCTCAGGATTTTTCAAGACTAGTGTTTTCTTCTTATGTATGTTGAGAAGTAATGGGATTAGCTACCCTTGCATGTAAGGGTAGAAGTTTGAGCAGCCACTGAAAGAAGTATAAGCCAAACTAACTGAATAAAGGTGGCACAATGTCCGTCAGCAGTAACCATGCTACATTCTGAGTCATGCTCCAGGGGACTAAGCTCCAATTTGTCCCTAGGAAGAAAAACTAAAGTGTCCAAAACTTCTGGATCCTATGGAATTAAAACCCTTTCTCGGGCACTAAAGAGTACCACTGGGATGAAGAAAAAATGGTCTCACGTGTTCATTTCCATCCTTGGCACAGTACAGCTCCAGTTGCATTATTCTTAAACATCTATTAACATGATTGCTTCATAATTACAAAGGCTAACGGCCAAGCCTTTTTCACAGGAAGCAAGGCACTGCTTGTCTTTAACTGCTCTTCTGGCTCATGCAAAAGGGTCAGCCTTTTAAAAAATCTTTTTAATATGTTAACTGAAGAAACATCTCTAAAATGTCATTCGAGTGACTGCAAGATAAAAAGGAAAAAGCCCATTCAAAGGCACAGAGCTAACTAAATGCAATAATGAGATGATTTGGGGTTGGGGGAGTGCAGGATTCAGAACTGACGGAAGTCATCAGACGCGTATGGTACCCAGTGTCTTCCCTCTGGTTATCCTGTTCTGTCAGAATTTTAATTTCAGCAGAGACCATCCTCAATACTGTGATCGACTGATTCAGAGTCCCAATCAGTAGACTTGATCCTTGATCCTCCATTGTCATCTACTGCCACGTGTCCCCTTCTTCATCATCTTCCATGCTCTCGGAATAGGGGTAAAGCTAAGTACCCAAGTCAGAGGATTGGTTGGCAATATCCTATATTATCTCAAGGATTTGGGAAAAAAAATGGAGAGAGAAGGACTAGTATCTACTGAGCAGCTAGATGCCAGATATTTTCACAAACATTCCTCATTAACAAATGAGGCCTTTTTCCAATTTTGAGAAGAAAGAAAACTGGGGCTTAGAAAGGTTATAAAACGTACCTAAGGTCAAACCAAATGCTGATGAGCAAATGAGGTAGAATTTGAGCGAGGTCTGTGTGAGTCCAAAGTCAGTTTTACAATAGCACGCTGTTTCCTGATCATAAAAAACTCCATTTATATAGGAGCATGAATGACCCATTTATGCCATTTTTCTCTGTATCTAGTGCAACATCTAAATTTTTATCATCACCCTAACTTCAAGAGACCTGATAATGTTTAGATCATCTCATTCATTTGCCCAAATCAATGGAGCTATTTATTCTCAACTGCTGGTAATGAACTTCCTTAACTCAGCATTTTGTGGAAAAAAGTCTAAATACTTGAATTGCTTCATTTCATGCTCATTCTCTTGCATACATCTTTTTGGTTTGCTTTTAAAAATAGATTCCAAAATCATGACATATTCAGATCTGAAAAACAGGATGGAGGGCAATGAGAACACTAATCTGAAATGGTCACATGCCCGGAGTACCTGTGTCTGTTGTAATCCCAATAGAAAACTCTTGAATTTATGAAGCAGTCATGCTTGTGGCCTTCATTGAAAAAAAAACACTAAACAAAACACTGTCCTCGGACTGTAGACTTGCATTCTACCCCGTCTTCCACAGCTGCCACCCTGGTTAAGACTGACTCAGTTTCCTCATTATTTAAAATAAGAATCGATTTCTTAAGTTCCTTTAAAAATTCCATAATTCTATAGTAAACCATAATTCACTGACCATTCCTGTGAAAAAACAATTTAAAATAATTCAAATCCCATTATTGTCCCTTTTAAAATTTGACAAAAGCGAAGGACCCACCTGTCTTCCAGTTAAATTTTCTTTTTAGCGTGACAGAAAATCAAACAGCAAAGAAAAAAGCAAGTCACTACCTAGACAGAGTGATACACAGTGTCTGGAAAATGATTTACTTAATGAGAAAGCAGAGTAATAGTTCGCTTATTTTGGTTGCAGGTATCATGATTGATATCCTCTAAAGGGTAGAGAGAAAAATCAATCTTTTCCAGGAAACACAGTAATACAGTAAAGCTTCTTTCCCTCTTGATTAGCCTGATACTAGAATATTCACAGATGAAAATAATCCTGTGAGTGCTATTCCTCATACAGACGCCCACAACATCTGCTTCCAAATTCTTATCAACAGAGAAATTATATAACAGACTATCTGGCTCAATCCTTACTCCAGTAACTATCTGGCTCAATCCTTACTCCAGTAACAAACAGACCAAGGTTTCCCAGTACAGTTTCCTTGGCATTCACTTTCCTTTTTTGTTCAGATGTAGTAACACACCTTGTAAGAGGAGAGCCTGACTCATCTCCACCACAACCTGGTAGAGCTGAGCAAACACTAGTCAGTCAAAAATATCATTGACTTGACTTTCTTGGTTTCATCTCCTTATGAACTCATTCCTTCAAAATATGAGGATCAGAAGCATGTCAGTGGCAGTGTGCAGTTCTTGCCTACTTTTTCAAAGGTTCTCTGAACACTGTCAAGCCTTTAGGTGGAGGCACTAGAGGGGATACTTTGGGGAAATACTCCCATGAGCCATACTAGCAGATGCCGAAATGGGGAAGAGAAGTAGTGGGCAAGTTCCTCCTACCTTCTTCCTCTCTTTTCTGGCCACCATGCCCAGGAAGCTTTATAAGCAGAGGTCCCATGTCAGGAAACATCGGTCACACTCACTACTAACTTTACCATCACAGACTCGTCACTCTCTCATTCATGTTGAGGACAGTACAACAATCTCAGAACAATATTTCTCAAACTACACAGTACATATAAATCACCTGGGCACTTTGCTGAAAAGGAGATTCAGATTTAATAGATCTAGGAGAGAGTGCAAACTGCTACAGTTTTAACGAGCTTCAGTGGATGCTGATCCTTCCGGTTTGCAAACCACACTTGATTAGCAAGGTCCTAGCATCTCTGCCCTCCCGAATCTCGAGTACATTCTACCTTAAGGTCTCCTTGTGGCTGGTTCTCTATCAAGAGAACTAAACATAGCAGAAGACTCAGAACCTCTGCATTGTGAGAATTCTATCCTACATGGGGGAGCTAAGTTCACTAACTTTCACTGTCTGGATTCTGGATCTTTCTTCTTGCCCAGATGGATTTGCCAGCTTCTTCCTGCTTAGCTGAATGATATATCCTGGCTCAGCCTTACCAGCTTGATTTGATGCCATTCCGCTAGCGACTCAAACATTAGGAGCACCTGCTAAAATACAGATACCTGGGCCCTAACCCTGAGATTCTGATTCATTAGGTCTAGAGTGGCCCCAAGAATAAATAAGACATCCTAGGTGATTCTAATACATGAGACTTTGAGGAAGGAAATACATGTAGTCTCTTCAACTGATTGTGGAGAAATCTGTATCTATCTATGACTGTTAATGCCTTTACATCAAGGAAGGCAGCCAAGAAAGGTAGGAAAAAAGGAAACACAACTTGAGTATCTGATACTATGAGAGAAGAAACAACTTCTAGTTGTTAATTATAATTATAGTTAACAACTATAGTTAATTTCGGTGTATTCTGTCCTTTTCTTTAGAGAAGTTCACTGAAAATGGAAAGTATGTCTTGTGTATTCTATAGAAATTCTTCTGGGTGCCTGGGTGGCTCAGTTGGTTAAGCGACTGCCTTCAGCTCAGGTCATGATCCTGGAGTCCCGGGATCGAGTCCCGCATCAGGCTCCCTGCTCAGCAGGGAGTCTGCTTCTCCCTCTGACCCTCCCCCCTCTCATGCTCTCTATCTCATTCTCTCTCTCAAATAAATAAATAAAATCTTTAAAAAAAATTCTTTTAATATAGGTATGATTACAGATACATTCAATTATAAAAATATCAAAGGAATGGCTATTTGCCCTTCTGACTGAATAAATGAAACTGAAGTTTTCAGTTCACACGCAATACAATTTTCTTTTAAATATATCCAAGAAGACAAACACTGAGCTCGGTTAACAAAATTAAGAACTGAACACTGATTAGTACCCTAAAAAAGCAGAAGCAAATATAAAATACAAAAAGTAGCTTTACTTAGACTTTATGAAGGAAATGTCCTAAGAAAGGCCACAGTTGGGCTACTTGGTCTCTTCTGGGGCCAGTGTGACATCTTGAGGGACCTGAGCCTCTGCTGGAACAGCTACAGGTCCTGCCACAGTAGCACTGAGATCAGATGCAGCAGGGGTGGCTTCTGGACTGGAACTAGCTCCTGTCTGACTGGGGGTGCTCTCCGTCTGACTGCAGGTGGTCTCAATCTGAGAGGCTGAGGATTCTTGACTAGAGGTGGCATCTGTCAGACTGGATAGGTCAGTCTGAGCAGGATTGGCCTCTTCTTCTGTTTCCAACTCTGTTTCCTGACTTTGAGCTTCCTCACCTTCTTCTACCATAGCAGGTGGTAGCTGTAATAAAGTCTAATGAGAAAAAGAAAACATCAATAGGAACTCAAATGAAAAAAACACTGTCTTACAAAGCTAAGCTCTCATATTATCTTACTAATAGATACTGTTCAATCGAGGGTTCTCTAAAACACTGCTGGCCACTGTGTATTACAAACAAAACTCTGATGGCAATGGCCTAGATCTTGCTGACTCCAGAGATCAAAGTATGTATTAAATCTTCAGAGAAGAAAATAACATGAAAACCGATTAGCTTTTTTAGCAAAGAAATTTGCTGTAACACTTCTACAAAAACAGTGGCTGATTAGAAGTGATTGACACAATTGAAGAAAGGGCCAGCCTCAGTCAAGGAGCCATGTGAGGGGTGGGGAGGAACCAAGCCTTCAGACAAAACCATGGCAGAGAGGGGGCAGCAGGGCACCAAGCTTCTGTCCGCACTCAACCAGAACACTGGAGCAGCTCTACATGCTTAGCCTCCCCTTTAGAATGGCTAAAATAAAAAAGGCCATAACAAGTGTGGGTGAGGGTGTGGTGCAACAACAGCTCTCATTTGCTGCTGCTGGGAATCTGATGCAACTACTTTGCAAAATGGGTGGGCAGTTTCTTAAGAAGTTGAACACATTTACTCTGTTTTTCAGCCATTCTACTCCTAGGGACTTCCCCCCCCCCCCCCCCCCCCCCCCGCCAAATACAAAGACTGGTACAAGAATGTTCACAGCAGCTTCCTCTGTAATAGCCAAAGTTGGAAAGAACCCAAATGTCCATCAACAGGTCAATGGGTACACCTGATAGGTCCCTACAGTGGAATATTATTTGGCAATAAAAAGGGGCTACAGGTTGAGGGTAAGATCCTTGTTTGCCTGGAGAAGGTGGGAAAGGGACTGGTGAAGGATGAGAAGGGTTACCAAGGGGCACGAGGAAACTTTTGGAGATAATGAGTATGTTCATTATCTTGATTGTGATGATGGTTTCACAGGTATTTACATATATCAGAACATATTAAATTATATGCTTTAAATATGTGGAATTTATCATAGGCCAAATTATATCTACATAAAGGTGTTTAAAAAATATGGATATTACATGAATAACAACAACCTTGTTTGGTTTAGCTGGTTTCCCACAAGGAATTGAGTACTTTAAAGGTGTAGTCTGCAAAGAAGATTCTTTCTACAAGAAAAATAAGAGTGAATTTTGAGAAAACTCACCTGATGATAATGATGTGTGGTCTGTATCAAATGCATGTACATGTTGTATACAAAGTTTGCCATCTGGGGCATGTTCTTTATTATCTGTACTTCATGAGATGGTCGCTCTCCATTCTAGAAGGCAAAGAGAAAGTTAAGGACAGTGAGAAGGTTGTTATGCTAAAAGTGAACATTCCAGATGCCCATGTCTCCATCTTATGTAAAAGCACTACTAGGGTTTGGAGGACATCAGAATAGTACCAGGACATTAAGATATAAGTGTATGTGAGAGCCCAATAACGACTTCATAAAGAGAAGAGATTCAATTTAAATTTAGCAAAAGGTAGAGACTAGAAGGGAACTACGAGTTACTACCTTTTAATTTCAGGCTGGCAAGTGAAACAGGAGTTTGGGTCTAGGAACCCATGTGGAAGAGTGAGAGCTACAGGATCATTTGAACCGAGAGAAAAATCAACATGGCCTAAAGTACGGTCTCTAATACCTTGTATGTTCCAAAGGCAATTTTCAAGTTTATTCAGAAAGAAAATATTGAGGGTGCCTAGGTGGCTCAGTTGGTTAAGCGACTGTCTTCGGCTCAGGTCATGATCCTGGAGTCCCGGGATCGAGTCCCACATCAGGCTCCCTGCTCAGCAGGGAGTCTGCTTCTCCCTCTGACCCTCCTCCCTCTCATGTTCTCTGTCTCTCATTCTCTCTCTCACAAATAAATAAAATCTTAAAAAAAAAAAAAAAAGAAAATATTGAAACTATTTTTCCTATTTAAGTTTTTCTAAAAATAAGCTAACATTACTGTTATTTAATATACAGACTGTCATGAGGCTGAATACTCAAAAGGTTTTTTTACTAATAAAGTGCATGATCACATACTAAAGTCCAAACTTTGTGGTATGTTTCAGAACTCTCTGGGGAAGACTGTTAATTGTGGAGGTGTGCTGGCTCCAGCTCCCGGAGACGGAGATTCAGTAGGTCTGACAGAGAATGAGGGGATGCTGCCGCAGGAGTTTCTGACAACCATCTGAGAAACACTGCTCTACCAGTGCAGGTAAAGTGGTAAAGTGAATGAAGACAATAAAAAATTTGCACTTCCCCCTAAACCATCCTAGAATAAAGGGGCTACACCATCCTTCACCAGTCCCTTTCCCACCTTCTCCAGGCAAGTTTCCTATTTATAATCGATTATAAAACGTTTATAAAGTCTCACCCTTTCTTACTGTAGATGCAGTTCCGAAAACCATAAAGGTAAAAAACTTCTATCAAGACAAAGGATTTTTACCATAAAGTAACAAATTAGCGCACAGAATGTCAGAAATAATTAAGTGCATTAAATAGTTATTTCTCAGAATTAAGCAGGATGGCAGTATTACATATAGGCAGGTGTTCTTTTGATAGTGGGCACTTTCTGCAAGGGTCACACGATGTGCAAAGACTGCCATGCCGTTACAACTACGAAACACGGTCTTCACAACATGGAAGGTTTTGTGTTTGTTTGTGTTTATTTGTTTGCTTTTTTTCTGGTGGCTCCGCTAGGAGCTGCCTCTTCTGAGATGCAGTGCTAGCCGTGCAGCCCTCTTGGCCTCCGACACCGGTCTCTTGAGCGGAAGATGGGGAGACGCTCTTAGTGCTTAGCCCCCTGGGTGTCGGGGAAAGCACTGGTTTTCAAGCCTTCTGCTCGTTGGCACTGCCTGATCTCCATGTGCCTCCATTATTACTCTGTTATCAATTAAGGAGTTGAACAGAGGCAGTAAAGTACAGTCATTAACATGGATTCTGGAGTCACACTGCCTGGGTTTTCAAATCTTGGGATTCTCCATCTATGAGATGCATGACCAAACTACTTAACTTTGCTAATCCTGTTTCCCCATACATAAAATGGGGTTAATAAGAAAACCTACTGAACAGGACTCTTAAATGAGATGAAACGAGATAATGTATGGGAAGAGCTAATTGCCTGATACTAGTGAGTGCTCGATAAATGTTAGCATGTATTATTATTTTGCACAGAAAATCGAATTCAGTTCCACAGTGTAAGAAGCACCCTAAACCAGTGATCGGATGATCTATGTGATGCTGGTTCCTAGCTACTGTGGTCATCTATAGGAGAGTGCTGTTCTATACGATGAAGAAAGAGTCCTACCTTTCTACTGGTTGGGAAAGGTTCTGTCGGAATTATATGCAAATGAAGTGGACGGGCAGTAAGCTGGCTGAAAGCTGGAGTTAGTTCAAAACAGTTTTGGAAGAGGGATACTCTTGCGAAGATATACAGTCCAAGTCTGGCTCTAGACATGGCCACCACTAAGCGACGGACATCCCTTTGGGAAACAAAATTAATTAGCATAGTTCAAGATTAATAACATATGCATGCAGCTTTTCTTTTTTTTTTTTACTTATTCTACTAAATATTCCTGTTAAGTTATGGCAATAAAAAGTTAAGCTTCTTAAAAACTGAACAGAATAAACAGATTAAGTTAATCAATATCAAGTGACTAGTTAAACCAAGTAAAGTTACTACTTTATCACTAACCTCTGTGTTGATGTTTTTGTTTTTGTGAGTGGGGGAAATCATGACTAATGCACTGATAAAAAGGTCTAAGTAGCTACATTAGAATTATGGAACAAGAAGTCAAGTCGTAAGAATGTGAAAAAGACAAAAGCATGACACAGTTAAGAAAAAAGATGGGGAGGGGATGAGGCATTATTCATGTATTCATACTGTGAGTTTTGGAGATTTTAATTATGTAAATCATAATGATGCCCCATTCAGACAGCAGCTATACATCTCAATGCTTCCAGAAAAGGATCTGCTTTTTAGAAAAGTTCGTCTCCAAATACATGTTTGATAAGCAAAAATAAGCTATTTTAGAATGCAATAGTTTTGAAACAATTTCTCAAAACATTACATCTTTGTTTACTCTTACATAAAAGTTATCATTCTAATGGAACTTGATCACTGGGCTAAGCTCCAAATAGATTTTGACTTAATGACAACATTATGAGAGCTTGGAGACTTTTCTCTTTATATCCACCAAATAAAATAATAAAATGAACTCTCATTATAGTTTTGTTAGTAAGTCATACGAGATGAAGATTTATATAAAACTAAACGGCTGCTTTGTAATAAGAAGATATTATTCCCATAAATCTCTAGCACATAAATACATCACAATAAATGATAAAAATAGGTTATTGTTTGTTTTGACAGTTCTTAATCCTGGGAGAACAAATGGTTCCTTTATCCTCTAACAGTGAAGCTGAAAGACTGTGTGAGAAAAAAAGTCAGAAATCCTGTGCAATGAAAAATGTACTCTGAAGACTTTTTACCACCTTACCTCTTTTAATTTCTGATACTGTTTCTGACAAATGTAAGATATTAAGATTTCATAATAAAATGCTATCTCTGAGTGTTACTGAAGACTAAAAAGTAAATGTACTAAAATATTTAAGATTCAAAAAATTCAGAAGCAATGACAATAGTTAACTCTACAAAGAATATGATATTGTTATACTCTAACAAGAAGCTTGCCAAACCAAATGCTGCTATAACAATTAATTATGCTTTAAGCTTAAAAAAATTTAAAACCACTTAGCCAAAGCAGTTCAAAATTGAATCAGATAATAAATTTCAATAATATAAAAAAGTTTTCCTTATGTACCTCAGATGGCCCACTGCCCTGGTTCGTACTAGAGAAAGAAGAATATAATCATTCTGTTGACCTTGAAATCTGTCAACAGTTGTCACCTAGGAAGAAAAAATGGGAGATACGGTATATTTTCAAAGCACAATAATAAGACTCTAGAGAGATAATTTAAATAATATGCTAGAAATAAAAATCTTATCATTAAGATAATCAATCCAAAAAGAAAACATGATCATATACTTGGAATTGAGAAAACCAGTTAATGAACACTATGAAATAAACCTTAGTAACCAGATTAGGCCACGTCCCTATGTTACTACACTTACAGCACTGATCTTTACCTCTGCTGACAACCGAATTACTATCTATAGAATTAACAGTCTTCCCCTACTAGACTGCCCAACTCTCTGGATGCAGGGACCTGTTAATCTTATTACCTGGTATCCCCATTTGATGTCCAGCAGTATAACTTAGTATGCTCACTTATTATTTAACATATTCTTAGTTCTCATGGATAGCATCCTTCTGACACACAAAAAATAAACAAGTAATTTTCATAGTACTTTTTGTTCAGTTTGAAACTATATAACTAGGAAAGTTCATGCAGGTTTCAATCTGATATTGACACTCAGGCATTTATCACTTTTTCACTAATTCAACAAAAAAAGTTTAAGTGCTTATGTGTATAAGCTATAATTCATGGTCCATACCTTTAGGAATTTTACAAAACATTTCTTTTTAATCAACTTCACAGAAGTATAGTTCACATATAATAAAATGCACTCCAAACTTGAAGTGTCTACTTCGATAAATTTTGACAATATATGCTCCTAGATAAGCACCACAATGAAGATTTCCATTATTTCAGGCCCCTTTGTAGTCAAAACTGTATCCCCAAGCCCTGGGCAAACACTGATCTGCTTTCTGTCACTATAGATTTCTTTTTGCCTGTTTAAATTCCTTAAAAATGGAATCATAAAGTTTTTTTTTTTTTGGCTTGAGTTGGCATGTTTTTGAGATTCATCCATGTGTTGTGTCTATTAGAAGTTCATACCTTTTGACTGTTGAATAGTATTCCGATGAATAGATACACCACATTTGTTTACCCATTTACCTGTTCATGTCATTTGCGTTGTTTCTGGTTTGGGGCTTTTTTGTTTTGTTTTAAATTTTGATTCCAGTGTAGTTAACATACAGTGTTATTTTAGTTTCAGGTGTACAGTATACTGATTCAACAATTCTACACATTACCTGGTGCTTGTCATGGCAAGTGCACTCTTTAATCCCCATCCCCTACTTCACCCAACGTACCATCCTCCTCCCCATAGAGACTGTTCTCTATAATTGAGTGTTTCTTAATTTGTCCCCCCCCTTTGCTCATATGTTTTGTTTCTGAAATTCCGTATCAGTTAAATCATATGGCATTTGTCTTTCTCTGACTTATTTTGCTTATAGCATTATACTCTCTAGCTCCATCCATGTTGTTGCAAATGGCAGAATTTTAAATGTCTGAATGATATTCCATTGTGTGTGTGTGTATAAACACACACATATCTCACATCTTCTTTATTCATTTATCAATCGATGGACACTTGGGCTGCTTCATAATTTGGCTATTGTAAATAATGCTGCTATAAACATAGGGGTGCGTGTACCCCTTTGAACTAGTGTTTTTGTATTCTTTGGGTAAATACCCAGTAGTGCAATTGCTGGATCATAGGGCAGATCTATTTTTAAGTTTCTGAGGAATCACCATACTGTTTTCCAGTGGCTGTAGCAGTTTGCATTTGGTTTGGGGCTATCTTGAATAAAGCCGTAATTCATGCATAAATATTTTTGTGGACATATATTTTCACTGTTCTTGAATGAGTATAAGTGAAATTGCTTAGCTGTATGGTAAGTGTATGTTTAACTTCATGAGAAACTGTCAAACTGTTTTCCAAAGGTGCTGTACCACTCTACACATTCACCAGCACTGTTCTAGATTCAGAGTTCCAGTTGCTCCACATCCTTGCCAACAACTGGTACACTGTCAATTTTGCCAATTTTAGCCAATCTATTTGGTGTGCAGTGTACCTCACTGTAGTTTTAATCTGCATTCCCCTGACAAGGAATGATGGTAAGCACTTTGCATGTGCTTATTGGCCATTCCTATGTCTTCTGGTGTAAAGCGACTATTCGTTCGCCAATTTTGTATTGGGCTGTGTTTATTTAACAACAACTGTTATAGATAGGAGTTCTTATATTTTGGATTTAAGTGTTTTGCTCTTACGTGTGGATGTAATCCCTGGAAATTTCTGTTGCCAACCTGACCATGTAGAAAGCTTATCTGAGAACTGGACTCACACACTCAGAATGGCAGAGCAAAAGGATGAAATGAACCTTGGTCTTTGATGACATCATGGAATCACTCTGTAACTCAGCCCTGGAGCCATTTCACTTTTGTCTTCTTGTTATGAGAGAGAGAACTTTCCTTTATTACTTAAGTTTTTCTGTTATAAATTAAAGGACTCAGATATTGAGGTTCTTCTACTTCTAAGCTTTCTATATTTCAAAGTTACTTGTTTCTCATTTTCACTTTCTACATGGAGTGTTCAGTGTGTCCTTGTACTCCTTTCAACTCTGTCTCCATTTCTGTGCTTTTATTTTCTCCCAGCTCACATTTCATCTCTTCCTGAGTTATTAAATTTCTCTGCTTTGTAGCCTTCCCCACAGAAATGGTTACTTCATTAAGCATTTTAAAATTCACAGCCAAATGTGTATTCAAAATTTTCAATCTGTTCCGGGCCAACATGTTTTTGAAGCAAATGTCTTGTCGGTACGTTTTGCTGCCCTCCTTTTTTTCCCTGTATAAATCGAGCTTGTGCTAGGTTACTTTTTCTCACTATTTCATCACTGAATATGTGGTTTCTTAGATTAGCTATGTGCCAGAGGTTAAGCTGGGATGAGCTGGATGGTTTCCTAAAGGCTGGGTGGTTTTCACAACAGAAGGTTCTCTTTTCCTCTGCTACTGTAGAGACAAGTCTGCTTTTGGGCGAGCATGGCTCACATGGAGGCTTCTTTGAACCAATCTGGGAACAGGAAGGCTTCTGCTCACCCCAATTTCCACATCCACTGTTCAGTAACAGGAACGTGGCTCTTATGCTTCAGAGTGTGCCATTCACCTTCAGAAAGTGTTTTTGCTGGTACTTTCAAGACTGGTCCTCTAAATTCTCTTCTTCCCACATTTTCTTCCTGATCTTAGTCCCCTGATTTGTGTCACCTCACTAAAAATGTCGTTTGTCTTTCCCTCCTCCCATTTTCCTGTTACTCTTGGATGATTTCCAAGAAAAAGTGAAAGAGCTTCCATGTTTACAACTAAAGTCTTAATTTCATCATTAGTAATATATTTTTTATTCTAACCTTTCAGCCTTTTATTGATATAATCAAGTGTCTTATTTGATATTACTCTATACCACACAAAAAATTTAAAAAAGCATAAAAAAAATAATCCTCAGGTCTGAAGGTACTACAATCTTTCCTTATTCTCAAGAAAAAACCCTCTCCCACACACATACAATAAAAAGCAGTACAAATTATACCTTTGCAAAAATGACAAAATAAAAAAATGCTACAATCCTATTTCTACTATAATAGTACATAAATAATGTAATTTCATTATCCTCCATTTTACCAACAAAAAGTTTTAGGATCATTTATTTCTGATTACCATCAACAAAAGTCTTCAATGTGGTAGTTGAGACAGAAGTTCACAGCAAACCAACAACACTGATAGGACTGCTAGAGAATTATTTATAGTTCCTATTATTTCATTTCCTTATGTCTTAAAAGGAGATAGCAAAGAGACAAAGTAGAATAATATAAATAACTCGTAATAAATATAAATTTTCCCATCCTGCCAACATGATGAATAAGAGAACATATGATATTCACAAAATTACCTTATTTGGTCTTCCAATCAATGGATTGCTTCCACATCGTCTATTGATGATGTCACGAATAAGATGCTTTTGCCCATTATATGTTGTTAGAATACTAATCTTATCAGCAGGGTAACCAAGTAAACACATGTACATAAAAAGTGCCACTACATATTCTGCTTCTCCAAGATTCTGTAATGTAGAAATGATCAATTATGCATTTATTTCCTTTTGCTTCAATTCTGCAGAAAGAATGGTTATAATTGGCACGAGTGTTCATTTATTACACCTCAAGAAGTGAAGTCAACTTGGACAAGTGAACACCTTCCATAAAACTAAGGAATAATCCTATCCTAGGTTAACTGATAACATAACATGAAAATCAAAAAAGGAAGACAAGAAGCTGGTTTTCATGTAAAGACAAAAGTAAAATTCTCGAACACCTTCAGAAAAATCATTTACATTCTCCCCCTCTCCCTCTGCAGCCCGCACTCCCCACCCCCACTCTCTCTCTCAAATAAATAAATCTTTAAAAAAAAAATAGAACGCTATACAATATATTTTACAACCTAGTTTTTTTCATTTAATATAGCATAAACATTTTCCTTGTCAGTAAACAAAGTTACAATGTTATCATACTTAGTGCCTATTCATTATATGGAATAGGTAATAGTGTAATTAATCCCTACCAATAGATACTTTGGTTGCTTCTCATTTCTAAAATAATATGCAGTAAAAGAAAAAGATCTGATGGACATTTTAGCACATAAGCCTTTGCAAACTTGTCCATTTATTTTTTTAGGATAAATTCTTCAGAGTGAGGACACTGCTTTTAATACATACTGACAATCTGTTCACCAAATTGTTTTCCTTCTAGCATTGCATGAGTATAAAATTTCCCTAAACCTACTCCACACTGAGTATTATTAGAGGTGAAAATACAGTCCAGTGACTTATACTTGCTATAAATCTTTTTTTGTGAATTGCACATTTTTATCTTTATTGCATTTTTCTGTTGGGGTGTATTTTAAAAAGTGATTTATAGGAGTTCCGTATATATATATATTCAGAATTCAACCCACTGTCTGTTAAATCTTGGAAATAAATTTTGGTCTCCAATCAATATTTTTATGATTTCTGCCTCTGGTAATGAGCTTAAGACCTTTCTCACCCTAATGTTATTATAAATATATATATATGTGTATATATTATATATTAAATCAGGATTTTCTTCTTTCTAGTGTGTTTAGTTTCTTTTCTTTGGTGTACATATCTTGAATCTATTTGAAACAGAGATTTTTGTGTTGTGTGTGAGGTGGGAACTTAATTTTGTTTTTTCAATGGCTAGCCAAATGGTTCAATGTCACTGATTTAGGTAGTAATTCAGCTAGTTAATGCAAAATAAACTTAAAAGTTTCACGTTTTTTCTCACCTGATAAAAATAAGGATTAGGTTCAGACTCTCCCACTCCTTGAAAATCTTCCACATTGATGAGCTGGAAGTCATAAAGCAAGCCAGCATTTGCTGTACTAAACTCTGGCAAGAGCTGCACATGAGGTAGGTTTCCCAGATTCTTGTATCGCCAGTTGTAGAGGTTACATAAGCTTTCCAAAGACAAGCCCCGCCCCCACAAACAGGAAATATTAGTGATGCAAAATTTGGGTTCCTAAGGAGCTGTGCTCTTCCTTTTAATTTTCATGTTCACCATTTTGCACTCATCCTTTTAGCAATAATGCTTTTTCAACTTGCCTCCCTGCTTCAAGTAACCAAAGGTCAGAAGACTTGATGATTACAGAAATGAAGCTCTATTGTGTTCTCTGAGATAAATGCTATCTTTATTCCTTAAATAAAAAAAAAAACAAAAAACAGGGGAGAGTCTGTAAATTGAGGAATACTTTGAGGTAATTATGAGATAGGGCCTGTACACTTAATATTAGTAAGAACTGGTGTGTTTTCTTCTTGTTCACCTTTTGTTTTAGATTTCAAAATGATATTAACTATATATCTTCTGGGGGCATGAAGAAAGGGCAAGGGACAGTGAAAAGAAGCTTTAGTTTACAAGTCACATCAATTAATCTCAGTGAATGAAGTACAGGAAATATCTCGGTCAGTTCACACCCCATGCCGAAGGCAATATAGGCACTTCCAGATTTGTAGATGGCAGGTTCCTAGACAACAGGGAATTCTACACTTGCTACTGAATATGCTACCAAATAGCTGGATCACGGAACTGGGGTCCTTAAATAGGTAGTTCTTAAGGCTCCTTTACCTTGCCCTGGCTCTCCCTTGAGCATCAAGGTCCACAGTAGGAACTCCAACCCGGACAAAGCGAGTGAAGAGAGACTGCTCCATGTTTGAATACTTCTGAAAGGCCATATTCTTAATGACTGGAGGTAACTGGTGATGATCACCAATCATAATCCAGCGTTTCAGGCGGCTAAAACCATCTTGAGGATTCTAGAAAATGAAAAGTGAGGAGATGACAAAATACTCTGATTAATATATTGTCCTGTTGGTCTCTAATTAATCACTCAAGAGTCCTGCTATTTAAAAAAAATGGCTTTATTGGCTTACTAATTCTTATTCACCAGTTCCACAGAGAGAAATCTGGAAAATTTATAGAATGATTTGTGAACCACAAACAGGGGCCATCACCCTTATGACTGACAGTGCATGAGGGAGGGTAGAGGGATTGAGAAGGTGAGCATGGAATTACCCTACTTTAAGGTAGGGCAAGCCAAGGGAGACTCAGGTCAAAATTAGGCAAAGCGTGCATAGAAAGAAAAAGATGCCTGCGCAGGGAAATGGACAGATGTCAAAGTAGATACTCTGTATTACAATTAAGCCAAGAGCCAGTCTGAAGACCCCCAAAGCAGTAAAAATTATGTCTTTAATTTCCCACATGACTACTTTGATTTCCTACTTTACACACCTTGTTCCTTGAAACATACCCTGATAAAACACATCCCAAGTTCCAAATAACTTGGCTCATAAAACAACTTTTAGAATCCAATTTATCCATAAATTAAAGCAGTCACTATTCTTAAATTGGGAATTCCACATTTTGTTTTTAATTCTTCCATAGTAAAGACTATTGTACAATAAGAAACATTCTTAAACATCGTCATTAAGCTCAGAAAAATTTAGGCACAAAATAAAGAAAAGCAATGTACTCAGTGAACATCAAAAACAATTCCAGAAACAACTCTAACAAAGGAAATGAAAAAAATAGCTCATCTACCCTCCAGACTGCTTAACAATGTAATTTTCTTGATTAAAATTACTGTCTTTTCAAAACTTAAAGATAAACTATGAATTTTTAAATAGTACTCCTGGAAACAAAACAAACTACTAAATAACCAGTGACTAGATTAAAGGAAGTTTATAGGCTTAAAATAGAATAGCAAACATAATGAAGTTAAAAAGAATATGTAATTATGACAATTAGCACCCCAAAACTGTGTAGATTTTTGACACTGTTCCCCAGAATTCTTCAAACTCTACTTTCTTTGTCTCAGATCTCTGTTTCTTACCTGTAGAAGAAGAGGTATAAAAGTTTCTATTTCCAGGATCTGTGCAGCCTCTTCCATTAAAATGTTGTCATACTGAGAAATGGAGAAAAAGGAAAGCTTGTTAAAAAGACAGCTTGAGGGGCGCGTGGGTGGCTCAGTCATTAAGCGTCTGCTTTGGCTCAGGTCATGATCGCAGGGTCCTGGGATAGAGCCCCGCATCGGGCTCCCTGCTCCGTGGAAAGCCTGCTTCTCCCTCTCCCTCTGCCCCTGCTTGTGTTCCCTTTCTGTGTCTCTCTCTGTGTCAAATAAATAAATAAAATCTTAAAAAAAAAAAAAAAAAGACAGCTTGAAAGCCAAACAACTACCACCATAACTATAACAACTATCCAAAAAAACCCCAAATAATTTCAGATAAAAATAACATCATACAAATTATTCAAACAGAAAGTTCATAATCTTTTTTATCATGATGCCCCTGCTTTTCTAGTTCAAGTCTGTAACCTCAGGGAAGGCCCCTGAATATACAATTCTACCCTGAAGAGATCCTGCATATCATTTCTTACATTGTATATCAATTTAGTTATTTTCAACTCAGTTCCTTAAGTTCTACATAAGAAAGAATCAATTTATGATTATATATGAGGTCATTTCCATTGGTATTCTTACCCTGGATAGTTTTTTGGGCTATTTTTTTTCCCCTTATGAATCCTACCCAGCACTTGACAATCTAACTCTATTTTACCCCTGGCATTCAATTTGTCATCAAAGCATGTAGTTTTATCTTCAAAACTCTCTCTCCATTTCTACTACCACCACCACTAAAATCTAAGCCACCACTCTGACTACTGCCAGAAATCTCTTTTACTAGCCCATCCCCTTCCTGGCTTGCCTCCCCTAAACCACTGATAAAACAGGCATCAGATCATGTCACCAACTGGTTTCAAACCCTTCCCTGGCTTCCACTTATCTTAGGAAAAAGATCCCTGAAAAGGCCTGTAAAAGGTGTATTAATACAGGCCTTTATTCAATTTGGCCCCCGTCTTCCTCTCCTACTTTAAATGCCACCTTCCTCCTTACTAATTAAGCTTCAGCCATGTTGACCTATTTCATTTTCTTAGAAATGGCAAAACCATTCTGGCCTTAGGCCCTCTGCAGTACTATATGCTCTTCATTTTTTTGTCTGCTTGGCTCTTCCTCATCTTTAAAGTACCAGCTTAAAACCCACTTTATCCATGTCTTCTCTGACCTCCCAAGTTAAACCTGATTCCATAGAGCTCTCTCCTTTTGTCTCATAGCACATCACAATATGTAATTCTATCTGTATATTTACTTGTTTGATGCCTGCATCCTTCCACTAGCCCAGTTTCCAGTAACATCAGGCACTGCACACTTATAAGATAATGAAAAATCAAGTCTTTCTCCAACATAAGGAAATTTCATTTTCTTTGATGATTACTGCTCTCCCATCTGCTCAATTCTCTTCTAGATCTATTCTCAACATGTTTTCCTTCCCCTCTACTTCTAATTCTGCTTGTTACTTAGTGTGACATCCTCTTCCTTGTCTTATTGGTAAAATACCTTCTTTGAGAATCTCACTAAGTACAAATTAGAATTCCTTTGTTTTGTGTTTTTAATGTTTTCTCCTCTTAACCAACTGAGCCACCCAGGTGCCCCATGTTTTCTCCTCTTATTTTGTTTCCTTGGAAGGTGGAAGGTAGTAGCATATTTACTCTTTATGCTTAATTAACTCTCTTTTATTTTTTATTTATTTTATTACGGTATATTTTTTTCCAATTTCAGCTCCTGCCAGGGTGCCCTATTAACTCTGTTTTTAAATGAGTTGTTCACATATACTGTAATTTCTGTGCTACTCACTTTTACAAAACTATGGTTGTATTTATTTGTCCAAGACAAGCAGCTGACATGAATTTCCATTGGACATCCAATGATGAAAGTTAAGGTTCAATTCTGTACTGTTCCTTATTGAAAATACTTAAAGGTATGTGGATAGGTGTCTTCTCTAGCTCTATCTGATGCTGAATTTCCCTATTACAAGGATTAATTAGGTCATCCTCATGGGAGCTTAGGAGGAAGAGTTCTAAGATCCATATTTTCTCACAAGTCCCTGTGTGGACTCTGAGGATAATAGACATGATATGCAAAACAGAGTGGGAGCAGCTCAAGATGGTTTAAAGAGCCTGCTTTCTGAAAAATAACTCTGAAAATCTAATGCAATTTAACTTACAAAAAATGTATCTATAGATTCTGCTTTTTAAAAGGCGACTTTAATCACAAAGCAAAATTATGACATAACCATACTGGGCATATTAAGGCAGGAAAAGAGCACATGACTTTGCATGCATGTCTCCCTGGGGATGGCACAGGGTCAAAACACAATGTCGAAAATGCAAATTTATTTATTTGACACAGAGAGAGAGAGAGAGCACAAGCAGAGGGAGTGGCAGGCAGAGGGAGAAGCAGGCTCCCCGCTGAGCAGGGAGCCCGACGAGAGGCTCGATCCCAGGACCCTTGGATCATGACCTGAGACCAAGGCAGATGCTTAACCGACTAAGCCACCCAGGTACCCCTAAAACGCAAATTTAACATTCTTTACTGATACAGATAAAAAGAACACAGAAAATACTAAGAGTTGAAGGAATGGCTAATCAGGGAAGTAGGGGACTGCCCTTTCTTCATGTTAAGTAGCTCTACAAGGTTTTTAAATGCATAAACCAGATGCAGGGGAAGTTTGATAAAAATAAAACTTCAAACTTAAAAATATAAAAGATCTAAGGAATACTATCAGCACTCATGCTAACTATATATGTATAGCACATTGTAAGTAAATGATTAATGAAAGTTTGATAAGCTACAAGTAATGTTTTTTAGAATATGCATGTGAAAAGCTGCACAACACCATAAAATGTTAATTATAATTGCATCATTTCCCTTGTTATTAAACCGATATGATTTAATATCAAATACCAAGCATATTTTCTATGTCAGCCCCAAGAACAAAATATTTAGGTGAAAAATTCTCACTACTAATTTGCAAAAGGGTAAGTTCACACCACTAACATAAGTTCACAGACCTTTTAATAAATTATCGTGCTTGTGCTAACCTTGCAGCTGAGGAACCTTCCATCCAAGATAGCAACTGCTCTATCACCTTGAATTTATTTAGCACTTATCCTCCAGTGAGCTCACAACATTTAAAAATTGTCAGTCACTTTCATTAACAACAAATGCTTTTCTAACTTTGAATTCAAAGCAGTACACAAACCCTATTTTAAACAACAGATAAACCAACCGCAGAGAAGTTAAATGACTTGCATAAAGTCAGAGTTTAGGCCAGTATCACTAGCAAAGTTATAAAGAGCCTGCAAATTCAAATTTACTGCTTATTTACTACATTCCACTTTAAACAAGTCATAGGTTATCAGGCTATGGTGCCCATTAGCTCTCCTGTCTTTATCATATGATGAAATCATTTTAATATCTCATCTACAGTCTTATAAATAGTATTCCATATCCTTACATGGAAGGTTTTCCATCTACTGAATGAACAAATAAGTGGGAGTGGATGTGTATTTAAAACATGAACAATGTAAGATACAAATGTCTAATAGGCAAAAAACATTGTCAAATGTTATTTTTATAGCTTTTAGTTATGTTTGGAGATTTTTTTAACATAGTGAAAAATCAATTTACCTTAACAAATATTACAATTTGTTTAGATAATCATATGGTTATGTTACTTAATGGACATATTACTGATAAGCAGACTTAGAAAAATCAGGTCTAGAGTTCATTAATCATACAAACATCAGAGATTTTCATCACTTTCAGAAAAGACATTTTTAAGGAATTATAAATGTGAATGTCAGTAAGAGGTAAGCCAATCTTCAAGGGAAACAGCCTCGGTAAAGGAAAGGAAAGGAAAAGAAAAGAAAAGGAAAATTTAAATAAAAAAATAAAAATTAAAAGAAAAACGAAAAAGAAAAGGAAAGGAAAGGGGAGAAAAGAGAAACCTAACAGCTGAATAGATGATCAATTGAGGAACGAAACTGTAAGTCCCTACCTTGAAACCTAGCTTGACTAAATCATGTCGTTTTAAGGCAGCATGAGTACAAGTCATAGCAATGATTTTGGCTTCTTTCACCAGAAGGTATTTAGATCTGTCCAGTCCACTTCGAAGCAGTTCAGAAGCTCTGAATTCCTATGGGAGTGGGGGTCAGAGAGAGAGTATTTTAGGAAAATAAACACGTTTCATGCATACTTTCACAGAATCCAGTTTATCAGACTTAATTCCTGATTAATTAATATATCATAAACTAAGCCTAATGAATCACAATTCTGCTCATTATTAATTAGGTACTAATTGAGTTCATATAATAACTGACACTCAAGCTATAATTTGGACTGTTTTTGTATAAGGTAAAATATTGACAGTTATCAACAAGAATACTGAATAAAATATCACCACAGTATCTACTCAAGGTCCTTCCACAAAAACAGAAACTTTTTCAAGTATTCATAACAAAGGAAATTTAATGCAGGGGGTCTGATTTCACCGGTGACAAAGGAGCACATAAGTCAGCCAGGGAACGAATGGCTGAGGTAACTGAGAGATGAGCAATAGCAGGAAGTTTGACCATTCCTAGGCTAGGACAGCTAAGGGAAGGAGGCAGTGGGACTGCGGTACCAGAATAAGCTACAACAACAATCATAGGAAGCCAGGCCAACAGAAACTGGAGCCATGGAAGAGATGAAACCCAAGACAATTGGTGGAGCAATATCCTAGCTTCTCTATTTCTGCCACATTTTTATTGGCTAAACCCAGCCAGAAGTCAGCTAATATGGGAAGCCAGGAAATTAAACCTCCAAGGATCAGGCCCACCTCTGACCGTGGCAGAAGATCCCCATAGAGCAGGGTAAAATGATGGACAATAGATATTAAATGAGGAGCAAACAAGCCCAAACCTAATATCAAGTCCTATAAATTCTGAACATTATGTCATACTTCAGGTATTTTTAACATTTTTGTTTTTTAAATAGTTAAAACATGACAGGTACAGGAGAGGGACTCTGTTTAAATCTCTCCCCACCCCTCCTATGACAGCTACTATTATGAATTAAATGTTTTTATCCTTTTACTTTGTTTATATAATCATAAACATACTCTAATATTGTTTTGTAGGTTCTAAAATTTTACTTATTATTATACTATATATTTATTATTCTGTACCTACCATCCCTCCACCTACCCCCTACCAACACCACGCATTGATATTTACTGAACATATACTATGTGCCAGATAATCCTCTAGGAAGTAGAGATATCATCTTATCTAAAAGGTACAAAGACAAAACAGACAAAGTCATTGCCCCTGTTACCTGAGTAATCCTAAATCATCTTACTGTGGAATCTGAGCCTGAATGTGATCCCTGAGCCTGACTGGGGCTATTATATAGTCTTCAAATGTTTTCCATCATTTGGAAGTGGCAGTCTCAGATTCCAATTCAAAGATACACTGTTGAATCTCTTGAGGAAAGCATTCCTTTCTTAAATGCTAACTTTTATACCAGAAAAGTCAGAATAATGGGGATTAAATTTAAATCTTAATTTTTACTCATTTCTTGAACTAAAACTATAAATGTTTTCAATAATCTCACTTAAAAGTAACAATCTGGTTTGTAAGATGTGAATATTCCACATTTACTTCATTAAAAACAAAAAAACCATCTAAACTTAAAGCCTTTAAAGGCAAGTTAAAAAACCTGAGAATCCTTACCTCAAGCTGAGTGAAGATTTTCTTAATATGCCTGAAACACCCTTCAGCAATTTCCATGTCTTCTTCATAAGATCGGCCTTTAAAAATGGGCTGAGGGGCATTTGCAAAGTATTCATGGAAAGGGAAGAAAGTGGAGACTTCCGTAACATCTGGCAGCGTATTACCTTTATTTTTCACTTTGCTAATATATTCTTCCCAACGAGACATGACCTATGAAAAAAAGGGACTTGAGATTAAAATTCCTAGCTAATTATTATGTTTTAAATGATAAAATAAAAAAGAAATCTAGTAATGAGACCTACTAAGTAAAGGGAAAGAAAAGCAATCCCTGACCTAACAGGACCATTTCTTATCTGAGTCATTGACAGAGGGCCCTTTTTTAAAAGTGACCTTTAAGATTATAGAAAAAAGGTTCTTTAATCAAAAATAGAAAAACTAGGGGTGCCTGGGTGGCTTAGTCGGTTACATGTCCGACTCTTGGTTTCAGCTCAGGTCTTGACCTCAGGGTCATGAGATCCAGTTGGGCTCTGTGCTGGGTGTGAACCCTGCGTAAGATTTTCTCTCTCCCTCTGCCTCTCTTCCCCACACTGCCCACCACGCTCTCCCTCTCAAAAGAAAAAATGTATGTGTATATATAAAGATAAATGAAAATATAAATAATTTACAAATATATATAAACTGGAAAGAACCTCAGTGTCATCTATGGGACTTTATCTCAGACATAACAGATTTTCCATGTACACTCAAAATGGTATTACTGATGCTTAAAAGACAAACAAAAAAACCAATTCTCTGGACAAAGAAATTCTGTATTTTTTCATTATCTCAGTTTTTCTCCATATATGGTTTTAGCAGCATTTTAGTAAATGTCAACCCTTCTCCCAGACCTTTATAATTTTTCCAATTCTCTTTAGTATATTTACAAAGCACTTCTGTTAAACTGAGTATATATTTGAAAGCTCATTTTATGACTTTTGTGATATAGTTATCCTGGTATGTTTTACTATGCCTCTACCATGCGGTTCCTGCTTAATCTCAATTTTGGTAATTCTCCCAGTCAGGGTTTCTCCAAGTGTGGTTCTTAGGCAGAACATCTGAGAGGCTAAATAAAGATTTAGATTCCTGGATACCACCTCCTACTGAAAGAGAAATCTCTGGGGACAGAACTTAACAATTTCCTTTTAAAATAACTTTCCCAATGTGATTCTTAACATGTTGAAAATTGTTGATCTGTACTGTGAAGCTTCAAGTTTGTTTTTCCCAAATCGATTACTTAAGCCTCCACAAATTTATAGATTATTTCTCCTACTTTTAAAGTAGTTTTCACTGAGAGCCTCGTGATTTTTATTTTGTGCCAAATATACATTTAGGCATGATCTTTACTCCATTATTCAAAGTTCTAAACTGCCTGAGTCCAATGCAGGCTACTTTGCGAGATGATGTATATCTTCTCTGTGTCACAAGAAACCATGGAATCTGATCATTCTGAATGGATTGAACTGGTCTGGGTATTTACTTATGAGCATACACCTATTCTTTCATATACATTTTAAAATTTCAATGTTACAATTTGGACTTAAAACTATACAAATAGCATGAGTACAAAGAGAACAAAGTTATATAAAATTCTCCATTATATGATTATGCCTTACTCTGCTTGAAATTATTAGTAAACTGACTATTAAGGTTTATTTTTGTTCATTTTATTTAGTTTTCTATTTCTTAATGGTTTTCACACCTAAAAAATTAACCCTAACCAAAGCAAAAGCACACCTCTAAACTGAAGTCAAAAGAATTTTTAACTTAAACTCCTACTTTGAAATTAGTTCTAAAACGTAATTTATTTTTGGAAATTTGAAAGGAGAATATGTTTTTCTTCATTAACTGATTAATATGAATAGAAGTAGGTTACAGAACTATACTTTGTTACCACTGGGTAGCTAGCATATTTAGTTATATTTCTACAGTAATAAAAACAAAAAGAGAGATTAGAAAATTTGTCAGTAGCAAGAAAGGAAAGAGAAAATATTTAAAAAGTAGCAACATTGGCCTTTCAGTGAATGAGTCATCAAGCGAAGCTATTTAGCCAAGAAAATAAAAGCTAATAGGAAATACAAACATTTAATATTCACAAATATAGCTTTGGCAACAGCATACATTTTAATCTACTCAACAAAAAAAATAGGCTTTCACGAAGAATTTCAAGAACCCATCCCAGTTTCCAACTGAAGACCATATGATTTGAAAACTCTTAATCTCTTACCTGATATAAGAAGAAATAGCCTGCAGTTTCACAAGTATATGAAGCATCTCCTGGAACTCCTAGACTCTTTTGTAATCGTTTGACTTCTTCTAAAAGTTCTATTCTTCGAGCCAGGACATAATTAACTCTTCCATATCTAAAAATTTCAAATAAGCAAAAAAGCAAAATTATGTAATGAGATTTTTAAGCAAACTGTCAGCAAAACATTTAAGAAAATCGTAATAGGGGCGCCTTGGGTGGCTCAGTCAGTTAAGCATCCGACTCTTGGTTTTGGCTTAGGTCATGATCTCAGGGTCGTGGGATCGAGCCCCTTGTTGGGCTCCATGCTCAGCACAGTCTGCTTGAGATTCTCTCTCCCTCTGCCTCCGGCCAACACCCCCCCACCCCTGCCCGCCACTCTCTGTCTCTCTCTCTCTCTCAAATAAATAAATCTTTTAAAAAACCATAATAAAAAGTATAAATGGCCAAATGGAAAAAAAAAAAACAGTAGAAAACACTGTTTATATTTAATATAAGTGGTAGTTCTTGGATCAGTGTTGATCTGCAAACATGTTAGTTAGTGGTCTGTGAGGAAGGAAAATCAATTGTGTCTCTAAATGTACCATTTAATTCTTTTCTTTTTCTTTTTTTTTTTAATAACAAGACCTTCACAAAAAGGGAAACAGTACAGTGCATTCTGGTGCTAGTTCATATCATCACAGATCAAGAATACATAGTTTATGGATTGGCTGCTTTGAATAACCCTGTTTTATACTATCATAGAAGTAGATTAGTTCTAAAGGCTTCGAAAATTAATTTAAAAATGTATTTGATCATTCTTTGTTGTCCCAGCATGTAGCCTGGCACCTTAACCTAGTAGGTTCATAAATATTTGCTGAATGAGTAGGAAAACTGAAATTTGAAGAGTACCTGGCTCAGAGGCATGTAATTAAGAAAATAGCAGTGAATCAGAACTCTTTCCACAATAACAAAGTGCCTTCTTTCTTTTTTTTTTTTTTAAATTTTATTTACTCATGAGAGACAGAGAGAGAGAGACATAGGCAGAGAGAGAGAGAGAGAAGCAGGCTCCTAGCCCAGCAAGGAGCCCGATGTGGGATTCGATCCCAGAACCCTGGGATCATGACCCAAGCTGAAGGCAGATGCTCAACCAATTGAGCCACTCAGGCGCCCCAACAAAGTGCCTTCTATAACAACCTTTTAACATTAAACAAAAATTAAAATAGCGTAAACACTGCTGCTGTCATGTTTAAAGATTGGACAAAGAGGGAAATCATGTTCTTGAATTCCCCATAGATCAGAAATTCACCTTTGAGCCAGCAAGAATGATTGAGAATAAAGGGATATAAGACAGAGTCTATGTTTAAAGAATTTTCCAACTTAGAAGGATATAAATGTTACACCAGGTAACCTTTTTCTGTTTGCTTATCTAGAGTTTAATGCTTTTTCTATAATTAACACTTTGGTAATGAGAAAAAAATTGAAGATGCTTATAAAAAGTGTGTAATAAAATACCAAAATTCTTGTTATATAGGGTTAAATTTAAAAAGCAATATACAATGGAACTCTATGTACTATTTACGTGATTATTCCGTAAATCTCAAATTATACTAAAGAAATAAAGTCTTAACTTAAAGAAGCAATGTATACAACAGTTATAAATAATAGCATGTTTACAGATGATTATTAAGAAGAAAACTAACAAAAAGTTGTTTTGGAGTAGTGGAATTATGGATAACCATTCCCTTTCTACTACCTCACAAAGTTTGAAAAATTTTCTTTAGGGAAAATGATAGTACTTTTATTATGAAATGATACTGTTTTTCTTTTTCATTACTATAAAAGGGGAGAAATGAAAGAATATGTCCAACTGAACAAGCACATACCTACTAATAAGACCTGGGACTTGGCTTATGTATCAGAAAGCAAAAAGTATTTTTGTCTTCAGAAAGTTGTTATTATCTGATATTTTTTTAAAGTTCTACTTCTATTACAATATTTAAAAAAAACTATAAATTCTACTGCAGTGTAATTATAATTACAGTATTCAGCATTTCACCAGCACCTTTATATTCACTGAATGCTGGCTTATTAAATTTTAGAGCCTAGCCCACTCTGGTAAGTTGAATTTGAAGAAATATTCACGGCAAGAATTCAGAGAAGCATCTCTGGCTAATCCAAAATTAAGAATCTAGAGCCTCAAATAACTTAATGTGTGTCATTCTTTGCCCTATGATTTTTTAAAGCTAACAAATGTTTGGTGAGCTCTTGCGATACAGGAACTCAAAATAGATGCAACATAATAATTTAACACTCCTTTAGCTCTTTTGATGTCTATGATCAATTTAGTCAAAGGTCATGTTTAATAGCCAAAGGCTGTATTAAATATGTGCAGCTGTTATGATTATTGTCTGAAATCATGCTTTAAAAATGGGTTTAAATATAAATAAATGAACTATTATAAAGAAAGGGTGAATAGAAAACCTAAAATACTAACAGCAGAAGAAATCTGATTTGTAAAATTTAAGTCATTTTATTTCATGTACTGTTAAACATAAAGTCCAGCTAAATGGCAATTAAGTAGCTGTAATAAGATTTACAACCCCAAAGCTTATACTGTCATTAATCTTCATTTGTGTTTCATTAAATGAGCCTATTTTTTAATTGTTATCTAAAATACACGCAAATTAAACGTCTGGATGAAATGTGGAATCAGGTAAACTTGTACAGTTTGAGTTGGCAACATTAAAAATCACCTCAATAAATAGAGAACAAATGGGAATCTGCAATTTTAAAAAGATGAACAAGATAACTCTCTTTACTGAAGTCACTGTATTCTTTAGGAAAACAAGGCATAAACACACAAAACTGGAGCCGAGGGAGATCATGACCAGACTTTTAGGTCAACTACAAGTAGGTTATGCTAGAATCTTTCAAAATCAAGTTGTATTATTCATGACTCATGTCTCTCGGTGTTTCTTTAATAAAGAAAGAGTGGATAAGGTTAAAAATTGTTTTGTATATCATTTTAAAACTCCCCATTTGCTCACCTGCTGAAATCTTTCTCTGTCTCCAGCTCTTCTTCCCCATGACCAAGACGCAGGAGGTGGCGCTCATCAATGTCTAAAGCCATGATCTTCTCAAACAACTGGTTCAGGGCCTGGAGAATAAAACAAAAAGGATGATGGTGAATTTTAATGAACCAGCAGCTCCTTTAAAAGTAAGAAAAACTAACATTTAGAAAGACATAAAAGAATGAGCATTGTCCAGTCAGATAAGAATCAACTTCAAAACACAGAAAGAAACAAGTCTTACGTTAGGTCATTTACATTTTTTTTTTTTTTAAAGATTTTATTTATTTATTTGAGACAGAGAGCACATGAGAGGGGGGAGGGTCAGAGGGAGAAGCAGGCTCCCTGCCGAGCAGGGAGCCCGATGCGGGACTCGATCCTGGGACTCCAGGATCATGACCTGAGCCGAAGGCAGTCGCTTAACCAACTGAGCTGAGCCACCCAGGCGCCCTAGGTCATTTACATTTTAAATGAAACAGTATTTTTCTTGATTTCTGATATTGTTACCTATATATATTTGGCCAACTGAATAACTGAAAACCATCAAAACCATCTAATCATTAAATCTTTGCTTCTAATTTATGAAAAAAAGAAAGGCTTTGGATCAGTTTCTATTTTCCCCAAATAGTAACAGTTACTAAAATAATTAATACACCAAGATTTCACTCAATAGAATATCCATGGGTTGCAGGAAACTGAAACATTTTTGTGGTTGAAGGACTCTCAGGCAGTGAGTGTGTAGGTAGAATGTATCAAGAGGACCACAGAGTGGAAAGATAAAGTGCATCATTCAAATCTTAGGCCAAAGGTCTAAAGTTCTCTATAACAACAATGAGCAGAGCACTCATTTATTGCAAACTATTCTGATGGAAGCCATCTAGAAGTCGCTCCTTTCTACCTACGAAATGCTCGTATTTAGGGTTCCCTTAAATCCTAGTATTAATTACCTGAACATCTGCAGTTACAATGTTTTGTGGAAAGGCAAAAGTTTCATTGTATGGAAAGATAATGCTAATTTTAAAGACATCATTTAAAAATCAGCCAAACCTCTCTCTTAACTACCATCAATCTAACCCTGCCCATGAAGTCAACATCCAGTCTTATAAATATCCAGGTTATCGAATGTAAAAACAGATATCCTTTGCTATCACAATTCTAGCAGTTAGAGCTCAGATACTGAAGAAGTTAACATAAATTTTCAGAAGAAAATTCCCCACTATCCAAACTCTTGATGCTCTCCATCCAAAACCTGGGATCCAATGGATCAGACCACATGGCATTACTCACCATCCAAACTCAGGAACCACAAAGATTTAGAGAACAAAAAATACTCCCACATTGCATGCTCAGAAAAAACTGCAAGACTTCATTATGAATTAAAGTAATACTGAAGAACTGTTTGCAGTAAGTATGCAAATGAAGATCTGACAAATGAAACAATTGTAAAAAATCAACAAATCAACAATTAAATAGACATCACTGAGGATGATATGATTATTAGGGATCATTCGTTAGCAAACAATGAAGTCTTCGGTTATATTTGTAAAACTTTCTCTGTAATTGTACTATACAAGTAGATCATAAGTAGATGATTCTACCTTAAAGTCATTATCAAGTTATGAAAAAACTTACTAAAAATACTATGTTAGAACAACAAATGAATTACTCTTTATTCATTTTAAGAATTGGGAAATAGGTAAGATTATTACAGATTAAATTTTACTAAATAGAAGAAAAAAAGGCCTTTACGTAATTTGTTTCTTTAATTAAGATAAAGCCTCAGTCAACTTTCTCCCCTGCACAATTTTAGTATACTGTATAACGCAACCACTTCTTACAAACTTCGAAGATATAAAAACAAGTGAATGAACTGGATAGCATTAGTCTTAAAAACCTGTAGATTAAAAGTTGACAAATAATAGAGTAAGTGATATTTTGCATTCTAAAAACCCAGTGCTTCTTTGTAGATCAACTCTTTTAAAGAAGTGGCCAACTGAAACCACCATTTAGAAAACATAAGTACCTATGGAGGTTAGACTATCCTGCAAGTTTCATGAAGTTCTGAGAGCTGCCTTTCACGTTTTACAAAAGAGCTAGTGAATGTACTTGTCCTACTCATTTCTATGATAGTGACAGCTTTGGAAGAACTACCATAGCACACACATAGATATAAAGATCATTTTTCAGACATTATTTATGTGAGAAAAGTTTGTTTTTATTGCTTTAGTGGTTTGTAAATGCCTTATGTATTGAATCTACAGCATAAAATAGTCCTTCCATGATACAAACCTCATAAGGATATACAACTTAATCCAGTATTAATACATTTGAGCCTTAGTCTTTTGGTAATATTCATTCTACTAAAGGATGAAAAATGTTACCAGTAATGGTTAATGCTTTCAATCTCAAATTAAAAGCTTTAGCTTAGCATGGAAGGTGGTGGGGGTTGAGGGTGGGGAGCACTTTAATTTAATCCAAATATTTTTTTTTTTTTTTTTTTTTTATTCTTATGTTAATCCCCATACATTACAACATTAGTTTTAAATGAAGTGTTCCATGATTCATTGTTTGTGCATAACACCCAGTGCTCCATGCAGAACGTGCCCTCCTCAATACCCACCACCAGGCTAACCCGTCCTCCCACCCCCCTCCCCTCTAGAACCCTGCCTGCCCTTCAGAGTCCATCATCTCTCATGGTTCGTCTACCCCTCCGATTTCCCCTGCTTCATTCTTCCCCTCCCGCTACCTTCTTCTTCTTCTTCTTTTTTTTTTTTCTTAACATATATTGCATTATTTGTTTCAGAGGTACAGATCTGAGATTCAACAGTCTTGCGCAATTCACAGCGCTTATCAGAGCACATACCCTCCCCAGTGTCTATCGCCCAGTCCCCCCATCCCTCCACCCCACCCCCCACTCCAACAACACTCAGTTTGTTTCCTGCGAAAATTTAATCCAAATATTTGACCATAAATACAAGTAGTCTTCTTAGCTTTCCCACATTTTGACCCTCGCCATTAGAAATAAAAGATTATTTATATATTTTATATTTTTATATATATAGTTTATATATTTTTATCTCTCTCTCTCTCTCTCGCTCTCTCTCTCTATGTCATGACCAGTAACAATCCAAGAGTAACTCAACAGCAAACACTATACTCATCAGCCTTTCAGTATTCTGTCGTACCTATGGTCAGGTTATCATACAAACAGAAATCTCCATTGTGCTTTCATTCACTCCCCACTCCTTTATCTCCCCTACCATCCATCCTACATATGTGAGTACACATGCGCACACACACACACACGCATGCACACACTCACCTGATTAGAATGAGTAACAATCAGAGTCCTCTGCTCTGGGAAATTATGGTAGATGTTGGATATGATTTGGACTGCAACATCTGTTTTTCCAGTACCTGGTGGACCCACAACCTAAAAAGGAGATGAACACATATCAAACTACTAAGTTATCAAATTGTTAGAAAATGGACATTCTAAAACTGAGATATAAATTTAAAAAATTGCTGGATGAGTTCAATAACAGAATGGACAAGATAGTCAGTGAAGGTGAAAACAGAGCAATATAAATCACCCAACCTAAAAAATAAGCAGAAAGAAAAGACTGAAAACAAATGAATAAACAGAGCCTCATGAATCTATGCGGCAATACTAAAAGGTCTAACATTTATGTTACTGAAGTCTTAGAACAAGAGTTTATAGCATAGAAAAAATATATGAAGAAATAATAGCTGAAAACTAAAATCTGGCAAAAGACATTTTAAATCTACAGACTCAGGAAGCTCAGCAAACTCCAAATAGAATAATCCCAAAGAAATCCAAGCCCAAATACATCTTAATTAAATAGCTGAAAATTAAAGAAAAATTCTTAATAGCAATCAGAAAAAATGATACATTACATATAGCAAAAAGATGTTTGAAGTGACTGTGGGTTTCCCTCAGAAACCACAGAAGCCAGAAGGAAGTGGAATAACATTTTAAAAGTACTGAAAGGAAAGAACTCCATAGAAGTCTATGTCCAGTGAAAATATCTTTAAAGAATGAAGATGATTCAAAGACATTCTCACATGAAGAAAAACTAAGATATTTCATTGCTAGCAGACCTACTTTTTTTTTTTTTTTTAAAGATTTTATTTATTTGACAGAGAGAGACATGAGAGAGGGAACACAAGCAGGGGGAGTGGGAGACGGAGAAGCAGGCTTCTTGCCGAGCAGGGAGCCCGATGCGGGGCTCGATCCCAGGACCCTGGGATCATGACCTGAGCCGAAGGCAGATGCTTAATGACTGAGCCACCCAGGTGCCCCACTAGCAGACCTACTCTTAAGTGGTAAAAGAGTTCTTCAGACAGAATGGAAGTGACATCAGAGCAAACTTAAAATATCAGGAACGAAAGAAAAATGGCAAATTTATAATAGATTCTTCTCTATAGAGTTCACCCTTTAAGATGTTTGACTTTCTGGGGTGCCTGGATGGCTCAGTCATTTGAGCGTCTGACTCTTGATTTTGGCTCAGGATATGATCTCAGGATTGTGAGATTGAGCCCCGTGTCAGGCTCTGCACTCAGTGCAAAGTCTGCTGGAGATGATCTCTCCCTCTCCCTCTGCCCCTCCCCGTTTGCGTGTACACCTATGCTTGTCCTCTCTCAAATAAATAATTTAAAAAAATGTTTGACTTTAACATTGCCTGACAGTATTTTCAATGTATATAGACGTAATATCCATAACAACTACAATATAAAAGGGAAAGGGACCTACATGGAGGTAAGGATCTTTTATCCAACTTAAGAGACAAAATAGTGATTCTAAGTAGACTGAAAAATTAAGTATCTATACTGTTAATTCTCTAGAGCAGCCACTAAGAAAAAACTATGTGAGATATAAAAGAACACGATAAATTAAAATGAAACACTAAAAACTATGTAAATAACCCAAAAGAAAGTAAAAACAAAAAAAGAGAAACAGGAACACAAAACAAAGGGAATAAACATAAAATAAATAATAAAATGGTAGGCCTAAATCCAAATGTATCAATTGCATTTAATGTAAATGGTCTAAACACACCAATTAAAAGAGACTGTCAGAGCGAAGAAAATAACATACCCCAAATAGATGCTGTTTACAAGAAGTTCACGTCAAACATTAATAGGTAGGTCAGAAATAAAATAATGGGAAAAGACATACCATGCAAACTGTAGTGGCTCTATTAATATCAGAGTACGTCTCAGAACAAAAAAAATTACCAGTGATGAAAAAAGACATTACATAATAATAAATGCATCAATTCACCAAGAAGACATTACAACCTTGAATATGTATCTATCCATAAAGCTTTAAAAAACATGAAGCAAAAACTGAAAGAAATGAAAGGAGAAACAGATAAACATGTAATTGTAGTTGGAGACTTCAATACTCCTCTTTCAGTAATCAACAGAAATAGTAGGTGGGATATCAGCAAGGACAGAAAAATATTGAACCAAATGAATCTGACATATATAGGACACTCCACCTCAAAACAACAAAATAAACACTCTTTTTAAGTGTGTTGAAATATTCACCAAGAGAGATCATATCCTGGACCACAAAACAAACTTGAGCAAATTAAAAAAATAAAAAATTGAAATCACACAAAGTATTGTCTCTGACCATAAAGGACTTACACCAGAAATTAGTAAGTGGAAGATTTAACAGGAAAGTCTCTAAATACTTGGAAACTAAACACACTTTCAAATTGGTTGTCAGCAGGCTTTATCTGTATCTGCCAGCAGGTAAACATTTAAGGCTTTGCAGGCCATATAATCTCTGCTGCAAGTATTTTAACTCTGCTGTTACAGCACGAAGCTGGGCAGGGGCAATTCCTAACCAAACAGGCACAGCTATGTTCCATTAAACTTAATTTATGAATACTGAGAGGAGCAGTAAGCAAAATCTCCATATGCAAACATGCCACAATGACTTACACTTAAATTCAGTTGGGCTTTTGTGCTTCAAATATACTCTAAACATCTGAGGCCTACTTCTTGTCTGAGTCCATGTAAAAACATGTGTAACAATAGTTCCCTTACCATAGTTAGCCCAGGCTGCATTCCAGCACGGATAGCCTCTATCTGTGTGTGAGTGAACTGAATTGTATTACTGCAAACAAGAGTAAATAAAAAGTTGGTTAAAAACACAGATGAACAACATGTGGTAAAACTTCAGACAACAATGACCGGAGGTCTAAATGTCTCCTCTGTATATGCCCCATTCTCCCAATCTCTTCTCTCCCGGGTGGGTGGTTGTGTGAGTGTGCATGTGCATGTATGTGGTAAAACAAAAAACCAAAAACCATGAGATCTACCCTCTTACCAAATTTTAATACAGTATTGTTAACTATAAGAACAATGTTGCATAATATGGTATTGTTAACTCTAAGAACAATGTTGGATGGCAAATCTCCAGACGTTTACATCTTACAAGACTAAACCAATCTCTTCTGAATGATTCCCTTCACCTCCATCCTCTAATGACCAACTAAAACTGAATGAATCTTATGGAAAAAAAAGACTACAATTATTTTTCAACATACTTAGCCCATCTTATATTTCACCTGGAATGTCAAAGTTCCAGTTCCCAATCTAATACCATATATAATGCTACTTTTTTAGTCATGGCACCCATGCATGAGGGTAGCTGCTACATGTAACACATGGTCTTGAAGGAAGAATGCTGTGCTCAAATTAAGGTAGCCCTTTAATATTTATTTCTCATAGTACCCAAAAATGTTTCTTTTGGAAATATGACTACAGAACGACCAAAAATGTCTGAGCTATTTAGCCGTCTGACAGAATACAAGGAAAGAGGGTCCAGAAACAGAAGCTTCCTGGGGTTTCAAAAGGATCAGTAAATTTTAAACTATTATTAATCCAAAATAGCAAACTATTATTTATTATTACAATTAATACAGACAGTAAAATTACCGTTTGGGTTGGTTGTAAGGATAAGGACCCCTATTAGGAATGACATGAGGTTCAACAATTAAGGTTTTTGCCTCTTCAGTATCTTCATCTTCACCATCTGCATCTTTCCTTTTCTTCCCTTTTCCACTCCTTACTGGAAAAGTTATCCTACAAGATGGAAAATCTTTGTTCATTTTTACAATTAATGTTTACCAAGCACCTTCCTTGTGCATGACATTGTATGGAGGATAATCAGATCAGAAAGAAATATTTATGTCTTAAAGGAACTCACTATCTGTACATATATTCTGAAAAGAGTAGACTTAAAAGCACTAAAATGTGTGTTAATGGTGTTCAGATTAGAAAAAGTCAACTGATTAAGGGAGAATCAAAGAAGGAGCATTTCTATAGTTATATCCATGCACTATGAAGTGCTTTACACACTGTCCCTCCTTAAGTAAGAAAAGGCTTCATGGGAGAGATGGCATCAAAGATGAGTTTCAAAGAAATTAGACATACAAACATGGAAGGGAAGTTATTCTGGGAAGAAGTAAGACTACAGTTTCAAGTACAAGTGGCCAGTTTTGCCAGAACGGTTACAGTAGAGAAAATAAGGCTAGAGAGACAGGCTGGAGCCCTGTTAGGAGACTCTTGGAGTATCAAGCCTTTAAGGCAGAAGTTCTTTTTCTTTCTTTTTTTTTTTTTAAAGATTTTATTTATTTATTTAAGAGAGAGAGAGAGAGAGAGAGCACAAGCAGGGGGTGGGGGGCAGAGGGAGAGGGAGAAGCAGGCTCCCTGCTCAGCAGGGCTCGATCCCAGGCCCCTGAGATCATGACGTGAGCCAAAGACAGACACTTAACCAACTGAGCCACCCAGGTGCCCTAAGGCAGGGCAAAAGTTTTTAGCCTGGTGCTGGAACACCTCAGGAGGTGAGGTCAATGAATACATTAAAATTAAACTAAAAAAAAAAAAAAAAAAAAGAATTCTCTATGTGCACTTTTTCCATGTAATAGAATTCAGGGAAGAGTGATGAGTTGCTGCTTCAGGTACTTTGTTCCATTTCTACTCAAAATTAAAACCAAAGCTCCTTTAACATGAATTATAACTATATTGTGAATATTTAAGTTTTGTGAAAGCAAGTAAGCTTAAAAGAAAAACAGAATTTTTTCCCTGAAAACAAAAGAAAGTTCAACATCCCATGACTATGTCCATTAATTAGGAAATATACCAGATTATACATAATAGACAAAGGCATATTTCTTTAGTCAAATACTATAAATTATAGTTAATAGTTATAGTTAATATATAATGCTCTTCAGACAACAAGCATTTACTGGTCCCTGTTAGACGTGAGGCTACTTTTATTATGGTCTCTTTTTTTTTTTTTTTTTTTTGAAGATTTTATTTATTTATTTGACAGAGACACAGTGAGAGAGGGAACACAAGCAGGGGAAGTGGGAGAGGGAGAAGCAGGCTTCCCACCAAGCAGCGAGCCTAATGTGGGGCTCGATCCCAGAACCCTGGGATCAGGACCTGAGCAGAAGGCAGACGCTTAACGACTGAGTCACCCAGGCACCCCTACTTTTCTTACGGACTTAAAACAGTTTTCTGTACTAAGAAACGGAGTCAAATAAAATAAATTTATCCCAGTCATTATATGGTGAAGGTAAAGACTGCCCAAACAAAATCAAGATATTCAAAACTTTAGCTACAGTCCAATGGCCTATCTCACACAGGCTACAGAAAGCTTGAAAGGAGTATGTCCAGTTCTGACTTTACCTGAAAGGGGGTATCTGTAGAGCTGGGTCATCCACAGTTACTTTAACATTATGACCAGGAAAGCTGGTTTTTAAATGCTCAATGGAGAGAAATGTATCATTGAAATCAAGAGTGGCAATCTGATTGGGCATTTTTGAATAATGTGCACTACTTGGATCCCCATAACCTAAAATGATGTCATGCAGCCAGTCAGGTACCACACAATCAGTATTCATCAGGTTCCGAATGGTCTCCAGCACAGCCTGTCAGTGAAAGGACAGAAAAGGGTTGTGTCAAGAAGCCATCTCAAACATTTGCACTTCACTGGAATGCAGAGCTGGCTGCACTAATCCAGAATTCCCGAGTGTTTCAGGGCAAGAAGCTATTTTCTGCTGACAGGTGCTTGGCTAGACTAAATCAACAGCTATATTTTCAGCTGATACCATACACTGAGTTAAACAAAAGACCAAACTTAGCAAGGACAGTTTATCCGTTAGGAGTTCATTTAGACAGAATGTCATAAATGAGTTCATCACTTGACTCCCATTGGGTAGAATGAAAACCTAATCAGGACTACACAACAACAAGAAAATATTATAGAACAAACCCTTAAAGAGGATGCTTCCTCTTAGAAATTCCTGGAGTCTTCTCCTCTTTATATTCCATAGTTCCTCAATGTTAAGACGACACACAACCAGAAGCATATTAATATATGCCTCAGTTGTGAAACATCTCATAGTTTAAAAATATTAAAATTAACAGAAGAAATTAGAAATTTTAAATTAAAAATAGACAAAAAGATAAAAGTGAAATGTCAAATAAATTTCAGAATAAACATTCTACAATAAAAAGTCACTATAGTTATTAACATATACATTGTCCAAATTACCAAAACTCAAGGTAAACTTTTAGACTTTCTAATAATTACTTCGAGAAAGTGCTCTATCCCATATATGGAAATCAGAAGGTTAGGCTATTAATTACAAAGAATAAAATAACAAAACCAACCATTTTTATGTTATAGATGCTATACACTACAACAGGACAACTAAGTAACAGCACAGTGTATGTTAATCACACTCTTATCACATCACCTTGTTTTATTTTCTTGCACTAATCACTACCTGAAATTCTCTTATTCATGTACTTAGTTACCTGTTTATCATTTGTCTAATCCCCACTAAAATATCATTTCCATGAGAGCAGGGATCTAGGAAGTTTGACTATGAGATGGGCAAATCACTCGATGGACAGATAAATGAGTATGTTCACATAATGATGGATAAAACAAGAGCTCTACTCTCTAAGAAAATTAAATTTTTAGTAGGGAGATGAAATATGTCCTTAGCAATGACACAAAGCAGCAGAATTTGGTCCACAATACAGAGTATTACAAAATACAATGAGAACACAGTTCCAAGTAGGCGAGAGATGCACGCAGGGAAGACTTTCGACCTTAGGAAAGGTTTCATGGAGGAAAGTGGCATTTCAATCTAGCTCAAAGCAGAGGATCTGCGAAGGAGCTGTGGTTTATTTCATCATTAATGGAAAGTCAAAGAAATGTTCTGAGAAGCTGACTGAAATGATCAGTGGAGGCATATGAAAAACAGGTGACTGACTAGGAGGAGAACAGAGCTAGGGCAGAGGAAGCGATTTAGTGCAACTATTCAGGCAAGAAATAAAACATCCAGGTCAGAACAGGCACTGTACGAACTGGGAAAGAGAAAAGGAAATAAGGGATGCTGCCCAGGTATATAAGAAGACACCAAAAGAGCATTTGTCCTTTTCCCAAACACAGGAAAGTTAATCACTGCCCCTGTTTCTTGGATTGGAATCTGAATGCCTCTTTTGACCTCCCATGACACTTTTTTGTTGTTGTTTTTTAAAGTTTACTTTTTTTAGTATACACCGAACGTGGGGCTAGAACTCACGACCCTGAGATCAAGAGTCGCATGCTCTTCGGACTGAGCCGGCCAGGAGCCCCTTCCATGACACTTTTTTTTTTTTTTAAAGATTTTATTTTACTTTTTATTTATTTGACAGAGAGAGAGACAGCCAGAGAGGGAACACAAGCAGGGGGAGTGGGAGAGGGAGAAGCAGGCTTCCCGCCGAGCGGGGAGCCTGATGTGGGGCTCGATCCCAGAACCCTGGGATCATGACCTGAGCCGAAGGCAGATGCTTAACGACTGAGCCACCCTTCCATGACACTTTTATCTGCATCCTTCTTATGACTTTTGGCACCTTTTAACATTTCATGGTAGTTATTTGTTTATATTTTTAACTTCCCTTATTAGTAGTCTAAACTCCCTAAAAATATAAGCTGTGTCTTACTCATCTTTATTGGCTCCATACAACTTAGCACAATGCCAGACACATGGTGGGCATTAAATAAAATGGTCAAACGAATGAACATAAGGAAGGAACTTTTTTCCATTTTTAGTTAAGTGACTGAAATTCAATCATTACTGAGAAACAAAACAGAGACAAACAAATGAGACCCTGCCCTCATAGACCTGCATTCTAATGGTGAAGTCAGATAAATAACAAATATATAGTCACCAGGTACAACAAAGACTGTGAGGAGAAATGAAGACAGTCGGATTAAGAATGAGAAGGGGAGATGCTACTTTAGGTAAGGTTTCCAGAAAAAAGCTTCTCTTAGGAGTTAACATCTAAGCAGAGTTGCCCACGTGCAGTGAGGGAACGAACCAGGTAAATACCTGGGAGGAAGACTGTGTTGGTAGAGGGAACACCATGGACAAAGGCTTGGATTCTTAAAGAACAGCAGAAAGGTCAGCACACCTGGCATGGAGTGAATCAGGAAAAGGTGTTAGAAAATGATGTTGGGAGAGGTGGCCAGAGGACAGATAATGAAGGAGCCTCTTGGATTACAGTAATAATTTTCTACTGCGAGGGGAAACCATTAAAGTATGTTGAATAGGGTACCAAGGCATAATTCATATTCTATCACTATGTGGAGAATAGCAGAAAGGGAGGGGCCGTCAAGAATGGAAGCAGGGATGTAAGACATGAAGGTGTCTTGGATGTGGCGTCAGTGGAGGTGGTGAGCTAACCAGACTGATTGATGGCCTGGATGCACAGTGTGAGACAAAAAGAAATCAAGAATAGTTCCGTTGTTTTGTCTTCAACTACAGGGCAAAATGGGGAATAAATTCCTTTGTATGGGAAGTCTCCTTTTTTTAATCACAAGAAGAGGGGAAAAAAAAGGTAATAAACTGATAATGCATAAGAAACACTATGTTTTGGGGGGAGAGAAAAAAGAAATGTACCTGTGCAGAAGGTAGTGTTACCAAATGCTAAAACCATTCAATGTTTACGTTTTATAATATAGTAGTTTCAGATAATTGAGAAAATCTTCTATCAAAACTCCTTATCTCCATTAAGTTATAAAAGTAAAATTCTCGAGCCCCAAACCTCTCTTTTCCTGCTCTTGAGTAAAACACATTATATCATAAAGTAATTCTGAGCTACAGGGTTTCACATCTGTATTCATAAAGTGATTTGGAAGTACACTTACTTTTGATTTAAAAAAAGAACTCCCAGGAAACAAATAAACAAGCAAGGAAGGAGGCTGACCTGGATTAATTTATATTGTAAGTTTCTAAACTCATCGAAAGACAAAACAGATTTAGTAAATAAATTTTCTTAAGTTTTTATATTTAGTCTACATGTTAATAATATAAGAGAATTATTTAGAACCAGAATAAAAGCAGTGATCATTTCCCTAACAAAACATTCTTTTACCCAGGATCTATGTATTTATGTTTTAGAAGTTACTCAAATTGGACACAGTACCTTCAATTATATAGCCTAAAAATTACCTTAAAGTTATTTTCCTTTGGTTTTCTCCTCATTATGATATTGAAAGTTTCATACACATCTTCTGCTCCATTTTGTATAGTATTGGTCATATCTTGTTGATACTGGTTTGGATCCAAGAACACTCTAAATGTCCTTGACTCTCCTCTAAGATTGGGTCTTGGCTCAGGTCCTAGACATTTTGAAAAAGTTTGATAAGTGAAATATATACTTTTCAAATATCAAAGTAACTTAGCAGTATTCCTCTTCTAGAAATGATGAGTAAATTCTCCACACTAAACCCCAGTCCTTCCCCTGACTAGAACGTTTCCCACTCATCCATTTCAAATGCCTAGAAGCTGAAAATATTTTCTCCTTTCCCTAAATTCTTCCTATTTCTTTCCCAGAAAAATGTTTGTGATGTAATGTTTATGATGCAGTGCCATGGACTGCAATTGTCTGTATATGTCCTCAATCAAAATAAGAGCCCTAGCAGTCAAACAACTTTACTTTTGTCAGTTATTCAGAGCTCCTATTACTTAGCTTACCTAGCGTAAGCACTCGACTGATCACTCTTTTCATCCTTCCCCATTCCATTCCTAATATCACCAGTGTGAAAGGAAATTTCATATACTAATAGCTGAAAGCTGAGAGGCTTTTTCTTGCCCCTTTGCCTCGTCTCCTTACTTTTGTCTTAGCCCTCTAACGCCAGTCCCAATATGTGGCCTTACGTTTATTCCACCTTTCCTATTTTCTTTTATTTTAGCAGTAAGGTCAGCTTAATTACCAGCACTTGTAGCAATGGTGCAACCTTAAAATGACAGGCAGTAGAAGTCAATTCAAGTTCTGAGAGAAGTTTAGTAAACAAATTGGGAAATAAGCACTGGACATAGATGCAGTTATAATTTAACAGTAAGTGTAACAAGAATGTCAGGACAAGATGAAGATTTCAAAGAAAAGTCAATGATAAGCCTAAGAAATCAAAGAGCTGACAAACCCTGTAAGGCGGTATTTCTAAATGGGGTAATGTTTGCATGTTAGGTATGACGATTCCTTCTGCAAGGCAGCTCTGTTTAAATTTCTTTTCTTTTTTTTGAGAGACAGTGGGGGCACGTGTGCGCATGAGTGGGTGATGGGAAAGGGGCAGAGAAAGAGGGAGAGAGAGAATCTTAAGCAGGCTCCAGACTCAGCACAAAGCCTGATTCGGGGCTCAATATCACCACCCTGAGATCATGACCTGAGCTGTAATCAAGAGTCAGACCCTAACCAACTGAGCCCCCAGGCGCCCCAAGGCAGCTCTGTTTAGATGTTTAGCATCCCTAGCCCCCATCCATCAAATGCCAATAGCTCACCATCCCCTACTCCTACCCCGGGCACAGGACAAGATAAATACCATCATACATTTCAAAATGCAGGGTAGTGCTATTCCCAATTGAGAGCCACTGCTACAATGAATCAAATCAATAAAACTGAAGAAGGAAAAATTAGACAAATATGTCATAAGAAGTGTTTAGAGGTTTTAAAAAAGCAATACTGTAAAGTATTATAAAAGGAAAGTTTTAAATAAAGGTAATTTCAAAAGATCCTGTCCTTTTCAATATCTAACAAAAAGTTTAGAAACCATATTATTTCTTTCTAAAAGTGGGTGCTAGGTACCTTACATATATTTTATATATAATTCTTTGTGTTGATTTAGTATGTAAATAACTAAAAAATACTACCTAAGATGCAAAAAGAAAAAAGGCACAGAACGTTATCATTATGTACACACACGCTTTCAAACTACAGCTCGCCATACCGTCTTCAATGACACGCCCTTTATCATCCAGCATGCCCTGGATTTCACAGCCTCTCACATAAACCAGGCCAATCTGCTCAATAAAAGGTCTCCTCCGGTCAAACTTAGTACCATAAGGTTTTGTGGGCCGTACAGTAATTAAAAAACATACATCATGCTTACGAAGACCTGGTAAAACATAAAGACATTTTCACTTATTAGAATATCATTGTTTTTAGTCCTTTGATGGCAAATTCTCATCCTTTTTAAGAGATATAAGAAACATGTAAAGTACCAGAGGTGATCAATGATTATATTTGCATTGTAATATAATTATGGGTTTTCCTATAATCTTTAAAATTCAATGTTTGACAGGAATAATTAAAGTGAAAATTTCTCTTTATATTAAAATTATAAACTTTTATGCCATGAATACATTACTGAATAAGCCCTCCAAGTCATGTTACAACTCCAAAACTGGATGCTCATAATTCTTATTTTTAGCATTCTTAATAACTAACTGAAAATATGGTTGGCATATAATCCATCTATATCATATTCAGCAGGTTTCTAACATCAGTTTAAACTATCCATCACTATCAGTCCAACAACAGTCTAACTGCATTCCCTGAAAGAGGTCAACTCAAGAATAATTCATCAAAGCACAAAAGCATTGTTTACAGATACCATATTGAGAACATGGTTGAATATATATAGTTTCATTTGGCAAATAAAAATTTTATTAAGTAAATGTCCAGAAATAGGAAACTTGTACCAAAGTCCATAGCTTCTCAGTCATTAGACCCAATACTGGACTCAACTGGATCCCCAGCTCTATTATAAGTAGAGATATGGGAAGACAAGCAACATAAATTTAGATCACATATCCATGTAATGTCATACCACTTAATCTCATTGCTTTCCTGATTTGTTTTGTTAGCCACGGTAGGACATAAATGCAAACTTAAATAGTCTGCTTGCTCATAACCGTGGTAATAAGATATACAACTAAATCAAATCAGCAATGTCAGTGTGTAGCTAACAGTATTGGGACCATTCTCAGTATGGACTGGGGTTTAAGTGTGCTAGCAATAATTGCTCTGATTGATAATAATGACTTTATTGTTTACTTCCCAACAAATTAGAAGCAGGAGAAGCAACGAAAACTACTACCAAGGCAGATGATTTCACTGTGGGACATCTCAGATCTACATTAAAAAAACCCTTATGTAACAGTGAGCTCAACTATTTTCTCCCTTCAACCATTTGTATCCACTCCATCCTGGCTGTGCCTTCTGGAGCAGAATCCAGCATTTCTGTGTCCTTAATTCAGTTTCCTTAATTTTAAATGGGGAAATGGAGAAGATATGGGCCTGAACGTCATACCTTTTTGAAGGAACAAGAAGAATGTTTTATATATTTAGCTTAAACTCAAAACTATTGTTTCTACAGGACAATATTCATTACTACTTCCAGAACCTCCCTCTCATTTTTTGCCTCCATTTTCTATTTAGTTACTCCATCTGTGATCAACACAGGGAGTGAATTTTGGCTCTGGCCTCCCAGAAAACACTTTTCTCCCCACCATGCCCCATATTATGAATCACTTGTTCCACAATACCCTACTGTTCCCTCTCTTGCCCATCAAAATTTATCCATTACATTTCTCATTCTGTCAGAGGCCTATATTTAAAAGAATGAAAGGGAAAAAAAACACTGTTTAATGTCCTTCTGATAGAAGTCTCCAAAGTAATGAAGGAAAGGAGTTTAGGTAACTGTGTAAAACAGTGTTTATTTTAATACTTTCTTAAATGCCAAAGGTAGTAAGTATAAAACCTTCTCCGGCAACTTAATGTCTCTCTTAAGATTTAGCAACAATAAAGATATACAGTACTCTAGATGTGTAATGCACTAGATTAGATTGGAACTCTTCTGAAGGATCCAGGAATCATAAAAACAATCTGTCACAAACTATACCCACTACAGTGGCCATTTGTTAAACATGTGGCCAGCTTTGCTGCTGGATTCCTTCAGAATTACTGGATAAACGTATCATATAGTCCCTCTGGTTATAAACAGCTATACTGGGAGCAATAATTTCTGACAACTGACCCATTCAGGGACTATCCCTTTCCTTCTGGCATGCCAAGAAGGTGGAAGGAGATAAAATCTACCGGCTACTGTTTCTCACAACAGGACAGCAAGTCAGAGCTCTCACAGACAGCTGGGAGAAAAATATAAAGTGCCACTTAAAAATTAGGTCATGTGTCAGTTCTGGCACAGGTGTTATCAACGTTTTCAGTCTTTACTTGGCTTAGTAACTCTGAACAAATCTGCCTCTAAATAAAATTCCTTGTGACACAGAACTCCTGCCCCTAAAATCTTGCCTAGGAAATAACAGGGGAAATAACTCATCTAATTTCTCTGCATCTATTATTTATCCTTGAATACACTTAATATCACTAATTCTTTACCTAACTTCCTCCCTTTGGTACAAATAGTTAAACTATTATTATTTCTTTCTGAGATGTTTTATGAGATCCCCTTAAATTCCTTTTGAGTTTGTCTAATTTTGATTTTGTATCTTTATTTTCCAGCAACTGTATGCATCCCTATTCTCTTCACTTTGGTGACTTTTCTCTCTTAAAACACCAATTTTCTTTACTAGCTCTGCATGTGTGCAGGTTATGTGTGGTTTTCTTCCCTTTCTTTAGTGAATAGTAATATTTTGATTCTTTTTATACTGATCCTACAAATTCATAAATATTGTCTTACTAAATTTGGGATTTAAAGAGGTCCTCTCAGCTTTGCAAACTGCAATTTTCAAAATACTGTGATGATATGCATGCTATTTTATACTTTTTACTAAAGTATTAAGACATTTAATTGTTCTTGTATGTTCCTTGATATTTTTACTACTAGTAATTATAAGACAATTTTTAAAGATAAATTTCATAAACGTTTAGAAAGGTATTGCTTAGTAAAAGTGCTTTGCCAATTTTCTATACACTAAAAAGGCAAAAATGTAACTTAATTTTTTGAAATACAAAATTACCTTCCCATTCATCTTTGATGTGATCTCTGACATTCAGATTGATGGTAACATCCGCACGAACTCTGGTTGGCCAGTTTTCGCCTATGTTGGGCTTGGCAACCTCAACTACAGTGAAAGCCACGATAGGCTGGGCCATTCGTGCCCAACCACCAAACACTACACCACCATACTCAGATTGCCTGAAAACCAAAGAAGTGCATGATTACTCAAACAAAAAAATGACTTTTCCCCAACTTCTGGTCAAGTAAAATTAGTAAGGAGGAATACATATTTAGCTACTAAGCCCTGACATTAGTAACTCTTATTACTAAACTTAAAACAAAAAACAAAACAAACCAAAAAAACAAAGTCCCAATATATAAGGAATATATTCAGTAGAATGAACACGCAAATATGGTCCAGTAAAGAAAGGGAAGTAGAGATTATCTCCCCACTACACACACAGGAAAAAAAAAGGTAACTCTATATACAGAGAGCGGAGGCATTTGGTCAAAGAACAATCTATCCCAGGGCTCCTGGGTGGCTCAGATGGTTAAGCGTCTGCCTTCGGCTCAGGTCATAATCTCTGGGGTTCTGGGATTGAGGCCCTCATTGGGCTCCGCATCGGGCTCCCGGCTCAGCGGGGGGTCTGCTTCTCCCTCTCACTCTGTGCTCTCTCAAATGAATAAATAAAATCTTAAAAAAATAATCTATAATAATAATAACAGAGTAATCTAGATTATAATAATGTAACAATAATTCTTATCCTTTTCCTCTCTTCATCAATATAGTCTCAACTCCTTATATTTTATGTATTTCGATATTTCTATAAGCTGTTTTAGAATAAGCTGGAATTTTAAAAATTAAAAACGAACCAACAAATGATAATTATCTACGCAAATGCTTGCTTTAGGGCATAATATTTAAATCATTTAAAAGATACTGCCATGGATTGGGGGTAAAGATAATCAAGCTAGTTGTAATAACCAGAATCACTAACATTCAAATACCCATTCATTCTTCTTATGTTAGTCTAACTGGTGCTCTAGATTTTACATTGTTATCAGGGAAATCTATAACGTAAATACTGCAGCAGCACTCTGAAACTGGTATGCCAAAAATGACATACTTACACAGATAAAGACATACTTACACAGATACTTTACCCCCCAGGTAAAGGCTTTGTGTTATAAGAAAAAATTGTAGAACTTCACAACATCAAAGAGTGAAACTAATTAAAATAAAAGTTCTGCAAAGACCCCCTCAAAAAGGAGAATTACAGACCAATATCCCTGATGAACATGGATGCAAAAATTCTCACCAAAATACTAGCCAATAGGATCCAACAGTACATTAAAAGGATTATTCACCATGACCAAGTGGGATTTATCCCTGGGCTGCAAGGTTGGTTCAACATCCGCAAATCAATCAATGTGATACAATACATTAACAAAAGAAAGAACAAGAATCATATGATCCTCTCAATAGATGCAGAAAAAGCTTTTGACAAAGTACAGCATCCTTTCTTGATCAAAACTCTGATTCAGAGTATAGGGATCGAGGGTACATACCTCAATATCATAAAAGCCATCTATGAAAAACCTACAGCGAATATTATTCTCAATGGGGAAAAACTGAGAGCTTTCCCCCTAAGGTCAGGAACGCGGCAGGGATGTCCACTATCACCACTGCCATTCAACATAGTATTGAAAGTCCTAGCCACAGCAATCAGACAACAAAAAGAAATCAAAGGCATCCAAATTGGCAAAGAAGAAGTCAAACTCTCACTCTTTGCAGATGATATGATACTTTATGTGGAAAACCCAAAAGACTCCACCCCAAAACTGCTAGAACTCATACAGGAATTCAGTAAAGTGGCAGGATATAAAATCAATGCACAGAAGTCAGTGGCATTCCTATACACCAACAACAAGACAGAAGAAAGAGAAATTAAGGAGTCGATCCCATTTACAATTGCACCCAAAACCATAAGATACCTAGGAATAAATCTAACCAAAGAGACAAAGGATCTGTACTCAGAAAACTATAAAATACTCATGAAAGAAATTGAGGAAGACACAAAGAAATGGAAAAACGTTCCATGCTCATGGATTGGAAGAACAAATATTGTGAAAATGTCAATGCTACCTAGAGCAATCTACACATTCAATGCAATCCCCAACAAAATATCATCCACTTTTTTCAAAGAAATGGAACAAATCATCCTAAAATTTGTATGGAACCAGAAAAGACCCCGCATAGCCAGAGGAATGTTGAAAAAGAAAAGCAAAGCCAGCGGCATCACAATTCCGGACTTCCAGCTCTATTACAAAGCTGTCATCATCAAGACAGCATGGTACTGGCACAAAAACAGACACATAGATCAATGGAACAGAATAGAGAGCCCAGAAATGGACCCTCAACTCTATGGTCAACTAATCTTCGACAAAGAAGGAAAGAATGTCCAATGGAACAAAGATAGTCTCTTCAACAAATGGTGTTGGGAAAATTGGATAGCCACATGCAGAAGAATGAAACTGGACCATTTCCTTACACTACACACAAAAATAGACTCCAAATGGTTGAAAGACCTCAATGTGAGACAGGAGTCCATCAAAATCCTAAAGGAGAACACAGGCAGCAACCTCTTTGACCTCAGCCGAAGCAACTTCTTCCTAGAAACATCACCAAAGGCAAGGGAAGCAAGGGCAAAAATGAACTATTGGGACTTCATCAAGATAAAAAGCTTTTGCAAAGCAAAGGAAACAGTCAACAAAACCAAAAGACAGCTGACAGAATGGGAGAAGATATTTGCAAATGACATATCAGATAAAGGGCTAGTATCCAAAATCTATAAAGAACTCATCAAACTCAACACCCAAAGAACAAAGAATCCAATCAAGAAATGGGCAGAAGACATGAACAGACATTTTTCCAAAGGAGACATCCAAATGGCCAACAGACACATGAAAAAGTGCTCAATATCGCTCAGCATCAGGGAAATCCAAATCAAAACCTCAATGAGATACCACCTCATACCAGTCAGAATGGCTAAAATTAACAAGTCAGGAAACAACAGATGTTGGCGGGGATGCGGAGAAAGGGGAACCCTCCTACACTGTTGGTGGGAATGCAAGCTGGTGCAGCCACTCTGGAAAACAGTATGGAGGTTACTCAAAAAGTTGAAAATAGAGCTACCCTATGATCCAGCAATTGCACTACTGGGTATTTACCCCAAAGATACAAAAGTAGGGATCCGAAGGGGTACGTGCACCCCGATGTTTATAGCAGCAATGTCCACAATAGCCAAACTGTGAAAAGAGCCAAGATGTCCATCGACAGATGAATGGATAAAGAAGAGGTGGTATATATATACAATGGAATATTATGCAGCCATCAAAAGGAATGAGATCTTGCCATTTGCAACGACGTGGATGGAACTGGAGGGTATTATGTTGAGTGAAATAAGTCAAACAGAGAAAGACATGTATCATATGATCTCACTGATATGAGGAATTCTTAATCGCAGGAAACAAACTGAGTGTTGTTGGAGTGGGGGGTGGTGTGGGAGGGATGGGGTGACTGGGTGATAGACATTGGGGACGGTATGTGCTCTGGTAAGCGCTGTGAATTGTGCAAGACTGTTGAATCTCAGATCTGTACCTCTGAAACAAATAATGCAATATATGTTAAGAAAAAAAAAAAAGAAGAAGAAGGTAGTGGGAGGGGAAGAATGAAGCGGGGGAAATCGGAGGGGTAGACGAACCACGAGAGACGATGGACTCTGAAAAACAAACAGGGTTCTAGAGGGGAGGGGGGTGGGAGGATGGGTTAGCCTGGTGGTGGGTATTGAGGAGGGCACGTTCTGCATGGAGCACTGGGTGTTATGCACAAACAATGAATCATGGAACACTTCATCTAAAACTAATGATGTAATGTATGGGGATTAACATAAGAAAAAAAAAATTAAAAAAAATTAAAAAAAAAATAAATAAAATAAAAGTTCTGTATCCAGTGACTTGCTTAGTACAGAGAGTTCCTAAAAGGTATTACCTTGTGTCTAAACCCTTTTATAATAACTATTACCTCCTCCATTTTTTACACTTTTACCACAGTATAGCTTACATACCATAAAATTCATTCACTGTAAATGCACAATTCAATGATGTTTTAGTAAATGTGCAGAGTTGTGCGTCCATCACCACAATCTGAGAACACTTCCATCCTATGCATAAAAGATCCCTCTCATTTGACTACAGTCAATCCTGTTACTACCCCCAGGCAACCACTAATCTATTCTCCCCAACTGTTTTTTCTTCCCTTATAAAATCTACCTGCAACATGAAGGATTAAAAAGGATAGATTTCTGCCCCTCATAAATACTTTCTCCCTTACGTTGCTCAGTGGTTTCAGCAGCCTGAATACATGATCGTTAGTACCAAGCTCTGAGTAAAATTTATGCCCCGACTTTTCCACCTTCAGCACATAAGAAACAGATAGAAGCCTGGCCTCTTTTTAGATCTCATTATTTTTAAAAGCCTTCAGTGATGGGCAATTAGGAATGAAAATCTAGAAAAATTTTTAATCACAAGTTAACTCCCAAAAGTGACATTTTCTTTTCCTTAGCAGAAAATAATGTAAGTTAAAAAAAATGTCCTTTATTAATAGACCATAGAACTCTTAAGTATTTTTGCTTTATTTGGCATTTAAGTAAAATATAAGTGAATTCTATTTGATAAACTGCTAGTTAATAAATCCCTAGTTTGCAAAATGGCCAAAATTAGGTCCAGAATATGAGCATGTAAACCCAAGGTTAACCATAAACTGAAAGGAAGCTTTCTGATCAAGCACTCCCTGGGGGTCCAAACACTGGGCAATAATTCCAGCAAAACTGTGGGCAGAGATGATTAGCCAGCAAGTATACAAACCTCACAGTACTAGCCTGCCTACTGACTCAACTGATTATTAAGTCAAAAATATTTTATGTTATGTTTTATAGTCTCACCCAGAATAACTTTTCACATAATAACTAATTAAAAAATAGAACTGTGTATGAAATAAAATGTGGACGTGAAAAAAACAGATCATAATCATAGTGTCCATGTAGCTCTCTGTAATTAGTAAGGAGAGAAGCCTGGAAGATACCTGAATCTGTTCACATTCAAAAACTGTTAAGCTTTTCATACAGAATGCAGTATAATTGTATGTGTATGCATAGTGTGACCAGAATATAATAAAAATCCATTTTATAAGAATTTTATTAGTTTATAGTCACTTGTGATATATAACTTACCCTCATCAATTCTATACGTAGAATGAAATAGTGAATGAAGGGCATTTACCTCATGTCTAAATCAGTCATGTCTAAAAAGCAAAACGGACCTTCACAAATCTCTTAATGCAGAGCTGCCTACAATAACTACAATGAAAGTCTTTTCTTAGCTAGAAGAATTCCAGACATGAGCTAGCAAGTGGGGAGTTGAGTTTAAGCAGAAGACTTCCTCAAATAAAGAGACCTACTCAACTGGCCCCCAAAGTAAATCCTGATGGTTTAGTCAAGGTAATCTATGGAGGGAGGACCAGGGAAGACTTTGCAACGTTCGATTCCATGTGATGCTCAGCAATGCTCCTCATCTCTTGCCAGGTTCCTGGGAGAGGCTAACTGAAATACTGGTGACAGCCATAAGAGCAGCTGGGGTAGTAGAAGACCTCCTTATCATAAGCTCCCAGGACTTGAACCGTTGTCCTAGTAAAGGCCTGCTGGTCAGCCCATACCTTCCCTCTTTACCCTTTTGCTAATGTCCACCCTACTCTCCCCTCTACATTTGTCCCCCCACCATCCTCCAAGAATGAAGACCTCTCCTCCCTTATCCCCAGTCCCCCAGCACCACACCCAAGTATCCAGATACATATTTTATGTTTTAGCACTTTTAGTATACTCTAATCCACATTAGAGAATTTCTCAAAGAGTAAATATCTCATATTTTGGAGGGCATCTTCACGCCAGACATACTATTTCTAAACACACTTATGAGGTTTCTGACAGAGGTTATATCAGTCACTGTTTGCACCTCTTCATTACAAGTGGAACCGATTTACTAACCATGGCTTCATTCTGCTGACACTATCCTCGATGTCCTGCCTAATTTCGTAAGTTGATTCTAAGCGGAAGAGGTTAAAATTCCTTAAGAGGTAATCATGAAGAGTCAAAAACTGCAAATTCAACTTGGGAAGAGCAAGACAACCTGAAAAAGAAAACAGCATCCACATTTGAATTATTCTTTTAATCAGACAGCTGTGCTATGTATAAAAAATGCACTACAAATTTGGTTAAGAGTTTAATTTAATGATGTCTGAAATATAGCATATTTGATAAGGTTCTATTTTTATTTTCACACAGAAATTGAAAAACCAAGTTAACAAATGCTATCCATTAAGAGTTGGGAAGGAAGGATAAATCTCATTAATACATATAACCGTGCATCAATGATTCAGATACAAACAGGCTTCTCAAAAGTATCTGAAGATACTTACAATTAATATAGTCTCAAGTAGTTTAAAAATTCTTCCTTTACCCCCTCACTTATATTTGGCAAAGCTTGAAGTAAATAGTGACCATAAACTAAGCCCATGACAAATTTACCATGAAAGCTAATTAGTTAGTATATTACAACATATTAATCTATCTCCAATGAGCACTATTGTGCTCTGAATCTCTGCCTTTTGGCTAGGCTTTAAGGATAAGGTATTCATTGTATACTATTCCTGGAGTTACTTCCCTTCTCTGACTATATTAATGAACAATATTCTTTCTAATATCTTCATTAACTGCTCTTTCCCTTGGATAATAAGTGAATAAGCACTTGGCTGCAATACCAAAAAGGTTAAAAAAAAAAAAAAAACCTCAAAGTAAACACATTTTACTGGAAAATCATAATATTTTCATCATCTGTATCCATTCTTACCAAATGGCAAAGAATATCAATGCAAAAAAAATTTCACATCATTTATGTTAGATTCTGATTTATAATCTAACTCAGTATCTTTCAGGCCAGAGGCTGAGGGAAAGTGTCTCTTTAGACAGCATCATTTTATTAAAAAAAAAAATTAAAATGTGACTATTTTGCAACTGTCACTGAATTAACAAATCTAGCCATTAAGCAGCAATGGCTACTTATCTCTCTCTCACACACACACACACACACACACAAACACAACCAGACATTCTGTGCATCTGATGAAAGAATACAGCACCACCAAGAATCCTGCCAGAGAGAAAACCTCAGCCTGACCAAGCCTCTGCATTCAGCTGCCAATCTGCAAGAAAAATAAAGAGCAGAGAGACATACTCAACTGTACACTGAGTAGTCAGTTAGAAAAAACTAGACTGTGGGAAACTATACAGATCAAACAATTTGGGTTCTTCAAAAGAAAAGGAAGGCATACAGAGGGCATTTGTGAAGTAAAAGACATTTTAAAAATGTACAAGATTGACTATCACACATGGATGCACAAGTAGGTGATAAAACTATGAAGAAATATATAGTGATTGCTATAGAAGTCAAGAAATGGTTACTTTCAGGTGGAGGGAGAAGCAGTACTAGGAAGGAGCTTATGGGAGGGTTCTGGGATAGCTAATAAGGTGGTTATTTCCCTTATAATAATTTGTTAAGCCCTATATTTATGTTGTGTGGCTTTCTATATTTGTGTTTATTTTCTTAAAAAGGCTCAAAATGAGGGCATAAAATTTTACAAGGATTTTCTTTACAATTCTTAACTATATCTTTTTAAATATCTGTACCAATTTCACACTTATTTTCTCTTCTTGGGAGCTAGAAGCAGTCTGCATAAGCATTCAGTATTAGCTTTGATCTTTGCCTATTTATGAGCATCAGATATTGAGCCCCTAAAACACAGTGCCATCCATGGTCCCTAAAGAACAATGGCATCACATAGCCAAATATCTGAAGACAGCTTTATTACAGTTAAACCATTTGGCAACTAATATTGTTCTGAAATACTTTCCTTAACCTTTGTTAATTGCAGATGGGAAAGAAGAACAATATTTTATATACTAAGCAAGTGTGTGTGTTTTTTTTTTTTTTTAAAGATTTTATTTATTTATTTGAGAGAGAGAATGAGAGAGAGAGAGCATGAGAGGGGGGAGGGTCAGAGGGAGAGGCAGACTCCCTGCCGAGCAGGGAGCCCGATGCGGGACTCGATCCCGGGACTCCAGGATCATGACCTGAGCCGAAGGCAGTCGCTTAACCAACTGAGCCACCCAGGCGCCCTAAGCAAGTGTGTTTTAAACTCAGAGCAGCATCACTGGATAGCACCAAAAGCTAGATGAAAGACTATGTACATATTTAAGAAGGACACATAAGCTCTGTACTGACAAGACAAAATACTAAGCGATATGTGCCTTTTAGGAACTGATTAGACAAAGAGTTAGATGTCATACATACATGGTCATAAATGCTTTTAGCATGAACAAATTAGAAAAGTGAAAAAACAAGGCATTGACCTTTGTAAGAATAAAAAAAATATGAAGACTGCCTATTCTGAAATCTAGCACAATTTTGGTGCACTGGCTTTACTGAAGTTATGGATATGACTTCAGGATACAACTCTGAAATATCCGTTTTTCTTTTAAATAAATTACCACTGGTGATGTCTTTAAAACAGCCAAACTTCTCATAATGATGCCATTGTTCAAAAAATTTCCTTAATTTTTTTTTTTTTAAATATGCCTTCAAAATATGTCAGAATGTACTTCAGCATATACTCAATTGTGACAAATTCTCATCCTTAGTGGATGAACAAAAGCATCTAGGAACAAACCTGTTGAAATAGATACGTAAACCAGGGAATAACTATTTTTAATCAAAACGAAGGGTTTATTGTTAACTACTGACAATTTTTGGTGGTCATTAGCTGGCTTAACAAGGAATTCAAAAGAACTTCTAAAAAAGGCTTTGAAAAATAATACACTACCAAACAAAGCCTTTTACAGTGACATAATGAGAGCTATACTTCCTTCACTATTAGGTCTCCTTAAAACATAGTTTTATGCTTACAGTCATATTTTATAAAGGATAATATATGTGTATGATATATATATATCTCTCTCTCATCCTAATATATGTACACATGTGCACATCTGAGCATGTGTGTGCAGCACGCATGCACAGCACACACACACATTAGGGCATGGTTAAATTTAATAAAAATCCCTAATACTATGTATTCAAAATACTGAATAGTTTCCAGCTCTAAAACTGAACTTCAGGGTACCAGAAAATTATCCTAATGCATGTAACAGATAGGAGTATTTTCAGTTACATATGATAAATTCTAAACTAAATTTCATGGTACACCTGAATCCTGTACTCTCTGCCATACCTTCCCCAGAATAGTACTCAGTTGGGACAATATTTTCATCCCATATGATTTTCTCAGTTGGATACAAAGGCATCTGGTTCAACTGCTGAATCTGAGAAATTCGACGTTCATGACGAGATACCTAAAAGAAACAGATCATGCAGAAAGTTAGAAGCATCTTTTCTTAATCAAAATAATTTATGGAGAAATTTACCATAAAGTATGGATTGAGAAGTTTCATGTCTTTCAGTTATGGTACCACTTAATAAGAGGGTTTTTTCCCTATTTCCATTTTCTCCATAAGTCAAAGATGAGAGAGGCACCAATTATGATGGGCTTTGGAATCAGGCAGATCAACACCAAGTACCTCTAATTTATGAGCTATGTAAAAACTGGGCATGTTCCTTTAACTTCCCTGATCTTAGCTTCTTTTTCAGTAAAACAGATAAAAAAACTCACCTCTCAGGTTTCTTATGAAAATGAAACGGAATACTGTAAAACAGCATCAAAGTGCCTGGCACATGCCAAGACCTTAAAAACCATAGCACTTAATATTCACCAATGTTAAGCCCTAAGTCCTAGATTATAGTTTTCATTCTACTACTAATTAAACAATATGGAAAATTTTGTTTATTAAAAACCTGGGGGCACCTGGGTGGCTCAGTTGGTGAAGTGTCTGACTCTTGGTTTCAACTCAGGTCATGATCTTCAGGTCAGGAGATAGAACTCAGCACTGAGCTCCACACTCAGCGTGGAGTCTGCTTCCCCTCTCCTGCTGCCCGCCCCCCCACCTCACTCAGGCTTTCTCGCTCACTGAAATAAATAAATAAATCTTTTTAAACACACACACACACACACCCCTGGCCTCAGTTTTCCTTGTAAAATGAGAGTTGGCCTTTATGACCTCTATGTAGATTTCCATTGTTAATATTATAGTCATCTATCTCTAACAGAAATAAGCTTGTTACCTAATTAACATGTTGAAAAGATACACATGGAAAATGTGTCACGTTCTCTTCAGTACAGAGAGTATTATTTTAGGAAAGAAAATAGTGTGATACCATCTAAACAATATGCATATTTCAACTTCTTTATCATAATTCAGGTATTAGAAGAATCCAAAGCCTAAGGAAATCCTTTAGGAGAGAGAGGAAATGAAAGATAATGCTGTAGCACTATAAATTTTTAAAACTGTTTTCTTTTTGGCAAAAATATTTAAATTTCATGGATGAATCTTAGCTGTAAGACTGTAAAAGGCACAGGATCTGCTTTATACTTAAACCTATTTTCCATTAGAAAGAGTCCTTAAAAAAAATCCTCATTTCTTTGTATAGAAGGATTTATTATTAATCCCCAAACCTGACTTACGAGAAAAGATTTCATGTTGTCAGAAAATAGGACAAGGAAGTTTTAGAAAGCACTTGTAGTCAGAAATAATGAAAAGGCAAAGACGGTGACCTAAGACATACATTTCACACAAGTAAGCATATCAATAAGAAAGTATTTTCCATACTTGAATTAAGTTAAAACTCCAAGAATCTCTCTCCAACTGTCACTTAAACACCTGTCATCAGGCTTAAAACACCTGCTACCAATAGCTTCTGGTTACTATCCCCAAAACTAGCATCATCTTCTCTATAGTAAGAGACTGTATTTTACACCCTATATTAAAAGTATGAGCTTGGAATATAAATCACAAAACTGTGTACCTATTATGGTTCCATACATGTAAAAAATGCATATACACACCCACACAGTTTATGTTTGTAGAGTTATAAAAAACAAACTAAAAACAAAAAAATTAAAACAAGGTATTTTTTTTTACTCATGCAACTGGCAGAAATTGGGATGACTCATAACATCCAATGCTGCTTAAGGAGACACACTGTAATACACTGTTGGTAGGAACATACATCTTTCAGAGGATAATTCGGCTGAATCTTATCTTTTAAATAAGCACATGCTTCAATCAAATAATTTCACTTCTAGGTACCTCTCCTAAATGTCCACACATATGCATAAACAGGCATATGCCAGGACCACACCATTATTTATAAAAGTGAACATTGCAAACAGCTTAAATATTCAGAGTGGGGATATAATTACTCATGCATTTTATGAATTATTTTTCTAAAGCTAAAAATAAAATATTCCTATTCCTCAATTTTTCTGTGAACCTAAAACTGCGCTAAAAAAAAAAATAAATAAAACCTTACCAAAAAAGTATTAGTTAGTCCATTATTTCCCAAAATGACTGAAAAATCCGATAGAATTCTTAAACCACCAAGTCAGTGATAATTTTTCTAAATATTCCTCAGTTTTCTAATGATAAAGGTATGCCTTAATATTCAAGGTACCATATTTAAATAACTTTTAAAATAAATGGTTAGATAAATATGAATGCATACGTATTACCTGTGTCTGTGTAACTATGACCTCTAAAAGGCAGGAATGGTGTCAATTATCAATGTATCCCTAATGTCTGAATCCAGTGCCTGACACAGAAGCTCTGCTCATTCATGTTTGCATGGACTGAATTCACGCCATGAAGCAGTTTTAAAAGGTTAAAGACTTAAGAAAAGAAATCTAATAGATAAGAAATCTGACAAAATCATATGATGATGTAATTGTGAAACAGGTAGCAATGACCTACTTAACCTTTAGCCCAGGAAAAAATTTGTATCAACCCATGTCTTTAAGAAAGGGAAAATTTAAAGAACATTAATATTTACCAGCAATTCTAGAAGAAATTCTTTATCAAAAGTTGTGTCTTCATTTTTAGGAAGAGTTGGTAACAAGCAGAGGTATGATGCCACCTGGTGGAGTGTATTTGAACTGCAGAATAAGGAATATTCGGATCAGAGTATCTTATTAACTTACTTTATTTTTGAAACACAATTTTACAGATGGCTTAAAAAATTTTACCTAGCAAATATAACCCTATGAAACTGCAGCAAATAAAAAAAATCAGCAATGAAAGTTAACCCCCTTAATGCAGGTTCTCAAAGGTCTTCTGCAAAACCCCTGTGGGTCCCTGAGACCTATTTCTAGTAAGTCTGCAAGAACGATATTTTTTTATATTAATACTAAGACATTATTTGTTTTTTCCACTATCTTTACATACACAGTGAAAAGCAATGGTGGGTAAAACTGCTGGCATGGGTGAAGGCGGTGGTACCAACCAGGGCTCTAAGGAGCCATAGCATTCCTTACTGCCACATGCAGAAGGGGAAAAAAAGCCACTTTCATTTAAGAATGCCCTTAATGAAGTAGCAAAATTAATTTATTAATTGAAATTAAATTGCTACTTAAAATTATTAATATAATTAAATTTGGACTCTTGAATACCTGTTTTTTAAAAATTCTGTGTGACAAGATAGGAAGTACACATTTTCCACACAATTTTTACTTCAAAGAACTAATGACAAACTATGGTTATTCAAACTTGAATAAATGGCAAAAAATTTTCAAATCTGAACAAAATAAACCAATAACTTTAAGGAAAACAACTGATAGTATTTGTTACCAAAGATAAAATTGGAATTTCCAAGTGAAAAACTGGAATTCTGGAAAACGTGCATTCACCACCATGAGCTGAACAGCTTTCCATTACTTAAATATAGTTTCATCACCCTCACCAAATGCCCTCACACACTCTATCCCAGTCCCTGGTAACCACTAACCTGTTTTTGATCTCTACAATTTTGCTTGTCCCAGAAGGTCATATAGATGGAATCATACATTATATAGCCTTTTGATACTTGTTACTTTCATTTAGCATAATGCAACTAAAATTCACCCACACTGTGTGCATTTGTAATTGGTTCCTTTTTACTGCTGAGCAGTATTCCATCACACAGATGTAGCACAGTGTGTTTATTCACTCACCAGTTGAAGGGTATCTGTTTTGGACAACTATAAAGCCACTATATAAATTTCCCCACAGATTTTTGTGTGAACATAAATTTTCATTTGGGTATATCTATGAGAACACTAGATTGTATAGTAAATGCATGTTTAACTACAAGAAACTGTCACATTTTTCCGAAGAGGCACTACCATTTTGAATTCCCACCAGCAATGTGCGAGAATTCCAGCTGTTCCACATCCTTGTCAAAAGTCAATACAGAGCGTGTTTTTTAACAATTCTAATAGACATGTAATGGTATCTCATTAGGATTTAAACTTGCATTTCTCTGATAACTAATGATGCTAAACATCCTTCTGTGGCTTACTGAAATGTATCATCTTTGGTGAAGTATCTGTTCAAATCTTTAGCTATTTTTTTTTTTTTAAGATTTTATTTATTTATTTACTTAATTGATGAGAGAGAGAGAGAGAGAGAGACAGTGAGAGAGGGAACACAAGCAGGGGAATGGGAGAGGGAGAAGTAGGCTTCCTGCGGAGCAGGGAGCCCTATGTGGGGCTCGATCCCAGGACCCTGGGATCATGACCTGAGCCAAAGGTGGCTCCGCTCAACCAACTGAGCCACCCAGGAGCCCCTCTTTAGCTATTTTTAAATTGTTTTCTTATTATTGAGTTCTGAGACTTCCAGATACCAGTCCATCACCAGATATGTGTTCAGTCAATATTTTCTCCCAGTCTGGGGTTGTATTTTCTGTTAACAATGTCTTTCAAATAGTAAAAGTTTTAAATTTTGATAAAGTCCAATTTATCAATTTTTTTTCTTTATGGATTGTGCTTTAGAAATCTATGGAAATCTTTGCACAAACCATAATCACAAAAATTTTCTCCTATATGTCCTATTAGTTCTGGTTCTGATAAGTATGTCTGCAATTCATTTCGAGTTAGTTTGTGTACATGATGTGAAGTATGTGTCAAGTTTCATACTTTGCATATAGACGTCCAACTGTTTCACCACAGTTGTTGAAAAGATTATCCTTTCTTCAGTGAGTTGCTTTGGCATCTTAGTCAGAAATCAACTAAGATATATGTCTAGTCTGTTTCTGAACTCTACTCTGTTCCAGTGATCTATATGTCTATATGTCCTTTATTCAATACCACAATGTCTTGATTACTGTAGCTATATAGGCAGTCTTGAAATTAGGTAGTGGGAAAGCTTCAACTTTGTTCTTTTTCAAAATGGTTTTGGCTAGTCCCTTTGTCCTTCTATATTAATTTTTGAATAAGCTTGTCAATTTTTAGAAAATATCCTGCTGGGATTCTGAATTATACCTACAGATCAATTTGGGCAGAATTCATACCTTAATTGAATCCTCTCATCCATAAGCAAGGCAAATGTCTCCATTTCTAAAATTAATTCACTTTAGTTGCACAGACTTCCTTAATATGGTTTCAGATACCACACTGAAACTAACATTTAAGAAACTTCCACTTGTCAAGTTGTGATATGGTATCAAAGAAAAATATTCACAATTATTTGAAAAGGCTATTAAAATATATTTCCCTTTTGCATAAGGGAATTTCTTCATTTACTTCAACCAAAACAGTATCTCACAATAAATGAAATACAGAAGCAGATCTACAAATCCACTGTCTCTGATTAAGCCAGACATTAAAGAGATTTGCAGGGGAGGAGTTAAGATGGTGGAGGAGTAGGAGGACCCTAAGCTTGTCTCATCCCTTGAACACAGCTAGATTAGTTATCAAATCATTCTGAACGCCCAAGAAATCAATTGGAGGTCTGAGAGAACAAAAACTAGTCTACAAGTAGGAAAGTGACCACCTTTTGGAAGGAGTCCCAGAAGATGAAGAGAGAGAAAAAGGGACAGAAGGTTTATTTGAACAAATTATAGCTGAAAACTTCCCCAATCTGGGAAAGGACACAGACACCAAAATCCAAGAAGCACAGAGAAATCCCATTAAATTCAACGAAAGTCAACTATCGCCAAGGCATAGCATAGTCAAATTCACAAAATACATAGACAAGGAGAGAATCCTGAAAGAAGCAAGGGAAAAAAAAAAAAAAGCCCTTAAACTACAAGGTTAGACAGATCAGATTCACAGCAGATCTGTCCACAGAAACTTGGTGAGCCAGAAAGAAGTGGCAGGATGTATTCAATGTGCTGAATGGGAAAAAATGCAGCCAAGAATTCTTTATACAGCAAGGCTGTCATTCAGAATAGAAGGAGAGATAAAAAGAGTTTCCCGGGCAAACAAAAACTAAAGGAATTCATGACCACTAAACCAGCCCTGCGAGAAATTTTAAGGGGCCTCTGAGTGGAGAAAAAAAGACCAAAAGCAACAAACACTAGAAAGGACCAGAGAACATCACCAGAAACACCAACTCTACAGGTAACACAATGGCACTAGATTCACATCTCTTAACAATCACTCTGAATGTAAATGGACTAAATGCTCCAATCAAAAGACATAAGGTATCAGAATGGATTTAAAAAAACAACAACAACAACAAAAGTCATCTATATGCTGCCTACAAGAGACTCATTTTAGACCTGAAGACATCTGCAGATTGAAAGTAAGGTATGGAGAACCATCTATCATGCTAACAGACATCAAAAGAAAGCTGGAGTAGCCATACTTAAATCAGACAAACTAGATTTTAAAACAAAGTCTGTAACAAGAGAGGAAGAAGGGCATTATATCATAATTAAGGGGTATATCCATCAAGAAGATCTAACAATTGTAAGTATTTATGCCCCCAACTTGGGAGCATGCAAATATATAAATCAATTAATAATAAACATAAAGAGTTTCCTCAAAAAGTTGAAAATAGAGCTACCCTACAACCCAGCAACTGCAACTCCTAGGGATTTACCCCAAAGATACAAATGTAGTGATCTGACCCCAGTGTCCATAGCAGCAATGTCTACAATAACCAAACTATGGAAAGAGCCCAGATGCCCATAGACAGATGAATGGATAAAGAAGATGCGGTATATATATATATAATATATACATATACACACAGTGGAATGTTACTCAGCCAACTAAAAAATGAAATCTTGCCATTTGCAACGACGTGGATGGAATTAGAGGGTATTATGCTAAGCAAATATGTCAGTCAGAGAAAGACAATTATCATATGATCTCACTCATATGGAATTTAAGAAACAAACAGAGGATCATAGGGGAAGAGAGGGAAAAATAAAACAAGGTGAAATCAGAGAGGGAGACAAACCATAAATGACTCTTAATCATAGGAAAAAAACTGAGGTTGCTGGAGGCGAGGGGGGTGGGAGGATGGGGTAACTGGGTGATGGACATTAAGTAGGGCACATGATGTAATGAGCAGTGGGTATTATATAAGACTGATGTATCACTGACCTCTATCTCTGAAACCAATAATACATTATATGTTAATTAAATTTAAATTTTAAGAAATGAAATAAAAAAATAATAAACATAAAGAAAATCATTGATAATAATACAATAATAGTAGGGGATTTTAACACCCCACTTACAGCAATGGACAGATCATCTACAGAAAATCAACAAGGAAACAATGGCTTTGAATGACACAATGGACTGGATGGACTTAACAGATATATTCAGAACATTTCATCCTAACGCAGCAGTATACACATTCTTTTTGAGTATACATGGAACATTCTCTAGAACAGATCACATACTGGGTCACTCAAAAAGTACAAAAAGATCGTGATTATATCAAGCATAGTTTCAAACCACAACACTATGAAACTTGGAAGTCAACCATAAGAAAAAATTTGGAAAGACCTCAAATACATGGAGGTTAAAGAACATCCTACTAAAAATGAGTGGGTTAACCAGGAAATTAAAGAAGAATGAAAAAAACACATGGAAGCAAATGAAAATGAAAACACAACAGTCCAAAACCGTTGGGATGCAGCAAAGGCAGTCCTAAGAGGGAAGTATATAGCAATATAGGCCTTCCTCAAGAAGCAAAAGTCTCAAATACACAACTTAACCTAACCAAAGGAAATAGAAAAGGAACAGCAAATAAAGCCTAAAGCCAGCAGAAGAAGGGAAATAATAAAGATTAGAGCAGAAATAAATGATATAGAAACAAAAAAACCCAGTAGAACAGATTAACAAAACTAAGAGAACTAAGAGAGGGTTGACAGAATTAATAAAACTGATAAATCCCTAGCCAGATATATCAAGAAGAAAAGAGGAAGGACCCAAACAGATAAAATCACAAATGAAAGAAGAGAGATCACAACCAATACCCTAGAAATACAATTGTAAGAGAATACTATGAAAAATTATATGCTAACAAACTGGGCAATCTAGAAGAAATGGACACTCCTAGAAACTTACAAAAACTATCAAAACTGAAACAGGAACAAATAGAAAATTTGAACAGACCCATAACCAGCCAAAAAATTGAATCAGTAATCAAATATCTCCCAACAAACAAAGTCGTGGGCCAGATAGCTTCCCATGGGAATTCCACCAGACATTTAAAGAAGAGTCAATACCTATTCTTCTCAAACTGTTCCAAAAAACAGAAATGGAAGGAAAGCTTCCAAACTCATTCTACAAATCCATCATTACCTTGATTCCCAAACCAAAGACCCCACTAGAAAGGAGAATTACAGGCCAATATCCCTGATGAACATGGATGCGAAAATTCTCAATAAAATACTAGCAAATCGAATTCAATAGTACATTAAAAGAATAATTCACCACAATCAAGTGGCATTTATTCCTGGGGTGCAAGGGTGGTTCAGTATTTGCAAATCAATCAATGTGATACACCACATTAATGAAAGGATAAGAACCATATGATCCTGTCAATAGATGCAGAAAAAGCATTTGACAAAATAAGCATCCATTCTTGATAAAAACCCTCAACAAAGTAGGGATAGTTGGAACATATCTCAAATCAAAAGGTCACATACAAAAGACCCACAGCTAATATCATCCTCGATAGGGAAAAACTGGGAGTCTTTCCCCTACAGTCAGGAATAAGACAAGGATGTCCACTCTTACCACTACTATTTAACATAGTACTAGAAGTTTCAGCCTCAGCAGATAACAAAAAGAAATAAAAGGCATCCAAATCAGCAAGGAGGAAGTCAAACTTTCACTATTTGCAGATGCCATATTCTACGTAGAAAACTCAAAAGACGCCACCAAAAAATTGCTAGAACTAATACATGAATTCAGCAAAGTCACAGGATATAAAATCAATGTGCAGAAACTTGTTGCATTTCTATTCACTAAGAATGAAGCAGCAGAAAAAGAAATCAAGGAATTGATCCCATTTGTAACTGCATTGGAAACAATAAGATATCTAGAGATAAACCTAACTAAAGAAAGAGGTAAAAGATCTGTACTCTGAAAACTATAAAACACTTATGAAAGAAATTGAAGAGGACACAAAAAAATGGAAAAGCATTCCATGCTCATGGGTTAGAAGAACAAACACTGTTAAAATGTCTATATTACCCAAAGCAATCCACACATCTAATACAATCCCTATCAAAATACCACCAGCATTTTTCACAGACCTAGAACAAACAATCCTAAGATCTGTATGGAACCGCAAAAGATCCCAAATAGCCAAAGCAATCCTGAAAAAGAAAAACAACTGGAGGCATCACGATTCCAGATTTCAAGCTATATTACAAAACTGTAGTCATCAAAACAGTATGGTACTGGCACAAAACAAACACACAGATCAATGGAACAGAACAGAAAACCCAGAAATGGACCCACACCTATATGGTGAACTAATCTTCAACAAAGCAGGGAAGAATATCCAATGGAAAAAAGAGGGTCTCTTCAACAAATGGTGTTGGGAAAACTGGACAGCAACATGCAGAAGAATGAAACTGGACCACTTTCTTACACCACACACAAAAATAAATTGAAAATGGTGAAAGACCTAAATGTGGGACAGGAAACTATCAAAGTCCTAGGGGAGAGCACAGGCAGAAACCTATTGGTTGTAGCAACTTCTTACTTCACGCTGTTGGAGGCAAGGGAAACAAAAGCAATTATGAACTACTGGGACTTGATCCAAGATAAAAAGCTTTTGCAGTACAGCGAAGGAAACAATCAACAAAACTGAAAGGCAGCCTACAGAATGAGAGAAGATATTTGTAAATGACATCTGATAAAGGGTTAGTATCTAAAATCTGTAAAGAATCTATTAAACTCAACACCCAAAAAAACAAATAATCCAGTTGAGAAATGGGAAGAAGACACTTTTCCAAAGAAGACATCCAGATGGCTAACAGATGCATGAAAAAAATGCTCAGTATCACTCATCATCAGGGAAATAAAAATCAAAACCATGAGATACCACCTCACACCTGTCAGAAAGGTTAAAATTAACAACACAAGAAACAACAGGTATTAGTGAGGATGCAGAGAAAGGGGAACCCTCTTGCACTGCTGGTGGGAATGCAAACTGATGCAGCCCTTCTGGAGGACAGTTTGGAGGTTCCTCAAAAAGTTAAAAACAGAACTACCCTATGATCCAGCAATTGCACTACTAGGTATTTACACAAAGGATACAAAGATACAGGTTTGAAGGGGTACATGCACCCCAATGTTTATTGCATCATTATCAACAACAGCCAAACTATGGAGAGCCCAAATATCCACTGACTGATGAATAAAGAGGAGGTGGTATATATATACAACGGAATATTACTCAGCCATCAGAAAGAATGAAATCTCGCCATTCGCAACAGTGTGGATAGAGCTAGAGTATATTATGCTAAGTGAAACAGAGAAAGACAAATACCATATGATTTCATTCATATGTGGAATTTAAGAAAGAAAACAGATGAACATATGGAAATGGGGAAAAAAAATGAGAGAGGGAAGCAAACCATAAGAAGACTCTTAACGATGGAGAACAAACTGAGGGTCGATGGAAGGAGATGGGTGGGGGATGGGCTAAATGGGTGATGGGCATTAGAGAGGGCACTTGCTGTGATGAGCACTGGGTGTTGTATGTAGGTAATGAATCACTGAATTCTACTTTAGAGACCAATATTACACTGCATGTTAACTAAAATTTAAATTAAAAAAAAATTTGCAAAAATGCAAAACAATGCCACTCCCCACTATATATTTTTTTAATTTTGGACAATATATTTTTCATTAACACTATATATGCTAACATATAATAGGCTTTTAATTGATTTTAATAAAGTATTTAAAAATTTTCCAGTTTTAATTTCTAATATAGTGAACATAATGGCTATAATCCACATTAAAAAAGTTTTTTAGCATCCTCAATAATTTACAAGAGTATAAAGGAGCATTATGGGCAAAAATAAATTCCCCATATGGATTATGCAGCTAAACTGAACGTAAAAAAAAAAAAATCTATGGAAGTGTTTTAAAATATAATATTTTATAATCTTATGGTGATGAAGGCCTTCTACAAAAACCATTTGTTACTGCTATAAAATGATTGACAGGATTAAAAATTTAAAACATTCGTAATAACAAAATACACCAAAACAAAGTTTAAAAGTGAGAAACTGAGAGAAAATAACTGCAACACAAACCAGACAAAATATCAGAGCATGCAAAATACATAAAGGTTTCTTTAAAAAAAATCAGTACAAGCGATGAAATACAAAATAGCAAAAGATAACAAGAAAGTTACAGAGGAAATGCAAATGGCCAGGAAAAATAGAAAGATGCTTAATTCCCCCAAGATAATCACAGAATGCAAAGTTAAACAATGGGGGTTCTTTTATTCTTGGATTGGCAAAAATGAAAGGCTAGTGTATCTACTTGGTAGAGAAAGAAATAAATCCTCATATGCTGTTGGTATAATCGATATTCCTTCGAGTCAATTATACTGCTTCTGGGAATCAGTACCAAGAATTTTTATATAGATACAGAAACAATGTTGTTCATTACTGAATTGTTAGTAAGGGCCAAAAATTTAGAAGGTAAAGATGTGTCAATAGGAGAGTGATTAAAAAATAGTACAGTTGACCTGTCCAATGGAACTTTATGCAGTTCATTAAGAGAATGAAACAGATTTTTGTGTTATTGTAAGAGTCATTATTAAATCTTCTTACAAAAATCAAAAACCAAACCAACTTTCAATTTGAAACCAGATTTGTTTCATTTTAAATAGTCAATGAACTAAATATAATTTCTCCTAAGAATTAAGGACAATGGGGAGATAACAACACAGTTAAAAGTTAGACTGCCTAGGTTTGAAATTGGAATCCTAGCTCTGCCACTTACCTGCTATTTGATCTAGACAAATGACTTAACAATTCTGTGTCTCAGTGACCTTATTTCTAAAATGGTACCTACTCCTCACACAAATGAATGTCTTGAGGATTATTTACACACTTAGTAGAGTGCCTACCATGTACTATAAATGTCTTACTACCATTTTCAAAAAAGTATATTAGCTAAGTGTCAAAGAATATTACTAATTTCATAAATTTTGAACACACAAAAATTTTTCTCATATTCTAATATCACATATGAACATTTACTGGTTTCTGTTTTATATTATGATAGATGGGATACCAGTTTTATGTTCTACTCTAAGAAAAATGTATGATTTAGGAAAAATGTTTAAGTTATGAAAAATACAAATTTTGCCCCCCAAAACAGAAGATCAATAATTATGTCTAAGTGACTTAAAGATACCAACTGCCAGAGAGTAGCACTAGTTTTAGCTGTCAACAGAGTGGTGCAATAAGTTACATTACTTAGTAGTGCAAAATGATTAAAAGCAAAAAGAAAATTAAAATTCAGTTTTCCTTTCATGTTGACTTACCTGAGAGGTCCAAAAAGCTTGACCAAAGATTCCCGAGTATCTACTTCTGCCACATTTGAGAGGGCAAAATCATAGAGTTCAGGGAAATGTGCAAAAGCAGCTCTCTAGAAAAGAGAATAAAATCAGTAACTAATGCCTACATATTAATACAATCAACTACAATTTATATACTACATAATAAAAATAATATTTAAAAAATATTAATGCACTTCTCTTTCTTACGCTTCTCATATGTGACCTCTGCCTTATTTAGCCAGAAGCATTCAATACAATGGGAAAAAACTAGAATTATTCCAGCAGGATTGCAAAAACAGAGTCAATGTTCAGTTTTTTCTTTCTAATGCTGTATTTTGAAGATACATGAAAACAGCCACGAAAGCCTTAGCTTCGCTGACAGGAAGGGAAAGAAAAATAAAACAAAACACTTTATTATGAAGAACTGGGGCAACAAAACTAAAAGAAAGTTCCAAGGGAAATTCCCACTGGAGAGATAGCTTGAGGGAGAATTCAAAAGCACAGTGGTTTGTGCTTTTACTTTGGAACTCTGGAAAGAAAGGACCTTTCAGGGTAACACCCCCAACCAACCATGGGGTAAGCTGTAAGAAAACAAAAATAGCAGCATTACAGTGACTGGGTAAGAGTGTAAAAGGTAGTCTTCCTTAATGTCCACGTGACACAGAGAAGATCCAGATATTTTCATGTGCCTCATAGTAGATGGCACCATAAGTTGCCAAGGTTATTGGTGAGCATGCCATGAGATTACTATAGATAATAGCAAAACGACCCTGCAACCCAAGCCTCAGTGAGTTGTTTAAGCTAGGAAATGAATGAGAGTCAGCTCTCAGGAGAACTCTAGTACCACCAAGAGCAAGGTTGGAACCTCATCAGCAAGGAGATAGCCAAGCTCCTCGGGAACCATCATCATGCCTTGCTTGGTGCCAAGAGAGCAGACCACATGCCACACGAGCCGTGGTCACTTCAAGGGCAGAAGCAGAAGGACAAACACACTACTGCTCTGAGAAGAGCAGGAAAAGACATTTGAGCCAGGACTCTGTGCAGATCACTCCTCTTCCAAAATGATGAGGCTATCATAGTGCCTCCACATATCCAGATGCCATTCTGGGAAAGAAGAGGGAGAGCAGAGTGTCCTTGAGAGATAGTGGAATTGATTATGAAAGACAATATGAACTTAAGTTTGACTGAGTCTTTACCCAAAAAGACTCTTTAAAACAGAAAGAACTGAATTTCTTCAAAGTGACAAATAAAAGCTTCTTTCTGCCACCAGAAAGAGTAAGAGCAGGATGAGATCAGTAATAGAAAACAAAGGTACTTTGTTGACATAGCTGAGCTGTACTGGCAAATTTCAGTCCCATTATGGTTGTTTATTTTTAAAATGTACAAAATGCTCACACATACTTTGTCAATATATTGGAATGGTCTTTCATAAAATAAAAATGGTAAGTATATGCATCAGATTGGCCCAGTAACTGATAGAAAATTTGACTGTCAAATATCAGTATTGTGATTCTCAAGACTGAAGAGAGCCATTTTTTCCCCATGGATTCATTAGAATTAGCAATATTTAAAAAGTTCAATATGAAAACATCATTAAATTAGTACTTTCCTCTATCTGTACTACACAAAACTAAATTATTTGTGACCCAACTTGATAGAGCAGAAGCATAGGCTGCACTGCATTTCAGTTACCTGTAGAGAAGTAATTCTGTCATAGTGAATTGTGGTCATCTCATTCTCTGTCAGAGCATTTCCAGTCTGGTCGTTAATCTCAAAACCAGTATAGAACTTTAGCATGTCCAAAAGCTGAAAGGATACATTTACATTACTAAACTGTGTGAACATAAGAACAAGAAACCAGGAACAAAAACTACTATAAAGAGTAAACAAGTCCATATAACTTCTCAGAGGTGCTGAAAAACTCTGGAATGTAAACACTGCAACAAACACTTTAGAACATATCCAAACGTGTTATTTTTGTAAGAATAAAGTATGAGTCTAGTGAATAAATTATTAAAGTCTATTTCATAGACATGGTCTACTTCTACAGAGAGGAACTTAAACTGTAATCCCAATAATGAACAGACATTAAGGATCTAAGGAAGTCAAACACTAATGGAAAAAAACTACATCACTGCAAATTTATAGAACTAGACCAGTAGGGGGAACCCATGAGGTCCTTTACTTATGCCACTTAATACAGAATTTTCTGAATGAAGGTTCTGGAATTCATAATTAAAGATACTCTCCTCTATGTACTGCTTTTATTAGGGAAAAGCAGCAAGGTGAGGAAAGCTAAGATATTTATTCCTCTCATCAGTCTCCATGACCATCAAGCCCTTTGTTTGGCCTAGTTATGGTTGCTAATGAAGGCCTGCTTTCCCTTCCTAGCAATGGCATCAAGAATCTACCGGCTGCATTCACCCCAAATCTTTATTATTCTTAATTCTAATCTATGGAAGATCAGATATGAGAATTTTAATATGTTGTAATGTATGTGGCAAATCACTAGACAGAAATTTAATAAGAGAATGAGAAAAAATATAGATACAAGATAAAAAAATTCTTGGGGCGCCTGGGTGCCGCAGTTGGTTAAGCGTCCGACTCTTGGTTTAGGCTCAAGTCATGATCTCAGGGTCGTGAGACTGAGCCCCAAGTGGGGCTCTGCGCTCAGTGGGGAGTCTGCTTGAGATTCTCTCTCTCCCTTTCCCCAGCTTGCACTCTCTAAATTAAAAAAAAAAAAAAAAAAAAAGATAAGCGAATTTTTTTTTTTTTTTAAAGATTTTATTTATTTATTTGAGAGAGAGAGACACAGCGAGAGAGGGAACACAAGCAGGGGGAGTGGGAGAGGGAGAAGCAGGCCTCCCGCAGAGCAGGGAGCCCGATGCGGGGCTCGATCCCAGGACCCTGGGATCATGACCTGAGCCAAAGGCAGACGCCTAACGACTGAGCCACCCAGGCGCCCCAAGCGAATTCTTAAAAGAATATGTAAACACATAAAAATTGTATTTCCAAGTATAATCTCATTGAAAGGCAAGTGTTAGAAGTTTGTTAGAAGACTTTCCTCCTGAAAAGGAGATGTGAAACAAGAAATGTGAAACACTAATACTTCTTTCTACCCAAGGCAGCAAATGACCACTTCCATGCTATCAACTGTCTCTGTCACCATCTTATGGAAAGACAGCCATGATATTAGGGCATAGTTCTCTTGAAATTAATGCTTATCATCTATTGTATTCCACAGTGGTTACTAACATAAAATATATGAGTATGTGGGACTACATCGCCAAGATCATAATTTAGTCCAATAATAAAATCACATATGATTAACAAAAGTTCTTAATCATTCATTTTCTATATTAAGACTTGATTTTACTTTAAAATGACTAATTAGGAATTTATATTATTCAATTCAATATTTAGCAAAATTTCCTTTATATCATCCACTGGTATTAGTTTCATGGCAAAAAAAAAAAAAAGATCAATTTAGAAATGAAAACTGTATGTAACAGTTCAGATCTATCAATGCTCACCTGGGAAAAAAGATGGCCATCCTCTTCCCTGTGAACAAGATTGGAAAGGTAACAGTGAACCAAAAGGTGGGAGTCATCCAGGATGGTATTAAACCAGCGCCTTGTGGGGAGTAGGGCCTAGAAAAAATAAACATGGCAATAAGTCTGTATGATCTCTGCAGCTAGAGGTAAAATCTACTAATTTGCTCAGAAGTGTCAATCACATACAAGGTACCCTCTAGTCTCCCAAAAGTCACGGTGCACAAAGCAAGGGGTCTGGTCAATGCCATAAGTAAAGTCAGTGGCAATGTTTAAAAATAAAATCCAGCACTGAAGAAATTTCACACATACATAGGCCAGTAGTTTTCAAACAAAATCCTATATGAAATCCCAATATGTATTGTGTATAGATTTAAAAGTGGTGCTACTCTGAGAGAAAAGGGACTGGGGATCTCCATGTGGAGACTTCTTTCTCCATATCTTCTTCCCACATCCCCCTTGTGACAGTCAGTAAGACAATGTCGAGATAGTGGTATCAGTTTGAAAACCTCTAATCTAATCAAATATCCTCATTTTATAGAGGAGGTTATCAAGATCCTCAGAGGTTATATTTTAGTTACTGGCAGAACTAGAATCTGAATAAAGATCTCATGAATGGCTGCTAGTCCAATACACTAATCCTTGTGTCAAGACACCACCCTCTCTCTCCAGATAAGAAATGAACACAAAGGATTTTCTTTCAATTTCCTGCAGTAAAGAGGGAAAGGAAAGGAAATGAATTCAATCTGAATTACACCAACTCTGCATCTGAACTTTGTCAAAATCTTGCACCTAATATTATGAAATCTTCTTTAAGAATCTTAATTTAAAAAACTGACAATAGCAGCTATATCTTTTTTCATCAACAATATTTAGGCACATTTAGAAAAGTGAGATTATTAAAGAGATGGCCATAAACCCATAACTTCAGCCACAATTAAAACTCTAAAAAAAACAAAAACAAAAAAAACCAACTCTATGATGGGGGAAAAAAAAAAAAGCCAAAACCAAAACCAAAAACCTCTATGATGGGGTATTAAAATATGATAGAAAATAAAATGCTATTGCTAGACTCATGTTTAATAACTACACTATATAATATTTTTTTCCACAAACAATAGCCATCTGATAGCTATTTGAAAACCTCAAGGGCCAACTGCTTTTGACTTTCCTCTCTCTGTTACACCTAGAAACAGGTAAAAAAAAAAAACTAAGGCCAGTTTGAAGTAATGTAATATTTCATATATCTCATATAGTCATATACTCAACCTTATCCCCATTAAAGATGATGTAACAGAAAAGTCACTGCACATTTCTTACCTCTAGGTCAATCATAAGTTCAATGAATCTTTCACAGTAATGAACTTTGTCCATAGTGACTGGTTCTAGACGTAACAGAGAAAACATGTTAGAATCTTCTTACTTAGGCTATTCAATGTACTAAATCTTAAAATTGGCAGTTATTTAGTTATTGCAACTGTCATCTGTCTCTTACTCATCAGGACAGGATCATGATTCAGAGTTAAGGACCCCACCTGTATTTCAAAAAAGGCATGTCTTACCCTTATGTTTAGCTCTACAAATATAAGAAAATGAAAAACCTATCTTGGGTCAGAAACACATTTAAAGTATCAGGTTTGCAAAAACATTTTTAAAGTGCTTAGATTTAAATCTACTAATGTCTGTAATAATTAGTCATAAAAAATGACTTGTACTAAATGATTAGATTTGAAAAAACCGAGTGATACAAAAACTAAAAAGGCAGTCTAAAACAAAACAGAACTAAAAAGGTGGTTTAAATCAGTTCTTGACCCACTTTCCTTCTTATCTTTACACACTGAACTTCTACAACTTCTCTCATATACATAAACACATATATGTATGTATACACACAGACACAGATACCTGTAGAATGCAAAGAAAATGGGTGGGAAAGGTACACACCAAACTAATTAAAGGGACAACTGTTAGAGGAGGTTTTTTTCCACTGTGTATATATATATATTACTTTTTGACATTAAAATGTCAATGACAGAGCAATGAAATATTTTTAAATCACTACCTTATTTTATGCTATTCATGAGTATTAATGTACTATTTTTAAAAACATTTACTTTTGTTTTTAAGTAATTACAACCTTGTAACATGACAAACTTTTAGAGTACAAGTTTTGTTTTTTTCCTAATGCCAAGTAATAGTCTACCATTTTACCAGCTAAACCATCCTGCCAAGATTCTGTCAATTAAGAAGGAAATAATTCCAGGGTCCCCACTGCTGCTTAGTCTAAGGACTCCCAGTAGCGATTAACCCCAGTGCTTAGATTTAACCTATGAATGCTTAAATAAATCCACATAATATTTAATTTATTTGTGGTATACAGGAAAATAGAAGGCTTCATCTGAAGAAATAAATGTGAATACTTTTGTGACTAATATATGGAATATTAAGTAGAACTTTTTTAGTTAACACATGCTCCAAATCCAGACCATGAAATAACATAACCATAACATTTCACAGCTGGAAAAGACCTCAGAGAATGCCTATTCTAGCTCTTTTCCAGGTGAGAAAGTGAAAACCAGAGAAAATGACCTGGTAAAAGTGTAGAACAAAATAATGGCTGGTTAGAACTGGAATCTAGGTTTTCTGAGACATAATCTAGTCATATAGCTGTTGAAACTAAAGAATTTAAAGGAACAACTTATAAATTAAATCCATGCAAACTAGTCCTCTGCTTTTTTTCTTGTTACTGTAGAAGAAAAATATTTTTCTCCAAAATTTAAAAAGCGAGCCAACTCTGTACTCTGTATTTTTATTTATAGTTTGAGAAAATTACTGGCAATGACCTATTTAAAATTAAAATTAGAACATGAGGGGCGCCTGGGTGGCTCAGTTGGTTAAGCGACTGCCTTTGGCTCAGGTCATGATCCTGGAGTCCCGGGATCGAGTACCACATCGGGCTCCCTGCTCGGCAGGGAGTCTGCTTCTCCCTCTGACCCGCCTCCCTGTGATGCTGTCTCTCATTCTCTCTCTCTCAAATAAATAAATAAAATCTTTAAAAAAATAAAAAAATAAAAAAATAAAATTAGAACATGATGCTTGCCACTCAACTTCTGAGCTCTGGTGAATAAAGCTGCATATTTTTATGTAAGTTGGCCCTACTGGGCATATTGTTTAGAGCTGAAACCTTGTCATTCCAATTTCAGACACCAAGATATCCTTATCATTTGCTTCTTACGTACATTGTGTTTTTTTTTCCTTTCTTCTGACAGCAGTCCTGACATCTCAGATCAACCTATACAGATTTCCTTTATAATAACCGATAGGATATGTTGTTTTTCATAACCCTGTAAAATGAAACTATGATCCTTATTTTTAAAAAAAAAACAGTTTTCTGTTTTCTAATTATATAATCCATCTACCTTTACCCTCTCTGAACTAGCACACTACTTTCATCATCTTATTGGTTCCTCTGCTAGAGTTAACAAATTTTGATTAAAGCTCAAGGTCAATCTAAGAAATTTTGTTTTCTGGCAATAAATAAACAATGGTAACAGCTGGTGGTTTGAAGATTGTTAAAATTAATGCAGATGCCATGCTGCTGTTGTTACTTGATTTTCAAACCTTGCTGATGCCCCAAAATTAACATTCTATAGAGATGTCCATTTTTATGACCTTAATTATGATAGGCATTAGCACTTCTAAGCACTCATTACTACCTTTTGTGCCCCAAAAGAGAAATCTAAGTTTTCCTTCTAGATTTAAGCCACTTAACTGAAAGACTTAAAAATACTAATATTAAGTGACTTAGATGATTAGCATATGACAATTTTTTTCTTTACACTGATGCTGGGACTAATCTTATGCCTCAAATCAGGTATAGCTGATGGACAGCATTAGTATCTATTCCTCACTGAATTATAGGTATGATTTTCAGTTGTAAAATCTTACTTGGAAGATCGGCATTTATAAGTAATCCTGTTGTATTTTAGTTTAAAAAAAGCTACAACCTCTGATGCAAAAATATAAATATGATACATCTACACTTAGAAAATAAAATTTTATTAGCCAATCTTACACAGCATATATACACCTTTATTAAGTAAAAAATACTCTATGTACATTCACTAAGTGCTTATAAAGATCTTGCAAACTCAGCATAATGTAATTAGCCCCTCTTGGTATATAGGCATTATCACACACACACACACAAATAGAGTATAATCATGGTATATTTTTAAGTATATAGTCTACACAACATATATTTGTTTCATCAATAAGTGGAGGCCATGTTAGAGGGAAATCTTTCCCATTTTGTCTTGTAGCTCATATCTCAAAAATAATTCTTTTCCCTCCAAACAGTATTTGATGTTGTTTAAAAATACTATCTAGCACCATATTGTAAATTCCACATGGGTCTGTGACTGTCTTGTTCACCACTATATCCCTGCACCTTGTTCAGGACCTAAGTCTAGCAAGCAAACTCAAAAAATATTTGCTAAGTAAATGAGTATTTCAATAACAATGTAGGTACCTTTAAAACATGTGAATTTTTAAGGCAGTCACAATACTCAGACTGGTAATATACATGAAAAGGGGAGGATAGATATGTTGTCATTATGATTTAAAACTATTCTAAGAGCAGGTTTTACACTGGAGACTAGTAAATACTGTAGAGGCACCTAAATGACAACTTCACAAATGAGCTAAGAGAAGACAGTTACCAGAAAGAGGCACTGATTTCAGCACAGAGATAAACTTCTGTATGAGTTGTGAAAGAAATCTTCTTTCTTGATAGGCTCTAAAATCAGAAAATAACATTGACCAAATTATTTTTGAAAAATAATTATTTCAAAAGTAAAATTAAATGTCGAACAAGCCTTTCTTATACTGTTCAAATGCCATTTTTCTCTGAAATTGGGACTATAATTTGAACACACAGCTGCTTCTTTATTACTGGTGTAATAAGCCAGCTAAGAAACACCCCTTTCTCTTACTGTGGAAGTTTTCACTTGTGATTTAAAGGTCAGAACTAGAAAGGAGTTTTTAAAATTTCATTTATAGTCTGCCCTTAAGGTTCAAAATTTAATGTTTAAGTATGTAGTTAAAATAAGATAAGCAATTTTATACCTTAATATGTTTGAAGTATCACATGTAATAGAATATTACAATGTCGAAAAATTAAATGTTGGTTTAAAAACAATTTTCTAGGGGCGCCTGGGTGGCTCAGTCAGTTAAGTGGCTGCCTTTGGCTCAGGTCATGATCCCAGAGTCCTGGGATTGAGCCTCATGTCAGGTTCCCTGCTCAGTGGGGAGCCTGCTTCTCCCTCTCCGTCTGCCTGCCTCTCTGCCTACTTGTGCTCTCTATCTCTGTCAAAAATAAATAAATAAAATCTTAAAAAAAATACTTAAAAAAACCCCAACAATTTTCTTCTACTCCTTACTAATTTAAGATGTACTGTGTACCGATAAATCAACAAACATTCATCAGGTATTGGACAGCTGCAAATGATTATGCCAGTCCTGCTGGAAATACAAAGGAGGGGAATGACTAAAATGTACTTGAATGACAGGTATTATAATTTAAAGGTAATTAGTAACACAGACCAGCACATAATTAATAAAACTGGATGACATTAACTGAGCACTTAGTGTGTCAGGATCTGAGCTGCGTTAAGTACTTCATATGAATAATCTCATTTAATGCTGACAACAGTCCTATGAAATTGGTACTACTTACTGTCCCAATCTCACACTGGTGCTGAAAGAGGTGAGATTAACTTGCCCACAGTTACACAGCAAGCGAGTGTGGAGCCTAGTTAAGTCTGACTGTAGAACCTTTTCTCTAAATAACTACACATATTCTAACCATTACACAAACAGCTGGCATTTCAATAAAAAACACAGCATGTTTTTGGAATTCAGAAGAAGAAAGCACTGTGGCCTAAAGTAGTTTGTCTAGAAGTGCTTAGGTTAGCCTTCAATTAAGTGGAGTGGAGGGGAAAGGGTACTTAGGGAAGCAATGTTTAAGAAACAATTAACAGACTGGGCCAAGAATTTGGAGAAGTTGCAAAAAATAGCTGGGGGTTTTTGAATGCCACTGCAAGGAGTTTAGAGTTTACCCTATGGGAACCAGGAAACCACTGAAAGCTTGTGAATAGGAATATGGCAAAGAAAACAAAATTTTCTAAAGAGATGGCTAGTTAGGCTCATTGTTGTGGGAAAGCTGGAAGAAACACCAAATAGGAATTTATTGCAGTGCTTTAGTCAGGAGCTGTGAAGGCCTGAATTAATACAACAGCAGTGTGAATAGACAAGAAAGAAGAAAAAGGACAAAAGATGATCCAATAGGACTGGTTGATGGGATATAAACTGCTAGTCAAAGGACTGGAGTATTCCAAGCCCTACTGTCTGGAAGAATTAAGAGAAATTGTCCAGAAAGGCAAGTTTAGGAGGAAAAACAGTGACTATTACTTAAGCCAAAACAGAGTTCATGGCAAACAGAAGTACAACTGATCCTTCAATAGCACGGGTTTTAACTGTATAGGTCTATTTACATGCAGAGTTTTTTCAATAAACACACTACAGTACTGTGAATACATTTTCTCTTCCTTACGATTTTCTTACCATTTTTTATTCTCTAGCTTACTTCATTGTAAGAGTCCAGTATGTAATAGATAATAGCATACAAAATATGTGTTCACTGACTGTTATCAGTAAAGCTTCTGGTCAACAGCAGGCTATTAGCAGTTAGGTTTTGGGGAAGTCACAAATTGTATGTGGACTTTTGACTGTATGGTGGGAGGCGACTGGTGCTGCTAAACTCCGTGCTGCTCAAGGGCCAACTGTATACAGCAAAGGGTTATACGAAGACTGGAAAGCAGAGAAGACAGGGCCACAGAGATTTATGGTTAAATCATATTGAGGTAATGGTAAGAGTGGGTTTAAAAAAAAGAGTAGTCAAGTAGTACAGATGCCATGTGATTAGTTCAATCAAGAGGCTGTTGGGTGGGAAGACACCATGAGAGATGAGACTAGACTTGGAAATTAAAGAAGGAATTTTCCTACTCTGACCCTAACATCTTGTCCTTATAGCTCTCACTCCCTTACACCGAAACTCATTTCTCTGACATGCACCTTTTTACAGTTCTTCCCATTTTCAGTAACAACCAGCATAACCCCAGGTTTCACTTCCTTTTGTCCTCAACCCTCTTTTCAGGATTTATGTATCTCACTAAATCATCTCATCCATACTCATGGCTTTCATTATTAGCTACACATGTACAGAGTACTCTCCTAAGTGGAAGAAAAAATAAGCTAGATCTAGAAAGTTATCCTAGGTCCAAGGGAAGGGAGTCTTCAGCATATTTACGTAAGTAGAGAAAAAGGAGTGAGTGGAAAAGAACAATAAAAGATGGAAACAGAACAAGGAGTGCTGCTCCAACAGTCACACGTACATAAGGCAAGGTCACAGTCAGACCAGCTAGCCTGAAAGAGAGAGAGAGAGAGAGAGAGAGAGAGAGAGACAGAGAGAGAGAGTGCTCTTGGAGTATGTAGATCCTTCCCCTGTGTCCTACTAATAACACTTTGTTTGGTGAAATAAATACTTACTGCCAGACTTACCCAACGGATTATAAATATTACTATTAAAAGAACCCATAACCCTCACCTGCTTTTTTAATCCTTATACTTGATTTATTCTTCTCCCTAGCCTGTACCACCATCTAAAATAATACATAATTGATCTGTTTGCGCTGTCTTCCCCAACTACAATGTAAGCTCCATAGAGCAGGAATTACTTCCATTTTGTTCTCTGCTATATCCCCAATACCTAGACTAGTACCTGGCAAAAATATAAACATTCACTATTTGTTGAATGAATGAATGAATGAATGAATGAATGAGTGAATGATGGCTGAAATGTATGAAAATCATTGTTAATAATAAGAGAGTAAGAAAAAGAAAGAAAAGTTGGATTGACAGCCTGAAGACTGTGGAGAAAATCAAGAACCATCCTAACAGACAAACTATGGTCAACAGACAGACAGAAGATCAGTGATATACTTATCACTGGGGCAGACAGAAGAGAAAGAAGAAAAACATGTTGATGCTGTGGTTTTCCCTTCAGATCTTTATGAAAAATATTCCTATGAGAGTAAAAGCACTTCTTATTTATTTGGTTCAGCCTTATATAAAGGAAACAACAAACCAGCCAATATCATCTAAGACTCACAACCAGTGTAACAAACCAACATGGAACAAAGCTTTGGCAACATACTGTTCTCTTGCTTCTGGATCCATCTTTTCATCATTCTTTTTAATCAAGTTCCAGAATTTTCTTAGCTTAGGTGTCTTCTTTAATTCTAATTCCAATCGTGCCTGAAAGAATGATGTGCTTTAAATCACCAGTTACCTCCAAGTTTACAAGGATAAAAATTAGATCCACTATTAGCTAGTTTTCTAATGTGCGGATATAATAGGATAAAACCTGAAAGCAACAAGATAAAACCTGAAAACTGAGAAACTAATAACTCTATTTTGAAAAACTGTTCAATTCCAATAATTGTTACTAATAACAAGAAAAAAATAATAATAAAAACTGCCTTTTCCTGTCAAGGTCTTAATAGCTCAATAATCAATTAAATTTCTTTCTTATTTCTAAAATTAAGGCTTTAAGTTCGAAAAATTAGAGCATTAAGACTTACTAGTGTAATCACTGAAATTTGAAAAATGAGTCTGAAACACTGAACATAGAAACAAGCTGTCACAAGTAAACAAGGAAACGTCCACATGACTATATTCTGTCTAATGGCACTTATCAGTTTTAACTTAGCATTATTTATACAAGTCTGTTTTTATCGCCATCAGCTGGTACCTATGAATAAGCCTGCATATCTGGCTATGTGCAAAAACCCCATATGCAGGAAATGGAATTTTCAGTAAACTTATTATTTATCCTGAAATTTGATAGTTATAACTTTATTCCCCAAGATCACAATTAATTTGGTTTTGATAGAATGACACATATGATCTAATAAGGATTTGATGAAAGAAAAAATGAAGTCATTAATATTAAACATGATCTAGACCTTCTCCTATAACTGTGTACATTCTAATCTAAGGAAATAAAAAACTCAAGTCTGTATTTAGTCTCATCCAAAGACACACATGAAATAATAACCACATTTTGCTAAATTAACCCTTTCTTTATGAGCTCAATAGATATTACCTTATTTTATCTCATAATAATATTAGGTGAAAGATCTACTAGCTTATACATAAAAACTTTAAAATTAAAAAACGACTTGTATGGTAAGTTAGTGCATAGTAAACTAAATGTATTTTCTAAGCAAGAAAGGGGATTTTTAGTTACCATTTTATATCCATATTAAAGCTACATCCACCTATATAACACATATACACATAAGTTTCTGAAATTAGATACTTACAGGCTGTAAGCCCATCCACATTGGGAGGGAGATAAGCTGCTGTACTTGACTCCGTATCAAGTCTACTTCCTGTTTAAGGCACAAAGAAAACAAATATATAAGCACACCAGTATTTTAACTTAAATCTTTACATAAGGAATATACTACCTGTGGTGAAAGCATGCCACCAATACTTCCAAATTAATGGTATTTTAGTATTTCATATTAAGGACTTGAAGTGCTGGTTAGTGTTCCTATGTGCAAGAAGGCTGTGATGTACCTTATGGAGAAAATACGTGTGTTACATAAAGTTTGTTTAGACTTCAGTTACAGTGCTGTTGGCCATGAGCTCAAGGTTAATAAATCAACAATATGTTATTACGTAAGGTGTCTTTAAACAGAAACACATAAAACAAGATTATGTATTGATTGATTGATGAAAATGTTGTGACTGTAGGCTTGTAGGCTCCTAAGCCTGTATTTTCGCTAGGAGCAATGGTTCAGTTTTAGCCAATTCAGTGTTTGCAACTACTTCATAGACCTAACTACCTCAAGTAATGAGAACTGATGGCATATTGAAAAAAATAAAGTATTTCAATAATAAACTAGCTTTTAAGTTAAGCAAACCTAGCCCCAAACTACTAATACTAAATAAATCTTTTTTTGTTCAACTTCTGATAAAGAATCATGTTTATATTTACATTTGCATTGTGTAGTTTAATAAATGTTAAGGAGGTGGCATCCACTCAGGGCTTCATGAATCTTTTTTTAATGCCTTTACACGATTCATGCGAGGTAGTACCTCAAGTAATACAACAAGTAATAGTCATCCATCTATCAACATCCAGTCTTAAGATAAGAAAGAACCCCATGCACTACATGGGTCTAATGCACTATCAGTTCAGAGGCACAGACCTTCACTTAACCACAGTAGAGAAGTGCAAATGAAATATTAATTACTGTAAATATTTAATTCTTTTGAAGATACTCCTATGAAGGACGAAAATGTGTCATACACAACCCAAGAGATTTTCAAAGATCATCCACAACTGCCCCTAACCAGTCAACTCAAAACATAACTCTCCTGCTGACCTGGCAGCTTGTGCATGAAGCATGCCTGAAAAGTAAGAAAGCTAGTTTCTGTGTGCAGCTGTGGCACAGATCTCATTACTCAAAGTTCATACTGGCCAGACTCGATGATGCTCTACCTTTGGAGAATTTCAGCTCTGATGCTCATTTTTCTTAAGAGTATAGATAGAAAAAAGGAGGTCCAGTCCAAGTCTATTTTAAAAGTGAATGGATCTTCTAAAATGTTTTTATTGAGAAGTGACTGAAATTAAACTTCTGGCATTATCCTCCATCCCCATTACCATGGATGAAGAGTTGGCGATAGAGGTAATTTCATTTATGTTCAACTTAAAAAACAAGAAAATGTGAAAGTTTTCCCCCAAGATAAAGTAAAATTACCAAACTATTGAAGCAATGATCAAGAAAAAGCAGTAAGACCGTCTGTTCATGGAGTGAAAATTCACCATCGGTTTCAGCTAATGCTGCTTTCAAGATACACTTAAAAAAAAATGGGAAGTGGTCTGGCTTCTTCTTAAAAGTCTGAAAAGAGAGAGAATAAAAATTTATTTTGAAATGGCTTGCTCTCCACTTTTTCTCCCCTAAACAAACATCAGTAGACTCTTCAGGAGTCTATTAACAAAACCAAATAATTACAAACAAGATTATTTGCTTACTTATAATTAATGGTAGCAAGTCAAATACAGGTTTCTGGCAAGATCATGAAAGAGATGTAGTAACCTTTACCTAATAAAATAATGTTTTGTGTGTTTTTAAAATATATATATATTTTAAGTAATCTCTATGCCGAACATGGGGGCCTGAACTCATGACTCTGAGATCTAGAGTTTCATGCGCTACTGACTGAGCCAGCCAGGTATCCCTAAAATAATGGTTTTACTTCCTTTATTTTTTTCTTTTATGGATTATGCTCACATTTAACTTAGTGTTTGTTTCTAAGGATCTGAAATGTTTTAATTCTTCTAACTTAAGCAAAAGAAACATCTTTAGCAAAAATTAGTTTCCCACTAACTAATCTCAAAGACGGTGGCTCCTGCTTTGTATTAGCGCTTTACTCTTTATATATTTAATATATATATATTTATATATATTAACATCCAAGTTAATATATAAAAAGTAAACAGTGTAATATATTCAAGCTTCCCTGTGACCTACCTCCCCTTTTCTCTTCTTTCAGAAGTGCTCCAAATGTGTGGTCTATACTAGTTGTTTTCATTTACTTCCCTACAGCAGGCTTCCACCCCCAGGACGACCCTGAGGCTATTACGGCTGTCAAGTCCAACAGACTCTTCCAAGCCCCTACTCCTTTTCAATGTGCTGAGGGCCCCTCTTCTGTTGTGTACATAGCAGTATTTTGGGGTTCTAACCTCATTCTTTTCCCCCTCCCTTGAACTTCAACAACATATGCTAATGATTCTAAATATACATCCTCAGTCGATCACTCTCATTAACTCTACATCCCAGGATTCCTCTGTCTACTAGACAATTTCATCTAGGTATTCAAAAGGCAATTTAAACTCAGTAAGTCCAAAAATCAATTCAACAATTTTGTACCCTCCATAGTACTACTCAACCCTCTATTACTACCTATCTTGGTAAATGGCAGTATCATCTATTATACTCAGTTGCCCAAGCCTGGAAAGTTATTGAAAATAATACCCTTCCCTACTATTAATTATTCAGTTATGAAATCCAGTCAATTTTGCTTTCTAAATCTTTGTGTATCCTCTTCTCTTCATCTGTATTTCTCTACTTCAAGTCCTAATCACCAAAATGGTCTTTATAACATGCAAACTGATCAGGTCATTCTTTAGCTCAAAAAATCTTCCTTCTCCCTTCTTATAGTAGCATGAAACAACTTCAAGAAATCCCCAGGATCTTTCAATAATACACAAGGCCCATAGTTTACTTGGGCTCTAATCTGCCCAAAGATGGCTCTTACTTAGTGAATATCCAAGAGAAGTGCCCATGGTTTTATCTTAAAGAGTTTAATACTTCCTCAGTTTACAGACCATTGCCACAAAAAGATGACAAATACCCATGCCTTTTCTTCATTTAAAAAAGTTGATGAGCTGATCATTTTATGGCAGCCAAAGAGAACCTAGATTTTGGACCTCTACTGACCAAGCCTCTATTAAACTAGCATAAAGAAAAAATGTCAGTCTACTAGAAATTTCAAAAAGGGAAAAGCAGATCCTAAATTGGGGATAAGGAGAAAACTGAAATTACAATATAAACATCTGTCTTGACTTTGGCAACACTACTTTATGTATGGAAAACTATAAATATATACTCCCTGTTGTGAAAAAGGACACTGAAAAATATCTCATTTGAGCACTATCTACTTGTGCTATTTAATATAAACTTCATTTCAATCTGATGAAAGGTCTTTATACTTCGGGGTGCCTGGGTGGCTCAGCTGGTTAAAAGACTGCCTTCGGCTCAGGTCATGATCCCGGAGTCCCGGGATCAAGTCCTGCATCGGGCTCCTTGCTCGGCAGGGAGTCTACTTCTTCCTCTGACCCTACGCCCTCTTGTGCTCTCTCTCTCTCTCTCTCAAATAAATAAAAATCTTAAAAAAAAGAAAAGTCTTTATACTTCATGCCATTCTTCGTTTCAAGCACGAAACAGAAAAATAATTTCACTTTCATAATTTTTTGGTTCATAGTAAAATTAGTTCAAACAAAGTATTGAAATCAAAAAACAATAGTATTCTTCATACATCCACTTTCTTCTCAACCCTTACTTTATTTTTGGGCAAAGTTCTGTTCTAAAAGCATTATTTATTATCAGTCAAAAGTTCTACTTTTTAATGGCTTAAACACAGTATGAAAGCTCTGAAGTAATTTAAATCTGTTACCTCCCATGCAGGGACATTTTCTCTGAATTTCTCATTCACCATACAGCAGATTGACATTAAATAGGCCTTGCTGGACACCTCTGGAGAATAATTCATCCAGAGGTAATTTTCAAGATACTGGCTGTGAAGAGTGAAAAAGCACAGAATATTTCATTAGTTACCACCACTCACTATAATATGTCACTCACCTGGAAGAGCATGATTATCTACAACTTTCTGAAAACTTTTTAAAAACTACGTAACTTGAAAATCCTTCACAAATTTACCTGTAATCTAGGTCACCGCTATCTGCTACCAATTTATTTATAATAACTGTAGCTTTGGAGAATAAGAGTTTATACTTTTAAGGCAGGAAGACAGCAAAGATCACTAACATGTAATTATCACTATCAGAACACTGGGGATATTCCTTATCTAAAACTCTTTATGAAGTAAAAAACCAAAATGATATTGTGGGCAATTTCAGAAGATAAATGTATCTGAGACATTAATACTACCTCATCTGAGGACCAAATGACTTCCACAAACTAAGAAAGAGACTTAATAAAAAGAAGCATTTTAATACTTAATTTACTAGGTATTCAACATAAGTCAGTTTTCAAGGTAACTGGCATTTTCCTCTCAAGATACCAAAATTCGTATTTTAAGACTGTGGTGAAAATATTCCTTAATAAATTTAAGTATTTCTGATTTCTACAACATAACTTAGCTATTTTTTTAAATTTTATTTTACTATGTTATGTTAGTCACCATTCATTACAGCATTAGTTTTTGATGTAGTGTTTCTTCCATGATTCACTGTTTGCGTATAACACCCAGTGCTCCATTCAATACGTGCCCTCCTTAATACCCATCACCAGGCTAACCCATCGCCCCACCCCTTCCCCTCTAAAACCCTCAGTTTGTTTCTCAGAGTCCATAGTCTCTCATGGTTCGTCGCCCCCTCCGATTCCCCCCCCTTCGTTTTTCCCTTCCATCTTCTTCTTTTTTTTTTTTTAAACATACAATGTATTATTTGTTTCAGAGGTACAGGTCTGTGATTCATCAGTCTTACACAATTCACAGCGCTCACCACAGCACATACCCTCCCCAACGTCTATCACCCAGCCACCCATCCCTCCCACCTCCCACCACGCCAGCAACCCTCAGTTTGTTTCCTGAGATTAAAAATTCCTCACATCAGTGAGATCATATGATACTTGTCTTTCTCTGATTGACTTATTTCACTTAGCATAATACCCTCTAGTTCCAACCACGTCATTGCAAATGGCAAGATTTCGTTTTTTGATGGCTGCATTGATATTCCATGGTATTTCTTTATCCATTCGTCTGTTGATGGACATCTTGGCTCTTTCCATAGTTTGGCTATTGTGGACATTGCTGCTATAAACATTGGAGTGCAAGTAACCCTTCCGATCACTACATTTGTATCCTTGGGGTAAATACCCAGTAGTGCAATTGCTGGGCCAAAGGGTAGCTCTATTTTCAACTTTTTGAGGAACCCCCATACCGTTTTCTAGAGTGGCTGCGCCAGCTTGATTTCCCACCAACAGTGTAGGAGGGTTCCCCTTTCACCATATCCTCGCCAACATCTGTTGTTTCCTGACTTGTTAATTTTAGCCATTCTGATTGGTGTGAGGTGGTATCTTATTGAGGTTTTGATCTGGATTTCCCTGATGCCAAGTGATGTTGAGCACTTTTGCATATGTCTGTTGGCCATTTGGATGTCTTCTTTGCAGAAATGTCTGTTCATGTCTTTTGCCCATTTCTTGATTGGATTATTTGTTCTTTGGGTGTTGAGTTTGATCAGTTCTTTATAGATTTTGAATACTAGCCCTTTATCTGATATGTCATTTGTAAATATCTTCTCCCAGTCTATCGGTTGTCTTTTGGTTTTGTCGACTGTTTCCTTTGCTGTGCAAAAGCTTTTTATCTTGATGAAGTCCCAAATAGTTCATTTTTGCTCTTGCTTCCCTTGCCTCTGGCGATGTTTCTAGGAAGAAGTTGCTGCGGCTGAGGTTGAGGAGGTTGCTGCCTGTGTTCTCCTTTAGGATTTTGATGGACTCCTGTCTCACATTTAGGTCTTTCATCCATTTGGAGTCTATTTTTGTGTGTGGTGTAAGGAAATGGTCCAGTTTCATTCTTCTGCATGTGGCTGTCCAATTTTCCCAACACCATTTGTTGAAGAGACTGTCTTTTTTCCATTGGAAATTCTTTCCTGCTTTGTCGAAGATTAGTTAACCATAGAGTCTAGGGTTCATTTCTGGGTTCTCTATTCCGTTCCATTGATCTATGTGTCTGTTTTTGTGCCAGTACCATACTGTCTTGATGATGACAGCTTTATAATAGAGCTTGAAGTCCGGAATTGTGATGCCACCAGCTTTTTCTTTTTCAACATTCCTCTGGCTATTTGGGGTCTTTTCTGTTTCCATACAAATTTTAGGATGATTGGTTCCATTTCTTTGGAAAAAGTTGATGGTATTTTGATAGGGATTGCATTAAATGTGTAGATTGCTCTAGGTAGCATTGACATTTTCACAATATTTGTTCTTCCAATCCATGAGCATGGAATGTTTTTCCATTTCTTTGTGTCTTCCTCAATTTCTTTCATGAGTATTTTATAGTTTTCTGAGTACAGATTCTTTGCCTCTTTGGTTAGATTTATTCCTAGGTATCTTATGGTTTTGGGTGCAATTGTAAATGGGATCGACTCCTTAATTTCCTTTTCTTCTGTCTTGTTGTTGGTGTATAGAAATGCAACTGATTTCTGTGCATTGATTTTATCACCTTACTGAATTCCTGTATGAGTTCTAGCAGTTTTGGGGGGCAGTCTTTGGGTTTTCCACATAAAATATCATATCATCTGCAAAGAGTGAGAGTTTGATTTCTTCTTTGCCCATTCGGATGCCTTTTATTTCTTTTTGTTGTCTGATTGCTGTGGCTAGGACTTCTAGTACTATGTTGAATAGCAGTGGTAATAGTGGACATCCCTGCCGTGTTCCTGACCTTAGGGGAAAAGCTCTCAGTTTTTCCCTATTGAGAATGATATTCGCTGTGGGTTTTTCATAGATGGCTTTTATGATATTGAGGTATGTAACCTCTATCCCTACACTCTGAAGAGTTTTAATCAAGAAAGGATGCTGTACTTTGTCAAATGCTTTTTCTGCATCTATTGAGAGGATCATATGGTTCTTGTTCTTTCTTTTATTAATGTATTGTATCACATTGATTGATTTGTGGATGTTGAACCAAACTTGCAGCCCAGGAATAAATCCCAGCTGGTCGTGGTGAATAATTCTTTTAATGTACTGTTGGATCCTATTGGCTAGTATTTTGGTGAGAATTTTTGCATCCATGTTCATCAGGGATATTGGTCTGTAATTCTCCTTTTTAGTGGGGTCTCTGGTTTTGGAATCAAGGTAATGCTGACTTTGTAGAATGAGTTTGGAAGTTTTCCTTCCATTTCTATTTTTTGGAACAGTTTCAGAAGAATAAGTAATGACGCTTCTTTAAATGTCTGGTAGAATTCCCGTGGGAAGCTATCTGGCCATGACTTTTGTTTGTTGGGAGAGTTTTGATTACTGCTTCAATTTCCTTAGTGGTTATGGGTCTGTTCAGGGTTTCTATTTCTTCCTGATTCAGTTTTGGTAGTTGATACATCTCTAGGAATGCATCCATTTCTTCCAGATTATCTAATTTGCTGGCATAGAGTTGCTCATAATATGTTCTTCTAATTGTTTGTATTTCTTTGGTGTTGGTTGTGACCTTTCCTCTTTCATTCATGATTTTATTTCTTTGGGACCTTTCTCTTTTCTTTTTGATAAGTCTGGCTAGGGATTTATCAATGTCATTAATTCTTTCAAAGAACCAGCTCCTAGTTTTGCTGATCTGTTCTACTATTCTATTCTTTTGGTTTCTATTTCATTGATTTCTGCTCTGATCTTTATTATTTCTCTTCTCCTGATAGGTTTAGGCTTTATTTGCTGTTCTTTCTCCAGCTCCTGTAGGTGTAGGGTTAGGTTGTGTATTTGAGACCTTTCTTGTTTCTTGAGAAAGGCTGGTATTGCTATATACTTTCCTCTTAGGACTGCCTTTGCTGCATCCCTAAGATTTTAAACAGTTGCGTTTTCATTTTCATTTGTTTCCATGAATTTTTTAAATTCTTCTTTAATTTCCTGGTTGACCCATTCATTCTTTAGTAGGATGCTCTTTAGCCTCCATGTATTTGAGTTCTTTCTGACTTTCCTCTTGTGATTGAGTTCTAGTTTCAAAGCATTGTGGTCCGAAAATATTCAGGGAATGATCCCAATCTTTTGGTACCGATTGAGACCTGATTTGTGACCTAGGATGTGATCTATTCTGGAGAATGTTCCATGGGCACTAGAGAAGAATGTGTATTCTGTTGCTTTGGGATGGAATGTTCTGAATATCATCTGTGAAGTCCATTTGGTCCAGTGTTTCATTTAAAGCCTTTATTTGCTTGTTAATCTTTTGCTTAGATGATCTGTCCATTTCAGTGAGGGGCTTGTTAAAGTCCCTTACTAATACTGTATTGTTGTTGATGTATTCGTTTGGTTTTGTTATTAACTGGCTTATATAATTGGCTCCTCCCATGTTAGGGGCATAGATATTTACAATTATTAGATCTTCTTGTTGGATAGATCCTTTAAGTAGGATATAGTGTCCTTCCTCATCTCTTATTATAGTCTTTGGTTTAAAATCTAATTTGTATGATATAAGGATCACTATCCCACCTTTCTTTTGGTGTCCATTAGCATGGTAAATGGTTTTCCACCCCCTCACTTTCAATCTGGGGGTGTCTTTGGGTCTAAAATGAGTCTCTTGCAGACAGCATATTGATGGGTCTTATTTTTTTATCCAATCTGATACCCTTTATCTTTTGATTGGGGCATTTAGCCCATTTATATTCAGGGTACCTATCGAAAGATAGGAATCTAGTGCCATTATATTGCCTGTAAGGTGACTGTTACTGTATATTGTCTCTATTCCTTTCTGGTCTATGCCACTTTTAGGCTCTCTCTTTGCTTAGAGGACCCGTTTCAATATTTCTTGTAGGGCTGGTTTGGTGTTTGCAAATTCTTTTAGTTTTTGTTTGTCCTGGAAGCCTTTTATCCCTCCTTCTATTTTCAATGACAGCCTAGCTGGATATAGTATACTTGGCTGCATATTTTTCTTGTTTAGTGCTCTGAATATATCATGCCAGTCCTTTCTGGCCTGCCAGGTCTCTGTGGATAGGTCTGCTGCCAATCTGTTGTACTGTTGTAGGTTACAGACCTCTTGTCCCAAGCTGCTTTCAGGATTTTCTCTTTGTCTGAGACTTGGGAGTTTTACTATTAGATATTGGGGTGCTGACCTATTTTTGATTTTGAGGGGGGGGTTCTCTGTGCCTCTTGGATTTTGATGCCTGTTTCCTTCCCCAAATTAGGGAAGTTCTCTGCTATAATTTGCTCCTATATACCTTCTGCCCCTCTCGTATTCTTCTGAGATTGCAATTATTCTAATATTGTTTTGTCTAATGGTATCACTTATCTCTCAAATCCTGCCCTCGTGATCCAGTAGTTGTTTCTCTCTCTTTTTCTCAGCTTCTTTATTCTCCATCATTTGGTCTTCTATGTCACTAATTCTCTCTTCTGCCTCATTTATCCTAGCAGTTAGAGCCTCCATTATTGATTGCACCTCATTAATAGCCTTTTTGATTTCGACTTGGTTAGATTTTAGTTCTTTTATTTCCCCAGAAAGGGTTTCTCTAGTATCTTCCATGCTTTTTCCAAGACCAGCTAGTATCTTTATAATCGTCATTTTGAACTCTAGTTCCAACATCTTACTAATGTCCGTATTGATTAGGTCCGTGGCAGTCATTACTGCCTCTTGTTCTTTTTTTTGAGGTGAGTTTTTCTGTCTTGTCATTTTGTCCAGAGGAGAATAGATGAATGAGAGAACAAAATGCTAACAGGGTAACAACGACCCCAGAAAAATATACACTAAACAAATCAGAAGAGACCCGAAACCGGGGGGGAAAGAAAGGGAAAGAAAGAATAAAAAAATGATCAAATATGATCAGGCTGGTGAATAGATCAGTGCCACATACTAGATTCTGGGCATATTTTGGTCTGTTAGAAGACACTGCCTCCCAAAATTTTAAAGAAAGAAAAACTTGTATATGTACAAAAATAAGGGTAAATATGATAAAGGAATGGAATATGACTGTAAAGATGAAAATTATAAAAGATTTTATAAAAGGAACTGGTAAGAAGTTGGTTGAAAAAAGAAAGAAAAATTTTTAAAAAAGGGAGAGAATGTGATCAAGCAGGAGACTAGAACAAAGCCATACACTAGACATTTAGGGTATATTTTGGTCTGTTAGAAGAAACTGTATCCCAAAATTTTAAAGAGAGAATAACATATATATACAAAAAATAAGGTTAACTATAATGAAGGGATAGAATATGACTCTAAAAATGAAAAATAAAAAAGATTTTTAAAAAAGGGATTGATAAGATGTTGGTTAAAAAAGGGAAAAAGAAAAATTTAAAAAAAATAGAAAAAGAAAATTAAAAAAATTAACTTTGAAAGACTGAAGAATCATGGTAAAAAAGCCATGAATTCTATGTGCTGTATTCCCCTTGTGCTAGAGTTCTGCCATTCTCATTGATCGGTAAACTTGGTCTTGGCTGGCTGTTCTTGCTGATCTTCTGGGGGAGGGGCCTGTTGCAGTGATTCTCAAACATCTTTGCCTGAGGCTGAATTGCCCTGCCCTTGCCAGGGCCCAGGCTAAGGAATCTGCTCAGGTCTGCTCTCAGTAGCTTTTAGTTCCCTGAAAGCTTTCCGTACAGCTTTGGAGGATAAGGAAGAAAATGGTGACCTCCCAATCTCCACCACGGAGGAGCCAACACCTTGGGGCCCCATTCCTCAGGAGCCCCCAGAGAAAAGCAGTCAATCACTCCTGTCTCCCCGGTCTCCGGCCACACTCTGTGCTCACCCAGCCTGTGACCGAGCGTTTCTATCTGTGGCACACGACCCTGTTTGGAATCTCCAAACCCTGGAGATTGCTGCGGTGCACTGCTGCGCTGCTCCTCCAGGGGGAAGAAGGGGAGTCTCCCCGGATCTGCCACTTGTTGGATCCCTGCTTCCAGAAAGTGGTCGCTTTTCTGTTCAGAGAGTTGTGGCTATTCTTTTCTTTGATCTCCTGTTGAGTTTGTAGGTGTTCAGAATGGTTTGATACCTATCTGGCTGAATTCCTGGGACCAGACGAAATTTAGTCTCCTACTCCTCCGCCATCTTGCTCCTCCTCCCTAACTTAGCTATTTTTTATCATTCATGTTGTAAACATCAATTACCATACTGGGGTTAAAATACTCTCAAGCACCAATAAAAAAAAAGAAAGGTAGTTTTGTTCCCACTTTAAATCACTCCACATGCATGTTGCAATCACTCACATACATGTGTGCAGACCCTATGTACAAACCCAGAGTTAAGTGGTTTAGATTCTGCTATAGCGCTGTAATTTTTCTACTTCCTCTTATGCTCACATCGGTATATTCATGGGTCTATCATTAGCAATACTATAAGAACCTAGGAAACTGGATAAGTGGAATTTTACTTAAAATGATGGTCAAATGGCTCCAAGTAAGACACTGAGTGCTCTTTCATAAATAAAATGTACAAAACTTCATTTCATTCCTTTCTTACAAGTTTAAACTCCTTTTTCCTGAATTATATCCTTTTGAACTTCTCTCAGCAAGTTTGTTAGTATTAATCTATCTGTCTGAAATTAATTTATGACAGTTTAGCTGGTTATACAATTCTTTCTCGGTTGTTAGTGATTTTTTTTCCTTGTATTGGTCTCATTCTATTACATTCTCTATTACTATAACTGAGAAATCTACAATTAATCTATGCATCCTTCTTTGAGTAATGTCTTTTTTTTTCCTGCAGCAGATAAGATCTTCATTCTGTCTTTGTTAGTCTTCAGTTGCTCTATTCAGAATTATTGTACTTCCTGAATCTAAGACTCATATTTCAACTGTAGAAAATTCTTAACCACCATTCTTCTAAATTGCTACTCCCCTATTCTCCTTAAATCTCTTCTGAAATTTTTATTGGACTATAATTTTTGCCTCTGTATCTCTGAATTTCCTTTTATATTATTCATCTCTATTTCTCTTTGCTATTATCTAATTAATTTTCTATATTCCAGTTCAATAATCCCCTCTTTAGCTGTGTCTAATCCACCACAGGCCCAGGCTCTTTTATTGTGCTTTGCTTTATTCAGTTTTGCAGATGTTGCATTTTTCACAAATTGAAGGTTTATGGCAATGCTGCATTGACCAAGTCTATTAGTACCATTTTTTCCCAACAGTATTTGCTAAGTGTATGTCTGTCACATTTTGGTAATAAGAATTACCAAAGAATTTGGCAATAAGAATATTTCAAACTTTTTGATTATTATTATATTTGTTATGGTAATCCATGATTTATGATCACAACTTGTTGAAAGCTCAGATGCTGGTTAGCATTTTTCAGCAATAAGGTATTTTTAAATTAAGGCATATAGATTTTTTTTTTAGACATAATGCTGTTGCACACTTAACAGACTAAAATATAGTATAAACACAACTTTTATATGCACTAGGAAACCAAAAAATACATTTGACTTGCTTTTGTGCAGTGGTCTGGAACTGAACCTGCAATATCTCCAAGGTGCCTGTATTTAATTTGTCCACTGAGTTTTTAAATTTCAATAATTTTTATTTGTTTTCCCCAAATCTATCCATTTTTAGTGTCTTGTTCCATGTTCACACAATTTCTTCTTTTATACTCATAACTTTAAACATAATGATTTGACAGTGTGTATCAATTATTTAATTACCTAAGGTCCTGGGTGGGTGGGGTGGGGATCTAATTCTGTTGTCATTTCAACTGACTCTTCTTACAGTTATTATCCTAACATGCTTCATAATTAGGGAATCTGAACTCACCTTTGCCAGGGTTCTATAGGCATTTATCTGTAATGCAATTGGAATACATATCCTTCCAGAGTATCTTATATTTGTTTCTGCTGGATGCCTCAGAGATATCACTGGCTTGTCACAGTTTTTTTTGTTTTGTTTTGTTTTGTTTTGTTTTAAAGATTTTATTTATTTACTTGAGAGAGAGAATGAGATAGAGAGAGAGAGCATGAGAGGGGGAAGGTCAGGGGGAGAAGCAGACTGCCTGCTGAGCAGGGAGCATGATGTGGGACTCGATCCCGGGACTCCAGGATCATGACCTGAGCCGAAGGCAGCCACTCAACCAACTGAGACACCCAGGTGCCCCTTGTCACAGTTTTTAATAGTAATGTTTTATCTTGGGTGTTATCTGAATACATAGTAAACGCCAAACCCATTCTTAACATTTTCAGATGTGGAACTGAGGCTATGAGAATAGATGATTTGCTCAAGACGATACAGGTAGGTGGGTGGGGGATGGGTAAAATAAGTGATGGGTTTTTAGGAGTGCACTTGTCAAGACGAGCACCGAGTGATGTATGGAGTTGCTGAATCACTATATTGCACGTGAACCTAATATAACACTGTATGTTAACTATACTAGAATTAAAAAGACATGATACAGGTATCTCTATGGTATACTGACAATACAGATCTGACACCATCTTTAATTTCATCAAAGTAAAGCATTTTAACTCACCTAAATTCCAAGAGCATTATCTTTCTGATGGCAAACCTAAAGTATAAAAATAAATAATAAAAATGTTTAAACAGAAAATATAAATATTTCAGAGTCTAATATTAATGCAGATGCATTTTTGGAACCTTGTTTTAATATTGACCCACATATCAGAATCATATTTTAATATGCATTGAAGAAAGCTAATTTTGCTTTTATAGTTTTTCTTTGTATTTTGTCAGAGTAGTTTATTTTTAAAAACTAAGAAAAGTTACTTAAGTTAAATCCTACCCGTATTAACAAACACAATTAGCACCATGACATACTAAGATATAACACATAGGTTAATAAGGCAATTAATTTTAATGAAAACACAAATGTTCATCACTATTCATAATACTGGATCACAATTGCCAAAAGGTAGCCTATCTTAATTTCTTAAGCACTGGCCAACATTGTTTTATTTAATATTCAAAAGGAAACATTCTGAAGTCATGCCCTCCTGAAAGCAAAGGGACACATGTATCTCTGTCACAAATATAGGAATCATACTTTTCACAGGTTTCATAAGTTTTGATCTTAAGTCTACAATATGACAAAATTGGGAAAGGAATATTAGGTATCTCTCTTTACTAGACTGTCTTTTTAAAATATAAGTACTTTGTTTTATAAGAATAAATAATGCTGTAGCTACCAGGTATCTCTCCAAAGGCAGGTTCAAGTGTCCACTAATTCAGTTTTATCATTTTGCATGTTGGAAATAAAGTAGTCAGACCAGAACACTGCCACTAGATAATAGCTGCCAGCTTTGAAAATTAAATGTGTAGGCATTATGAATTTATAATACCCCAAGAGACCATTATCCTGTCAAAATACTAGTCCACTGATTTCTGATCTCTTAAATAGTTTCACTAAGCAAGCACTATCACAGAACTTTAGTGAGAATAAAATGTAGGTTTTTACTGTGCAAAAGCACAAACATATAACACTGATAAGGTACTGGCTTCTACAGCCAGCCAGACCACTGAGTGGATACAACATCTTGTGTGTCAGACACACTAGGTCTCCAGCTGCAGACATGTTGGTGAAGAAAATTCATTCAGTGTCCACTATGCACTCAACTGCATGCTTAATTTCTTCAGCCCCAAAAAGGACCTCATGATGAAAGAAAGAAAAAATACCAGCTCAGGAGATAGAAGATAGTATTCTGGGGGTGCCCAGGTAGCTCAGTCGGTTGAGCATCTGACTCTTGGTTTCGGCTCAGGTCATGATCTCAGGGTCGTGGGATCAAGCCCTGCATTGGCTCTGCACTATGTGTAGAGCCTGCTTAAGATTCTCTCTCTCCATCTCCCTCTGCCCCTCCCCTGCCCCCTTGCTCTCTTTCCTTCCTAAAAAAAAAATAATTAAAATTAAAAAAAAAAAAAGATCATATTTTGGTCATGACTTAGCGTTACCCTCATAACATCTTTTAAACATTCTGGGACCCAGTCTCCTCATATTCAAAAGTGGCAAAGTAGCCAATTTATTTCTGGATGACTGGACAAGAGAAAAAGAAGTCATGATAGGTCAAGATAAAGGAAAAACACTCAATTTCTCTTCTAGCATTCTTGGTGGTATTAAATTTGGAGTTTTACTCTGCCAATAAGCTTTGCTGCTATAATTGCCACTGCTTCTTCTCTTGGGAAATGACTGTGTGAAAACATGAGGTCTGGAATTGTGGCAGCCCTCTTGCAACCACATAGGGAAAGCCAAAAAAAGAAAAAAAATTGTGAAAAGGCTGACAAAAGCCCTCACATTAATTTCTGAACTACCCATTTCCAGATTTATTGTAAAGTAGTTGATTAAAAAACAAATAATAGTAACAAAAGAAGCCAGCCACAAAAGAGTATACACCATGTGATTCTATTTATTTAAAGTTTAAAAACAAACAAAACTATAGTGTTCATGTTTCCATACTTACATATTAAAATGTTAAAACAAAAGGCCATGTAAAGGCTTCTGGGATGCTAACAAATATTGGCTTTTATTACCTTTGTGGTGGTTATGAATGATAATAATTTAGAAGGCTAAACATTTCTGTTTTATGCCCTTTTCTGTGTTATGTTTCATAGTAGAGGAATTTAAACATTTTTTTAAGTTTTTAAAACTTATTTAAGTAATCTCTACATGCCATGTGGGTCTCAAACTCATGACCATGAGATGAAGAGTTGCATGCTCTTCTGACTAAGCCAGCCAGGCACCTTGGGGTTTAAACATTTTAAATAAAAACAGGGCAATGGACCCTGAACTACTTAAGAACAAAGTATTGGGTAAGAGTCAAAGAACCAGGATTTAATAACCAGCTCTTCCTCTAACTACTGGGAAATATTTTGGGCTACTTCAACCTCTCTGTACTGCGGTTTCCTCATCAATAAAACAAGGATAATAACAGTGACTATCACATGGTTGTTGTGAAGAAAAATGAGCTACTATACACAAAAGTGCTTAGAACAGAATCTGGTATATAGCAAACACTCAACAAATAACAATTATGATTATTTTTAAGATGTTAAAATCATACAGATAAAAATATTAACATATGTTTGCCAAATCTGATAATGGTAAGGATACCAAATATGAATCAATCGTGTAATAGACCACACATTACATGGCTGACTGGGCGATATGGTATTTTACTACTTTTGAGATCCTAAAAGTTATCATTTATACCATAAGAATATTAAGAACTGATGGATTTATTTCCCAGATTCCTCCTACATAAATAGGGTTGATATGCAAAAAATATGTATTACAAGAACCTTAATGTATAATACTAAGAGTACCTGGGGCGCCTGGGTGGCTCAGTCGTTAAGCATCTGCCTTTGGCTCAGGTCATGATCCCAGGGTTCTGGGATCGAGCCCCATATCGGGCTCCCTGCTCTGCGGGAAGCCTGCTTCTCCCTCTCTCACTCCCCCTGCTTGTGTTCTCTCTCTCACTGTCTATCAAATAAATAAATAAAATCTTAAAAAAAAATACTAAGAGTACCTTATAGCTATAAACTGTCTATTTTGGTAGCCTACGAACAAGTTAATAAATCTTAAATCAAGCTATTCCCCAATAATGAAGATGCTACCAGCACATAGTTCAGCAAAACAGCTTCCTCAGGCACTAGTCTAAAAAATGGTCATTTAAAAATGTAAATATACATTATTTATCTTAGGGGATGGGAATTCTTTTTTTTTTTTTAAGATTTTTTTTTTTTTATTTGAGAGAGAGAGTGAGAGAGAGAGAGAGAGCACAGAGGGGGGAGCGGGAGAGGGAGAAGCAGACTCCCTGCTGAGCAGGGAGCCCGATGCGGGACTCGATCCCGGGACTCCAGGATCATGACCTGAGCCGAAGGCAGTCGCCCAACCAACTGAGCCACCCAGGCGCCCTTAGGGGATGGGAATTCAAGAGTACACTTATGATGAAAACATATATATACATTACAGTTTATCTATTACAGAAGTGCACTTAACTTTTTTGAACTTTGAGATTTGAGGGGAGAATGTATCAGTTTGCTTTCATTTAAGTATTCTCAACTGTGTACAAGATGAGAAAATGACTGATAAGAGTGCCATGATAAATCCTAGTGAGCCTGGCCAACAACAGTTACTTCCTTCAGCAATTAAAAATAATGTAGCCAAGTATATAATTTAAAAATCACTGGCAGCTTTTAGTTACTAGTTACATAAAAATTATCTTTAAGGAAGAAATATTAATAGCTAAGGTTTTGAATGAAACAAACAAACAAAACCACAAGCAATTACTTTCCACTGGAGTAAAAGCCTGCTCTGAACACACAGAAAACTAGTTGTGAAGGTTCAAGATAATTTTCAGATTGGTACATCCTTAATATGTAAGAAAAAAGAATCCTAGAATTTACCTACCCACTCATCTTAAGTTTTATTAGGCAATCTCATCCATACCCATTCCCAGACCAACAAGTCATATGTTATATATCTGCTCGAATGTCATATCTTCAGAGTATTTTCCCCTGATCATTCAATCTAAAATGGCCCTTGTCACTACCCTAAACATACTTTAATTCATAATACTACCTGTGACATTACATATCTTTCTATGTATTTCCTGTCTAGACTAGAACTACAATATAAGCTCAGTGAGTAGAGACTTTATCTGCCATGCTCACTGTTGTATCCTTAGCACTGAAATTGTGGTTGATACAAAGTAGGCTCAACTCTGTCCTCTTTTCTGAGCTCTGTATTGAGATACCCAACTGCTTATTCTACATCTCCATCTACATGGTTCTTCACTACCTAGAATTAAACATTTCCAAAAGTGAACTAATGACCTATGCCCAACTCCACCCCTAACAACAAAAGCAGAAATCAGTAATGGAATCCACTAATCAATCTAAGCCAAAAACTTAGAGAAGTCACTTTTGATTTTCCCCTTTCCCTCATCCACCACATCCAACCACCAACCATCTTGTCACTTCTATCTCAAATTGGCACACTTCTTTATCTCAATCTTCCAGGCTAGTTCAAGCCATCATTATCTTGAAACTAACTACTACAATACTCACCTAATTTCTTGCTTCTTACACCCTCCAAATTCTCTTTTTAAAATATCACCATCATGCTTATGTGCTTAATTGGCTTCCCATTATTCTTCAGATAAGAAACAAAATCCTTAACATGGCTTTTGGTCCTGCCTCCTTTTATGCTCACAAATCAATCACTAAAGCAAAACAACTAGCCTCTCATTTTGATGCTGCCATGGATTTGCCTTCATAATATTTAGTAAAATTAACCTTTTAGGACTCAAACACATGACAAATAACAAATCTGAGATTTTATAAGTTTTTTTTACATTTATCATCTAATGTTTCCATTTCATATTAAAACATTTAGTCAACTGGCTTTTTAAAATACTCACTGGGCATATATGTCTATAGTTGCAGATATAGAAATATGTCCAAAATACATTAAAAAAAAAAGGTAAGATGGAATGATGTGTAGAGTATAAACTCTCTGTATTAAAAAAAATGGGGGGGGCTGGATACATATGTACATAAGTAAATTGAGGGTTAAAGGACAAGGAAGATTTCTCAAAACTTACCCCCTTCTGTATATTGTACAAAAACAATTTCTGTTATTTATTTTTATTATTTTATATTCTATACATTGTATATAAGATATACTTTATTATTTTATAAAGTATTATTATGTATGTTTTACTTATATATATATATATATATTTTAAAGATTTTATTTATTTATTTGACAGAGAGAGACACAGTGAGAGAGGGAACACAAGCAGGGGGAGTGGGAGAGGGAGAAGCAGACTCCCTGCTGAGCAGGGAGCCTGATGCGGGGCTCGATCCCAGGACCCTGGGACCATGATCTGAGCCAAAGGCAGACGTTTAACCACTGAGCCACCCAGGTGCCCCTACTTTTATAACTTTTAAATATTTTCAAAAGATTTATCAGAAAATGATAAGAAAATTAGTATTAGTGAAACTGAGATTAAATCTCCATGTTTATTCTCCCTCACATTTCTTCAAAAACAAAATAAACCTGATGGGATTTAATCCCTCTAAACTAAGCCAAAAATTAGAAAGCAAAAAAATAATTTATGGTTCTTCAGCAGCTAGATATAAAAGTTTTTCTGGCCACCATCTCCCTGATGGCCAAATCAAAAAGAAATTTAAAAGTTCCAAGTTATCATCACATTTAGTTTAGAAGTGCAAAAGAGATCCAACTTGGTCCCACCTAATCCCTATGTATGAAAATTAAACTCATTCTTACCTTGATTTGACAATCTCTTTTTCATATATATCTTCAATGACCTGTTACCAAAAATATAAAAATGTTTAATATCTCAAACAGCATTTTTTTAGATCCTAAATTGATAGTTTCCAGTTACTGAGATTACACAAAATAAGCTGGTTTAGGATAGATATAAAATATTACTGAAATAATACCTAAGAGATTTTTATAATCTCATCACATTTCTCAAAATGTAAAATAACAGAAAGCAAAGTAGTAGAAGATAAATAATAAAATATATCTACATAAAAAGATTCCTAGAAACAATCACTAAAATGATGTATTCAAGGTGGCTCTGTCATGCAATGGATAGTGCACTGGACTTCTAAAATGATGTATTTATAATACTTCTAGGAAAAATAAAAATTCACAAATCAGAATATTTTTAAAAACTTAATTTTAAGGTATATGCTATCAGACTCCATTTAAGAATCATTAAGAATGTACTTTCAAAAGCCAGACAGTAAATTAGAAGTATGAGGATGTAACAGAAGCAAATTACATCCTGTTTTCCAAATACATGTGATAAAGCCTCAGAATTTCAATTCTTTTGGGTTAGGGAGGCCAGAACGGTGTGATACTTCAGATTCAGCACTGGTGTTAGAAGCCTGGTTCAAACCACCCACTTCATTGCAGAGAGCTAGAACCCTTGCCTAGGACAGCTCTGAGGCTCACCTTCCCAATCCACAAAAAGGATCTACTAATACAAAGTATCCCACCAGTTGCTATAAATAAGATACCACATGTAAAGAATTTAGTGCAAGTCCTGGCATATCGTATTTTCTTTTTTTTTTTTTAAGATTTTATTTTTAAATAATCCCTATACCCACCATAGGGCTCAAACTTACAACCCCACGATAAAGAGTTGCATGCTTTACCAACTGAGCCAGCCAACTGCCCCTGTGAGTCTTTAATAATAGTTACCAGCAGAAGACACAGCAGTGCTAGTGGCTAGTGATAATAGCAGTTAAAAAAAAAAGTTCCTACTATAAAATTATAAAGTACTTTAATATGGTATCATATATTTTATGGAGTTATAATGTCTTTTAACTGCTCAAAGTATATTTGTCAAGGAAATGTGGGTGATATTTTTATTTCATTTTTAAAGATTTTATTTATTTATTTGAGAGAGAGATAGAGAGTACAAGCAGGGAGCAAGCAGACTCCGCACTGAGTGCGGAGCCCAAAGGGCTCGATCCCAGGACCCTGAGATCATGACCTGAGCTGAGATCAGACGCTTAACTGACTGAGCCACCCAGGCACCCCAAGTCTTGTTCAATTTAGACAAAATTTCTGTTATTGCCTTTCTTTTTATCAAAATTCAAATTAAATACTAAAATGAAGGGCATAATCTTCAAATACCAACCTACAATAAAGTTCTTCTAAACAGGCATACATAGCTTCATCCTGAATTACAATGATCTGGATATAATCTCTGAAAATCTCAATCTAATTAGAATCAACTTGATCTAGTAGTGTCATTAAGATACTCTTGTTATTAATGAAATATGACCCTAGGAACCCCCAGATCTAACATATACAACCACAAACACATACAAATAGCATATAAGAAGATAAAGCAACTCTACTAGTAATTAGAGTAATTAATATATGCCATTTTTATGAATATCCTCCTGATGAATAAAAGGATTGCTGGCAAAACAAAAATATATTCATAAATGAAACATTTAAGCTCAAATGATAAAAGAAATTTTGGGTTAAGTTCAGTTTTACCAAGTGTGCCTAAAACAGTCTGCTACTTCCCCTGCTTGCGCATGCGCATGCTTGCTCGCTCGCTCTCTCAAATAAATAAATGAAATCTTTTTTTTAAAATAAGTTATACATGGGTTTTTGACTGCATGGGGGATCAGAACCCCAACCCGTGTTGTTCAAGGGTCAGCTAATGAAGACACACTTTAACCATAAGGAAGAGAAAATACATTTACAGTACTGTACTTAGAAAAAAAAAAAAATCCGTGTATAAATGGACCCATGCAGTTCAAACTTGTGTTGTTCAAGGGTCAACTATACTTGTTAAATGGCATGCAATATGTCATCTCTATTTTATTTAAAGATCTCTCTTTAAGAGCCTATTTCAATGAGAATTAATCCCACATTCAGGAATTTTTGTTTTCATTTATCCTAAACTGCTCCACCTGAACCATAAGTCCATTCCCTAACTGAAATATTACTGGTCTTTGGTCATCTAATCCTCTCCCCTAAACAACTCCTACTTCTTCCACCATTCTTATAAATCTTTATCTCAGCTCATCAACCTAAAAATAAAAAACAATAGATTCTACCCTAAATGAACTGTCAAAAAATTGTACAGAAATTTCTGTATATTTACAAAAATTTTCATTACATGGTCATTATAATAATGATAAATTTAAAACAAACCAAGAATCTGTAACAGGAAAACAGTTAAGTTATATACACAATTTTTAAAAACTTTAACACAACAAAATGATAGCAGAGGTTATCTCTGGGTAGTGATTTTTATTTTCTAATGTGTAACTTCTGTTATTTTCCAAATTTTCTGACATGAATAATTGTCAATCTGATAATTAGAAAACTGTAATTTGAACTTAAAAAGAATCATGTAATGCTTTTGTTGAATTAGCCCTTAAAAATAAGATAAAAAGAACACACCTATTCAAAAAGAATGGTGTAAACCAAATATACTTACCTTTATATCAAAAGGTGATTTTTTCTTGCTATGAGGAGCCCAGTATTTACATGCTAACTGCAAAAGTAAATAGTATAAATAAGTCACAGGTTCATACCATTGTCGAGCGAGAAGACTGAGATTATACAGTAACAAGCTCTTTCTTAACAGGGCATTAGAGGCACTGGGAGGACAGATTAATTCCATCTTCTAAGAGGACTATATGGGCATGCAGGCCAGTTAGCATCCTTGGCCCCAACCCACTAAAAGCCAGTAATGCCCTGCACTGCACCCTGCCATTATGATTTACAAAAACAAAACATACTTTTCTAACCACCCCAAGAGAAACAGTAGGACCCAGTTAATAACCACAGTCAAACATCTTCAGCATAGAGATGAGGAAACCCAGGAACCTCCTAGAAAGAACACTCTAGAATCTAGAGATTAAGTGAGCTGCCCAAGATTAGAATTAGTTAAGAGTTGAGCTAGTATTAGAAAACAGATTCAAAATCTTCAGGAATGGTTATTTGTAAAACAGTAACCTTTAAATGATCAGTAGGCACAGACACACATAACAAAACCTAAAAAGTTTCTAATCTATAAGCAGGTTATCACAGAGAATAAAAGAGCTGGTATACTTCAGCAGATTAGACTTCACCTGGAAATTGTGAACTTTAAACACATATATATAGTAATTCCAGATATTTAGATGCGTTGTATATTATTATATAATATCAAGGAAAAACATGGTCTTATTAATAAGTATTATGTTTTTTTTAAAGAAACTAAACTGCAATCTCTTGAAAAACAGAAAGCTCTAGTAAGCACAGACTCAACACATTTATAAAAAAGTGTATCTGGACAGTATCTAGTGTACTGGAGGAATTCAAATAATAGCCAATGGACTGATGTATATATGTATGTATGCATGGGTGCATGGATGAATGAAAAAATAAAGTAAAATCTGAAATGTTACCTCTTCTGTGAGGCTTTTCTCCACCCTACCTAATGGTGATAATTGTTTCTTCCTTCTCTTCATTTCATAAAGAACTCTATTATAGTCTCATCTTTCTGTATTAATCATTTGATTGCTTATCTATCTTTCCTGTCTGCCTAAGTAGAACACTAAAGAGATGGGACTCATATCTTCTATAGCTAAGTACCTATCCCAGTAAGTACACCCAAAGGGCCTCCCAAGCAGTAAGGACATGGGCCCTGAGGAAGTCTCTCCAAATCAGTATAGTAATGGCCGCTTATGTGACACCTTCCCAAACTATCAATCACCCTCCAACCCAACAGAAAATACTTTACCCCCAAATTATCCTATGGTATTCTCATTTCCTCATTCCACTGCCTATAGGCATCACACAAACTAGCCATCTTTTACTCACCTCATACCGTTAAGAGAACTGAATCTGATCTGTTTTCATGGATTTAGGGTCTTCCAAACAAATGTAAATCCTATCTTCTGATCCAAACTGCTTATTGTAAATATCTGATCTAGCTTTTCCTTGGGGTCTAACCTGTGACCTCTCAGACACTACTACCTCCAGGAATATACTGCCCTCCCCTACACCCTCCAGCCTCATGCAAAATCGAAATTTTGCATTTCCCACTTAGTATAGCTATGACAGCATAGACTGTTCAAAATAAATTTTATTGAGACAAAAAGGACCTAAAATACAGTAGCATAAAAAACTGAATTCACAAAGTTCAGATCTCTGATCTCCTTAAAACTAAATTTTAAGCTCTGCATCTTACTCATTTAATAATAATTTAAAAACACCTTCTCTGGTCAGGTACTCAGAAATGAAGAAGGAAGAGGAAGGAAGGACGAAGGGGAGGAGAAGAAGAAGAAAAAGAACCACCCACCACCTAAATCCAAGATATCTCCTCCAACTAGAAAACCCATTTCCTCATGTTCCTATTTATGTTTCAAAGTCCATCTAAAATGGCACTTTCTCAATGAGGAAATTCTTTCTTGACAGTCTTTTCTTAGATAAAAGTTTTCATTTAAAACTGTGTTCTCAAAGCATTTCCCTCACATCTCTATTCTGGCATTTATCAACTGAACTATGATGAGTCTCAAAGTCTCCTTCCAGATACTGAACTCCCTAAACACAAGGATCACATTTTATTTATCTTTGTAGCCCAGAAGAGCCCAAAACAGTATCTAGCAAATATTAGGCATTCATGTCTGCTATCATGGTTTACTGCTGAGAATGTTCATCCCTACCACTACATTTTAATGCCCTGGTATGTTTATCCATTAATTCACTCATTCTTTCTTTTAAAAGATACTTACTCATCACACAATGTGTGCCTAGTACAATGCTAGCTACTGGGAGTACATGGGGAATAAATCAGACATGGTCCCTAGCCTCAGCTCTCTCAATCTAATACAGGATACAATAAATGTTATATGTTTACAAATAATATTCCCTGGGACATATCAGTCAATCCTACAGTTTTAAATACCACCTTGTCAACAAATACCAAATTTATATTCAAGCCCAGATCTTGCTCAGGTACTCTAGACTCACATATTCAACTACCTTCTCAATATATTCAATTGAATGTTTACTAGGCATCTTCCATTTAACAAGACCCAAACAGAACTCTTGATACTCCCCACTAAACCCTCTCCTTTCCTATCTCAGTAAATGTCCACACCATTCACCTAGTTGTTCAAGCTATGCCCAATTTGTCTTTTCCTCCATCCTTCCACAATCAATCATCATCAAGTCCTGCTGCCTCTAGCCTCAGAATATATCAGTCTACCCTAATCTTTAATAGTAGAGGCCACCACCATCTCTTACCTGGAGTCACTGGTAACCCTATTACTCCTTTTGCTCTTTCACTCCCATCCAGTTTCCACACATTAGCCAGAAGATTCTTTCTAAAATATCATTCCCTGGATTGCAATTAAAATCTACTGGATGAATGAAATCCAAACTTCTTATCTCAGCCTCCAAAACTGTATATGATCTGATCCCTACATACTCTCTGTCCTCATCTCATACCATTTTCCCTCTTATGCTTCTATCCTGGCCTTCTTTATATTCACATCATAAAGCATCTGCACTTGCTATTCCCTGGATTGTTTCCCTGCTCTCCCCAAAACTGGCTCTTTTTTTGCATTCAGGTCTTAGCTCAAATGTCACCTCAGAGAGAACTTTCCTGACTGCCTTTCATACACCCCATCCTAGTCAGTGTCATTAACACCCTGTTTCATTTTCCTGATAGCACTTATCCCTATTTGAAACTGTACTGTTAATCTGTCTGACTCATCTCTAAAATCTAAGCTCCTTGAGTGAAGGAAACTAATAAATGGCTTTAACCATAAAAACAGGTATATGGGAAAAGGGAGATCTAATTTAGTTTAAGTTGTCGGGAAAACTTCTCCCAAGTAATGTAGATGGATGACAATGAATTAACCGTATAAAGGAAAGTGGGAAAAAAATGAGGATTCTGAGCAGAAGGAACAATGTTGAAAGACCAGGAGGTGAAAGACAGCATGACAAATTTAAGTAAATGCAGGTCAACATGGCTAAAGCAGAGTTGGAAAGAGAGAAAACTGGATATCAGCACATGCCAGATTACATAATACTTTGAAGGATCCTGGTGATTATCCTAAGAGAAATCAGAACTCTTTAGAGATTTTAAGTAGGTAAGTGATATGATCAGATTTGCACTTGTATAAAATCACTGGCAGCAATATGAAGAATGGGCTGGAGGAGAGCAAGAGGATCCACAAGACAGGTTAGGATGCCTAGGACCAGAGAGTAAACAAGGGCAACCTGGCGTAGTGTAAGAGAAGCAGATAGATTGGAAAGGTATTTATAATGTAAACATGTAGTGATTAAGGGAAAGGGGGGCTCAAAACGACTCTGAGGCTTCTGCCTTGGCAAATCTGAGACAGAGACCAGAGAAGAAAGAAGCAGATGGCACAGTAACTTCGGCAGGGAGCTATTTGCACTCTCAACCAATACCCAAAGCAGCGCATAAGGATTAGGAATGTTGCTGAGGGCTACAGGACCGTGTTTCCCTATTCACAGCCAACCGCGGTTCACAATGCAACACAGCAAACGGGTTCTAAATGAACGCTCTCCGATAACACGATTGCTCTCTTCATAGATGCATCTACTTGACGCAGGTGTCTTGTCAGACTCTCGTCACTCCACCCAAAAGCGTACATTACTCTACGGCTACGAAAAACTCTACTCCTCCCTCTCTATTAGGCATCATCTCGGCTACGAAACCTTGCCGGTCTCAGGCTGGGGTGCTGCAGCTTCTGTGAATCCATCACTTCTGCGACAGACTCCAATACGGAAAAGCTCGCTTAGTAGCTTTCTTTTTTATTTATCTTCCCTGGAACCTGTGCTCCGTAGGGCAAGGCGGCCTCTCTCACTGTGGTATCCCCAGCACCTAACACAGTGGCCGACACGGAGCAGATACTCAGTTAAAAGACCTGAGTGAATGAATTGACGAACGAATGCCTCCTGGGTGCACCCCGTCCCAAAGAAAATCCCACCCCCCAGGCCTCGGGGGCCTTGACGTCTCCTCCTTTCACACACACCAGCCTCGGCCAAGCGCACCTGGGTTACGAACTCCGCGTTGATCTGGGACACCGTGGGAGCCACGATTTTCTTGGGCTGAGCAGGGGCCGCCATGGCAGCACTCTCACTCCGCTCCAGTGGAAAGGAAAGGTCCCCTCGGAACAGCGGTGAACGTGATGCACTTCCCCTAACAGGCAGCTCTTGCCGCCCAACTCCGCGGAGCAGGAGCCCGCGGGCCGGGATATCCTCGGCCTTCACAGTCTCAGAGGAGCGCGTCCAGCAGCCCGTACATCTTCCCGGAAGCGGAACGGAGCAGCGCCGGAAGTTCGTGCAGGCGTTGGGTCTGAGCTACAGAATGCAAGGGCTTCGGCCTCCTCCGCATGCGCCCCCTAGCGGGAAGCTGAAAGAACGCACCCAGCACTCCGGATCGGGTCTCAAGGACTCGGCAGGTAGGTGAGGGTTCTCCAGGTACAATTGCTCGGGTGGGGGAGACTTGGCGGTTCTCTCAAACCTAAAAAAAGCAGTAGTGAAAAAAACATAGGCTGGGTACGGGGGGTTCGGTTTTAAATGTTTCTTAACAGATTCATGGAGCTATAGGTTGACATACAATGAACTGCATGCACATATTTGGAGTGTAAAATTCGATCCGTTTTCAGTCATACATCCGTGAAACCATCACCAAAATCAGGATAATAAGCATATTCAACGCCCCGAAAAGTTTACTCATGCCTTTTGCAATCCATTCCTATCGCCATGCTAGGGAAAAAAGAGGCTACTAGGTAAAAAGGGGCTGACAGGTTAGTGAGTGAAGAGGCAATGGACAAAGTAGGTGTAAAATGCATCTTCAGCATAAAAGACAGAAAGATACAACAGTAACCAGAATAACAGGTAAAACTCAAGTTGTTTCTCTCAACTGTTATCTCTTTTTACGCTAGGTGCAGTGGAATTTTTTTTTTTTTTCCTATCCTCCCTTCTTTCCAAACAGAACTTCAAATTTGACCTAACAGCTAACCAGCATAAATGCAAATTCTTGGACCCAACACCAGACATGAGAGAAACTCTGAGGATGTGACAGCTATCTATGCTTCTAACAAACCCTCTATATGATTCCAATGCAAACTAAAGTTTGAAAACCACTGATCAACAGTGACAACAGAATTATGAACAAAAAGCAGTGGGAGCAGCACAGGGAATGGCTTGTTTGGGTAAATCAGAAAGGCTTCCAGAGGAAGTAGTATTTAAGTTCAAACTGAAAGAATGAATAGAAACTTGCCAGTGTAGATGCAAAATATTACATGTTCCATATTCCTTTAATAATACCATTGTGCTACTTCTCTTTTTCTCCTAATGCTAATAGAACTCTAGCAGTTAGCCCTGAAATTTAAGTCCTTCTAACCAATAGAAAGCAATGGAAAGCTCAAGATAGGAATTAAGTGTTCTTTCCTTGCTTCTAAAAAGCAGATATTCTGTATCATCAAACAGTCCTTGAGGCATGTGGCGGGCTCAGTAGGTGGAGCCTGGACTCTTGTCTCAGAGCCATGAATTCAAGCCCCCACGTTCAGTGTAGAGATTACTAAAAAACAAACAACAACAAACAGAAAACCCAAAAATGGGTTATCTAACATGTAAATTGAAATGTTTTGGGGGCCTGGCTGGCTCAGTCAGTAGAACATGTGACTCTTGATCTCAGGGTTGTGTGTTGAAGCCCCACGTTGGGATAGAGATTACGTTAAGAAAATAAGTAAAAAATCAATTCACCATTAAAAAAAAAATGTTTTCTGCAAGCCAGTTTTAAACACTTTAGTTTTTTCCCATAATCGTGGAAAACCAAATAAAATCTGGCTCATCTAAATTTCTTCTTTGAACTAAGAGTGTTAAAGTCTGTATCCAATTTAAATAATAGTGGGTAGACAAGTTGGAGACAAGAATAGCAAGAATATGCATGGGAGGAATTAATTCTGTATTTCTTTAGCACCAATCTGGAGAAAGGCCAAAGAGGAAGATAAATGGGTAAGCAGGTAGATCATGTGACATGTAATGCAGCTAACATCCTTTTGTAGGTGATAAGAAACTATCAAAGAAATGTACTAAAAAGGAAAAGTAAAAAATAAATAAGTAAAAAGGAGATGATTAAATATCCATGTTAGGAAATTCAGTGTAGAAGGTGGATTGGAATAGGCCCAGGAAAGTGTTTGGCCATCAGTACCTTGTTCCAGTATTTTTACCTTCTATTTAAAAAAAAAAGTCCAAACTGTGTAATTTGAAAGTTTATTTTTAAAATATTCTGAAATTTAAATTCTTCAAGACTCTTAACCACCATCCACTTTCCTTCAACACACACACATTTTATCCTAAAATTGTTGTCCCTACCGCAGTACAAAACAAGAAACAATAAATCCACTAACTCAGCCAATGAAACTACTTCAGTAAGTAATCATGCTACAGCCTGGAATCACCCAAACAAAAAATTTTAATAAATCTCTTTAAAGACATTTATAAAGATTATTTTTTCAGAAAACCAAAGTAATTGATTCAACAATACTAACAGTTCTAGCATGCAGCAAATCATCATGTAACATCTAATGTTTAATTTTCTTATCATGGATGTATACAGTTTATTTTCATTCCTATAAAGTTTCCACAAGAAGCTTGCAGTGATAAAGGTAAATAAGGATTTTGTTACAGGTACTTCAAATAGCACTACAGTACATCTTTGACAAAATTTTTACAATTATTCCCACTTTCAATATGAAACAGCTTTTATTAAAAAGGCATGGGCCAAAAAAAAAAAAAAGTATAGTAATATCACTTAAGCAAATAAAGTCTAATAATCATACAAGCACAACACTGTTAGGACTTTCCCTATTTGGGTTGGGAAAGGACTAAATGAGACATTTGCTTCAAATAAAATTACGTAAATAGCTTTGGAAAATCCCCAAATACACAATTTCAAACAAAAAATCCTCGATCCTATATTCTTGGAAAATATGAGCTAATTATTCCTTGCTTTTATGTAATAGGTATGTTCTTGAAGTTTTGTGTAAGGCAAATTCTATAAACCCTCATTTTTCTTGCATTGGAGGAACCTATCTGGAGGAAACCTAAGAGAAATTATTCTTTAAAACATGATTCTCCTGCACATTTATACATCATTGGGCATTTTATCTGTACTGTCACGTTTTATCTCTGTATATTAAACCCAAGTTTCTCAAAATGCACTTGAAAAAGAAGATACCAACCTCTCCTCCCCCGTCCTCCTATACAAAGACAATTTCTTAAGAGTTATGACAAAGAACTTACAATGCAAAGAATGTTCATTATTCAGTCTCAACAGAGGGCTTGTCACTATATTTAAGTGTGCTAAGACAAACACCGACCTGTTCTTCTCTTAAAAGATAATGGTTATTTTATTACTAATAAATGTCATTCTTAAAGATTTTATTAAAAAATGGCAAATACAAAGGACAATTTGTGATTATGTCTTTTATAGCTTAAGATTCCCAATATTTCCCTATCATGACAGTGCTGTTGAGAAGAATGATATCCTCAATTCCATAAACACTTTATTCCTAAATGGGAATAATTACCTTACTAATCAAAACAATTTGCTAAGGATCAAAATAATATTCTTTAGCATTAGAGTCTTGCAAGAAACAATTCAAAACTAGAACTAGACCTAGTCATTGCTATTTGATCAAACTTAACAGATAGATTTAGTTAAGTCACAGGACCACTCAATTCAAGAGGCATTAAAACAGTTTTACTGAAGTAAAATAGAAGTCTTGTGGAGATGCAGATCTATAGGTGAGTCTTAAGTCTATACAACTACTGTTGTCAATCATGTAGTAAATAGATGAATTTCATTTATTCCTCTGAAAAGATAATACTGCATACATATCATCAAAAAGATTATGGCACTTGGACGATATTCCTGATAAGTAAACATGATAAATGTATACAGGTGCATCCTAGTCTCTCTCCTACTTTCAGATCTTTTGGGAAAGACAACAACAGGCTGGGTAAAAAACCAACTCTAATCCCCTGTGGAAAAGGAGGTGAAGCTACCAGAGTCCTAAGAATAAATAGCTTGCAAAAGACCAATGAAAATAATGCTGTGATTTTCTTATCCATTTTCACTTTTACTGCCTTCAGTTTTTAAACTTACAAGAAAAAATTTTGCAATGGAATTTGAGCCACAGGTGGACAAAATTATGCTTTCATGTGAAACAAAATAAATAAAATGTAGTGGGGCTATTTGCTGCAGCCAAAACCCAATTTTTACCTCTGTCTTTTGAGTGTATCTAAAAGAAGATGGCATACATTAAGAATTCCTTTAAAAAATAATGAACTGAGTTATTGTACCGCATCATGGATTTACATTTTCAATACAGCCAAAATATTTATTAAAATAAAATAAATGCTTACTGTATGGCATCAAACCATGTTCTTCCCCCTAAAAATTAATTTGGCTGTTCCTAAAACATTGTATTAATTTTCTATGTATCTTGGCTCTTACTTGTAGGACAAGCAACTGCCTATGAAATCACTCAACCTAAGGAAGGCCTTTTAATAAAAATACATTTTAAATGATACAGGCTTTAAGAACAAGATCACCAGAGAGACCACAAATGTGTTACTGGTTCTGTCAGTTACATAATTGAATTTGAGAACCACTTTATCTTGTGGTTGGTCATTCCTTAAAGTGAGTAAGTTGATGTCTCTTCCAGTGAGGAGCCTGCCTGAATGTTTTGCCACAAACTGAGCATTCAAATGGCTTCTGCCCTGCATGAATTAGATAGTGTCTTTCCAGTTTAGATGGAGATCTAAAACTTTTGGAACAAACGCTGCATTGGTAAAGAAGGCCATCATTCCTCTCTGCACGCCCTGAATAACCACAACAATGACTGTGTTGGCTCTGCTCTGATTGCAGAAGTGCGCTAGAAAGATAAGGCTGCCTGTTCCTATAGGGGGTACTGAGAATGAAATCCTCTGATTCTGCCTTAACTTTTATATCTGATATTTTATCTGACTCTGAGACCTCATATTTTTGGAAACCAAGAGTTTGACATTGTTGGGAAGCATTATAGTTAACATTATCACCTGGATGAATGAGAAGTTGGTTCAAATTTTCAAATTCTTGGCAAAGAGATCTTCTATAAGGTATCTTATCAATATGAGTTAACTTGTGTCTTTTTAAGTGAGCTGACTGTCTAAAAGATTTCCCACAAACATTACAGCCAAATGGCCTCTGTCCAGTATGAATTAAATAGTGTCTTTGTAGTTTGGAAATAGAAGGAAACACTTTCTCACATTTGTCACAAGGACACATCTTATGTCCAGTATGGATGTTTTCACTTGGAACTGAAAAACCACACTGAAGCACTTCACAGTTATCAAAGAATTCCTCACCTGATGAACCATAGATAGATACATCTTTATTATTCACTGAATTATCTGTAGTTAACATGTTTTCTGTTGTAAGGATACCTTTCAAGTTTTTACCCATACTTTGGCTCTGGAAGTGCTTTTGCCAAGAAAATGGCAAAGTCAACGTTTTCTTCTTTTTATTGCCAACTGTCTTATATGTTCCATGTTTGCCAAGGGAACCTATAAATGTTCTCTGGGCTTGTTCAGGGCTCTGCTCACCAGAAATAAGATCACAATTTTTCAAGAAATTGTTTTTAAATACTTTTTTCTCAGATCGAAAATTATCTAATTTCTTACCCCCAGCACGTTTAAGTTTAGCCAAGATTTTTTTCACAATGGTTTTATAGTTGTAGCTTCTTTTGAGCCTGCTTGGAATTTTGCCACCTCTGGCAGGAAAACACTTATGTCCATTGAGAATCTGCTCTGATTCAAAACACTCTTCACACTCTGGACACTGAAAAGGGACGATATAAATAGAGTGGACATCAAGTTGATTATTCTCCTCAGATTCACCTGTATCACCATTTTCAAAACCATCCTGCTTTGCATTTAACTTATTAGGCAGGGGGCATGATTCTGGACTCTTTATCTTCAATGAAAGAGTCTGAAAGGTCTTATTCCTGGTATGGATTTGTTTATGCTTCAGAAGTTTGCTTTGAATCTTAAATCCTTTTTGACAAAAACAACATTGAAAAGGTCTTTCTTCTGAATGTGTGAGCTGATGAATTTTTAAATGAGTTGACTGTCGGAAGGATTTACTGCACAAGACACACTTAAAAGGCCTCTGACCAGTATGAATAAGTGCATGCCTATCAAGTTTTGATTGTGATGGAAACATCTTGCCACAGATTGTACATGCGTGAATATTCTTTCTTTTCTTTGTAGGGCTGTATGTAGGATCAGACTTAGAGCATGGATGTAATGCCCATCTTTCCTCTGTGGTAAAAGTATGATACATCCCATATACTGGCTTTTCTTGCTTGGCCTCCAACAGTCTTCTGACCTGTTTAACATCATTCTGGTAGGTTTCATTGTGAAGTTGTTGGTGCTTCACAAACGTCTTCAGATTTTTAAAGTGGCGTTGACAAATGCTACATTTAAAAGGCAGATTATGAGTTAGCTGATGTCTCTCCAGATGAACCAGTTGCCTAAAGGTTTTATGACATACATCACATTCAAATGGCTTTTGACCGGTATGAATGAGATAATGCCTAGCTAATTTTGATGGTGTTTCAAAGTGCTTGAAGCAAATATTGCAAATATATGGCCTGTTTCTAGGTAGTTTGTTGGCTACTACACACTGTTGAATCTTTAGCATTTTTAAATTGTTTTCAGCCATCATATTCTTCAGTGATATACTCTGATGAACTCCATGTTCTTAAACTCCACAGATGTCTAAAAATTAAAAATAAAAATGTATTAATTTAAAAATTATTTATTCATATGAAAAGAAATAATTTAAGTTGTTTTTTATTCATATGAAAAGAAATAATTTAAGTTGTCCTTTGGTTAAAGATATTAAGGGTATAGGGGAACCTGGACTTTTTCTATGTTTAAAAGTAAGTTAATAATCATTTTAGATGAATACTTTAGAATAATAAAACTAACTTCACCCATAGAAATGATGAGTCTTTAAAAGAAATTTCTAGGGGTGCCTGGCTGGCTCAGTCAATAGAGCATACGACTCTTGAGCTCAGGATCATGAGTTCAAGCTTCATGTTGGGTGTAGAGCTTACTTTAAAAAAAAAAAAAAAAGCCAAAATAAATCTCTAAAAACCTATATAATTTTAAGCTATATTTCTAATTGATATAATACATTAAGAGGAGGATAATTTCAATTTCTTAACATTAAATAGACCTTTAATTCCAATTTTCCTAGTTCTCTATTAAGTAGTGTCGTCAATATTTAGTTGCTTTGTCATTATTGATTTTGGCCTGTAGCCGACCTCAATTCCTACCATGTATTTTTCCTTCTTTTTAATAGTTTCTATGGAATACTCTTGAAAGAAGTCCCAGACTAGAACCACATACCACAACCATCTCTGATTATAACAGGAACTGACTACCCATAGTTCCTGTGCCAAAAATTGTCTATGGCTGATCAACTACCACTAGCACTAAGACTGGCTACTATTGTCATTTGCCTTCACACCAGGTGGGAAAGCACTTACTGGGAGCCCTGTAACTGCTAGAACCATTGGTGGCAACAAGTGATCTCATCTGCTATTTATAAGTGATAGCTCAGGGATCCCCAGTGCTCCAAGTGCAGTCCCATTTGTACTTCTACAGCGTGCACATTAATTTGATAGAGCTCCAAATCCCACTTCAACCGATTCTCTGTGCTCTCAACTGATTTTTTGTTATTCGTAATATGAAAACAAACAAAAAAACCAAAACAAAGCCAACACCATGTACTTTTTCCTGTTAAACTGAAAATGAAAAGTAAAATAGCAAATCTCAGTGGTTCAACCTGAAGATGATTCTGACAACTGCAAGATACACTCTGTTGGAAGACTGTAAAAACCGATTTAAAAAAAATTCCAATGACGCCTCAAGGCTGAAAGCCTGTTGGTTTTTTACTAACACCATAAAAGCGAAGTGAGGCCATCACAAAAGCAAATGAACAAGAGACGAACGACCTGAGAGAAACTTGGACCACTTCCAGCTGGGGAATAATCTCTGGCGACATTATCACAGCCTTTCCTTCTTGGTGGCTGCGTCTGCCCCACTTCCCCTGGCCCACGCTCTTAAACCCTCACCTCTCGTCCCAGAGGGGCTGCAATGGACAGAGGACCCTGACGTCCGGCCGTCGCCCTCATCGCCCACAACCAATAAGCACCTAGGGGGTCGAGCCGAGTCCAGAGACTGCAAAATCCCACACTAGGAAAGGAAGCGCAAGGGTGAAAATGGCTTTGACGGCAGCCAGGGGGGAAAATGCCACATGCGATTCGACCCACAGCAGAGGAAAAGCATCCTTTCTGCGCCTTCCTCTCAGAGACTGCCGCTCCCCAAGAGACGCAGTCGGGAGGCGGGGAACTGGAAAAGGAATGGGAGCCGAGGTCGTGGCGCCCCCGCTATGGGTCCCCGGGCACCTTGGAGGGATCGAGGCGGGCCCGACCCTTCCCGGGGATCGCTCCACCTCACACACGGATTCCTCAAGTCCTCCTCACGCACCTGGAGCTGGCACGGACCCGGCAGGCACGCATCTCAGGGCCCAGACGCCGCGAAGGCAGCGAGCGCACGTCCGCAGGGCTGGCGCGGCGACGGGCTGAGCGCGCAGGCGCAGCGCTCCGGAGCGCCCAGGGACGCGGTCCGGCTGGAAACAGGCTCCCTCCCACCCCAGGGCCGCCGTCGCTTAGGCTCGGTCTGCACGACGGCGGGGAAAGGGGGCGCTCCAGAGGTTGGTCCCCACCCCTAGCGCCGCTCCCCCCGCCCTGCAGTTCCGCGGGGAAGAGAAGAGAGGAGTGAAGAAGGCTGTTTCTTCAGATTGCTGACGATTAGATGAGATGGATGTAAAGTGCTCAACGCAGTGCCTAGAGCCTAGTAAGCCCTGAATAGCTTCATCATTTATTACTTTTTATATTACATACAACCTTATGAAGCGATGGGATCTCATTTTAAAATGAGGAAAAGGAGATTGAGGCGTTAAGAAACTTACTCAGTGTCACACGGCTGATAGACGATGGAGGTGGGATTTGAACACAGGCGTCTAGTACCAGACCTGCACTTTTAATTCGCTACTTCTTCCCCAATTATAGATATCTCAGTATTTTATGTGGACACTATTAAGGGTTAAACGTGTAGTCCAGTTACGGACGTGGGTGACACATTATTAGGTATAAGATGCTTAGGTATCTACCGAAGATTTTAAGTACAAAAGATAGTGGAAAATTATTGTGCATTTTTGCAGGTTCCGATTTTAACTGCCTCAGCTTGAGCGATGAGGACATGAGAACAGGTAACAAGCATATTTTCTTTCAACTGTAAGTAACTTTTTGCATTACTTGTCAAGGACCACTGACAACAAAAATTGTTATTTCTAATGTTTTTATACGTTCCTCTATTTAATAAGGAGAAAGTTGGTCCAATGAAAAGTCATTCTCTATTTTCCATGTGGCAACACGAGGAAATGGCTAGTAGGACATAAGCTTTGGCTTTTATTTTGTAGCAAGCTTGGAGGAGTCACATTTGGGGAAGGTTGAAGCCCTTCCAACAGAAGCAGAGATAGAGGAGGGAAAGAGCTTCCGTGTCTTAAGAGTTAACCTCAGGGTAGGGACTCTGTGTGTTCAGATAACCCTTGAAGACTTGCTCTCTTCTGCAGCTTCTCCTGGGAGCTCAGCTCAACCAAATCATGCAAACAATTGCATCCATCACCAGCCACATAAATCCTCAGAAAAGATACGCAGACCGTAAGAGAATATCACCTGAGGTTGGGAACCAATGGAGGGTGCATTACCTGCAAAATAAGTAGGCCTTTGCACCAAGAGCCTGAATTTGGAGTGTGGAACATAGATGAGACATGGATAAGCTATTCTCCAAGGCCACATACCCTACCTCATAGCCTTCCCCATTCATCCTGAAAGTCATCTCAGGAGCCTTCTGGGGGAAAAAAAGGGGGTTAGAAATTACTGTGAGTAAGTCATCAGGAAGATTTCACTGAATAGGTGAGATTTGAATGGGGACTTAGCAGTGGTTTCAATATGGATAAACAGAAAATGTGGGGGGCAGGCTAGAACATTGTAGGGAGAGATGGGAGTAGTGATAAGGAAAAATAAAGAAACGGCGTGGCAGATATCTTACCTCTGCAACTTACTAGTGTGTGTCCTTAAAAGTTACTTAACCTTTCTGAATCTCAGTTTCCTCATCCTCAAAATGGGGATATAATTAATTAATCATTCATTCAATGACCTGTCATGTACAAAGTACAAAGGATTCACTTGTAAGCATATGAAGATGAAACGGTGAGGGCCCTGACTTCAACGTAGTTTTCAGCTCAGAAGAACATGCAAAGAAGTATAATATGATAAGAGAAGATATGTATGGGGCAGCAGTGGGGAGGAGGAGTGTCTAAATCTGCCTGGGACTTCAGGTGGGGATTGTCTTTGACCTGAGGCGTTAATTATCCATCCACCCATCCATCCATCCTACATATATTTTAAGCACTTGCTATGTGCCACGCCCTGTTCTACATTACTGGAGATAGAGTAGGGAACAAATTAAAAAGTCAGCAATTCCTGTCTTCATAGATTTTTCATTTATAGTTTTTTATATATTTATATGCCTATGGAGGGAGACAGACAATAAACTAAATAAGGAAAATATATCATATCTAATATGTAAAATAAGCACAGAAGGGGGCTATGAAGATTTGGGTGGGAGGGCTTGTCGGCATTTTAGTAGACAGCCGGGGATGACCTTACTGAGCAGTTCTGTGATTTTTGAGTGGAGCCTGATAGAAATGAGAGAGCCAGTCCTCCTTATTTATGCTTCACGTTTAGAGCACTTACTGCTCACCAGGCACTTTGCAAGAAGCTGAGAAAAGCCTTAAATGCCTTGCAGAGGTTTTCTTTTTTTCTTCTTTATTTTAAACCTGTAGGCAATAGGAGATTATTGAAAAATTTTGATCACAGGTATGGCAAGTTTCCATTTGTGTCATAGAAAATTCAGTAAGATGGATGAAAAAACAGCGGTGGCAAGATTAGAATAGCCACGTTGTCATCTAGGGGCTTCCTACTCCTTGAATATCTGGTTAACTTGGATGAAAATCCAGTTCTGTGGCCTGTGACAGTCTTCATGCTACCTGTTCACAGTTTGCTCCTAGTGTATATGTATCCTCCTCAGTAGTTCTTAACCTTTACGGCTATCTATCTCCTTTTTAGCAACAACACATTGAATGTAGAACTTAGCTTCCTTGTCAGTTTCTAGAAAAATATCCAGTCATACTGGTGTGTGTGTGTATGACAGCAAGAGAGAGAGAGAGAGAGAATACTCTACTGAAGATTCAAGGGTCACTAGGGGATAGGGTTTCAACTGAAAAGATGTGGGGCCTGGGAGCAACTCAGCCAGTACCAAGTGCATCCAAGAAAATTGCACTTGAAAGGAGTCCACACTTTGAGCATCTTTCATATGTCTTTGGAATATTTTAAAGGCAAAAACTATGAAATTGAGTTTTAATGCTTGCTAAAGCTCTTCCTACTCCCAAGTGACTGACCTGGCAGAGAGTTCAAATCTTCTGTTTTCATCTCCCCTCTTATTTTCCTCTTACCTCTCCTCTTTCTTTCTGTGGAGCAACCAATAAAACCATCCACTTGCCTCCTGCAGATAATCCACCAAAACCTGTACCCCTCAAATGTTAGTTTCTACCCCCAAGCAATTATCAAAGAATTTTTCCAACAAAGATAGCACTCCCTTTCTAAGAGGATTTTTGATGAATAAAATTCTCTCTTTCCCATCATATATTTTCTCAAGAAAAATATTTGCAGACTCTTGTGTGTTTTGCTGCAGGACTTCTGAGGGGTGGCAGGGGCTGGAGGTGAGGAGTGGTAAGTTGGGATCAGAAGGTAAAACGTGATACAACTGTATTTTACTTAAGGCAGTTAGACCACATCCGACTTCCAGGCTAGTCCCAATCTCTTGGAGGTTGTTAGAAATTTTCTTTAAAGCTCCACTAGTGCTAATGCCTATAGGATTTCTGGATCTAGTTAGGCAGTGGCATCCTACCCCACCCACCCCCCATGTGTTGGTTCAAATTCCATAGTTACCCTGAAAGCAGGTGGGATTCTCAGCATAGGGCATTGACCACATTTGTTAACCCTTAGAGTCAGGGCTGACCTCTGGACCCACATTGATTACAGAAACCCCTCCTACTACTTTAACATTGGGGTATAGGTCAACCAAGGAGAGAGGGCAGAGCTATGGTATCTACCAAACGTTTTTGCTTATGCCGTCAGGAGAGCCTGACATTGGGACTTCTCTCCTGTTTCTGGATCTTAATTTCTTGAGTTCTTTTCATTCCTCCAAAAAATACCTATCCTCACAAGGGCCAGAACAGATGGAAGCGTTTCTCTTCTCAGCCCCCAACCCCATGTAGTGCTATGGGTTTTAAACCTGTCTCTGGTGGCTGCTAGATTGCAGGGGGCAAATGTGTGAGATATTACTGATCTTTTGTTTAGGACCTGGCTTCCCAACTAGATAACTCAATAGTCATTGTTTGTGTTTAAGCCTAGGGCTTTTTCTGGTGTGTTCTCTGACCCAAAGTAACTCACTTACCCCCTAGCCTGGGGGCATTGGTAGTTGGGTGAACGACTGTGAACTAACTATCTGTACTTGGGTGGCTGAGCTCTGCACACTCCACATAGTTACACGGGTACCTTCACCTCTAACCCCAAATAATCAGTCTTCTCTCTTCCTCCCTTTGAATAACTTCTTTAAAAGCAAGGAGTAGGGGCGCCTGGGTGGCTCAGTCGTTAAGCGTCTGCCTTCGGCTCAGGTCATGATCCCAGGGTCCTGGGATCAAGTCCTGCATCAGGCTCCCTGCTCTGCGGGAAGCCTGCTTCTCCCTCTCCCACTCCCCCTGCTTGTGTCCCTTCTCTCGCTGTGTCTCTCTCTGTCGAATAAATGAATAAAATCTTTAAAAAAATAAAAATAAAATAAAAGCAAGGAGTAGGAGGATAATCCATATTTTCACAGGAAGTTCTGAGTTTCTCCTGTAATGTTTTGCTTTAAATTCCTCCTACATCAGCTTAACTCCAACAAGCCTGATTTTTCCACACTACTTTCCAACAGCGATGTGGGGATGCTTTGTGGCAAAACCTCTTAAGTTTTAACACAAATGCAAAGGTCACTTCTCCTTCCAGCTGTTACATTGCCTAAATTCTGATTTAGAAATCCAGACATTTACCACATTGTCAAGCATGATTGCCATTAACAATGCCATTGTTAAGCATTCAGCTACCCAGTGTACCCTAGGGATGCACTGGCAACTTTGCAATCACATAAATTCTTAAATCTAGATCCTGCAAACTTTTAATTAATCATTGTCTAATTCCAACTGTTATTCCTCTAATATTTCAGGGAATGTGAAAATCCTTTTTCTGCGTTACCCAAAATTGTCTTTATTTCTCGTGGCATGTAGTGTTCACTAGGGGTCGTAATAGGCAGTCCCCAGTTCAGATCTTTGAGGGACCCTGACTCAGTAGAAGAAACAATCATAATAGGAATCTTTCATTAGCCCTTTACAAAGTTGTAAGTTAAGGACTTCTTTTGTGTTGCTGCTTTTAATATTTTTTTCTTTATCACTATATTTTGCAAATTTAATTACAATGTCTTGCTGTTGTCCTGTGTTTGTTGATTTTGATGGGAGTTCTCTGTGCCTCCTACATCTGGATATCTGTTTCCTTCCCTAGGTCAGGGAAATTTTCAGCTATTATTTCTTCACATAAATTTTCTGCCCTGTTTTTTCTCTTCTTCTTTTGGGACTCCTATAATACAAACGTTATTATGTTTGATGGACTCACTGAGTTCCCTAAGTCCATTCTGCTGTTGCATAATTCTTTCTGTCTTTTGTTCAGCTTCATTATTTTCCATTATTTTGTCTTCTAGGTCACTAATTCATTCCTCCAGCCTGCTGTTCATTGCGTCAAGCCTGCTTCCAATCTTGTTTATTGTTCTCTTCATCTCTGATTCTTTTTTAACTCTTTAATCTCTGCCGTGAGGGTCCATCTGATGTCTTCTATTCTTTTCTCAAGGTCAGTGAGTATCCTTATGCTTGCTTTCTAATTTCTTAATCTTCTCAACAACTTTGAAAGGAAATATTTTTGTCTCTATTTATGAATTAGGAAATATAAAGACCGAGAGTTTAGTTGACTTGTCAAGGTCATGCAGCTAGTAAGTGCAGGAGTAGGTTTCCTTTTTTTTTTAAGATTTTATTTATTTATATGTCAGAGAGAGAGAGAGAGA